TTCATGGTCTAACAGTCATCGTTGTTGAATCATTGTGACTATCAGGATCAAACCTCATGTAGAAGACTACAGAGGGCGTCATTTTCAGTCCGCTTCACAGTGCCAAAATGTGCAAACACCGTGTTAGTCCTATAACTTGCAGCATATATAATACAGACCTATATTTATGACGTCCATGAGGTATCAATAGTATAATACAGATCTAAAGTCAAGTGTATATATGTGATGCAATAACGACCAGCAGTGTAGGTCACTCTATGACATCAGCATTATTCCATCAAATTTGCTTGACCCATTTTGTTTTGATATCTGAAAAACCTATATTGTTGTTTTTCATTGTATAGTAGTTTGGTTTAGAAAGTAAACGTTTATAAGTTATAAAGATGTCCTATTCACTTTATTATAATCAACCTTATTATTATAATCAACTTGATGATAAACTGAATAATTAGAAAGGAGACAAAGGGAGGTAGAGAGGAAGAGAGAGGTAGAGGGGAAGAGAGAGGTACAGGGGAAGAGAGAGGTAGAGGGGAAGAGAGAGGTAGAGAGTAGAGAGGAGAGAGAGGTAGAGGGGAAGAGAGAGGTAGAGAGGAAGAAGGGAGGAGAGAGAGGGTAGAGAGAGGGAGGGGAAGAGAGAGGTAAGGGAGAGGTAGAGGGAAGAGAGAGAGGGAAGAGAGAGTAGAGGGAAAGAAGAGAGAGGTAGAGAGGTAGAGAGAGGGGTAGAGGGGAAGAGAGAGGTAGAGAGGAAGAGAGAGGTAGAGAGGAAGAGAGAGGGAGAGGAGAAGAGAGGTAGAGAGGAAGAGAGAGGTAGAGGGGAAGAGAGAGGTAGAGAGGAAGAGAGAGGGTAGAGAGGAAGAGAGGTAGAGGGGAAGAGAGAGGTAGAGAGGAAGGAGAGGAGAGGGGAGAGAGGAAAGAGAGAGGTAGAGGAGGGAAGGAGGAAGAGGTAGAGGGGAAGAGAGAGGATAGGGGAAGAGAGAGGAGAGAGAGAGAGAGGGGGTAGAGGGAGAGAGAGGTAGAGGGGAGAGGAGGAGGGGAGAGAGGGAGAGAGGAAGAGAGAGGTAGAGAGGGAAGAGAGAGGGTAGAGAGGAGAGAGGAAGGGAGTAGAGGGGAAGAGGGAGAGAGAGGGAGAGGAGGAGAGTAGGAGGGGGTGGAGGAAGAGAGAGGTAGAGGGAGAGAGGGTAGGAGGGAATAGGACGAGGTAGAGGGGAAGAGAGGGAGAGGGAGAGGGTAAGGAGGACGAGGGTAGGGGAGAGGTGAGGAGAGAGAGGTAGAGGGAGAGGAGGAGGAGAGGGGAAGAGAGAGGTAGAGAGGAAGAGAGAGGTAGAGGGAAGAGAGAGGTAGAGAGGAAGAGAGGTAGGGAGAGAGGGTGAGAGGAGAGAGAGGTAGAGGGAAGAGAGAGGTAGAGGGGAGAGAGAGAGAGGAGAGGGGAGAGAGAGAGGTCAGGGGAAGAGAGAGGTGAGGGGAGAGAGAGGGTAGAGGGGAGAGAGGTAGAGAGGAAGAGAGAGGTAGAGGAGAGGAAGAGAGGAGGTAGAGAGGAAGAAGAGAGAGTAGGGTAGAGAGGAAGAGAGAGGTAGAGGGAGAGAGGTAGAGAGGAAGAGAGAGAGGTAGAGGGGAAGAGAGAGGTAGAGAGGAGAGAGAGGAAGAGAGAGGTAGAGAGGAAGAGAGAGGTAGAGAGGAAGAGAGAAAGAGAGAGGTAAGAGGAAGAGAGAGGTAGAGAGAAGAGAGAAGAGAGAGAGAGAGGAGAGAGGTAGAGAGTTAGAGATAGAGAGGAAAGGAGAGAGGTAGAGATTAATAGAGAAGTAGAGAGTTAGAGAGTTAGAGGTAGAGAGGAAGAGAGAGGTAGAGAGGTAGAGAGAGGTAGAGAGGAAGAGAGAGGTAGAGAGGTAGAGAGAGGTAGAGAGGGAGGCCCAGTGGGTCCAGACCAGAACACATGGTTACTGTACCTAAACCTCCTGAAAGAGGTGGGGCAGGTTGCGTGAGAGGAAGAGATCTGGAGGATCATGAGAGAGAGAGTAGCAAAGACAAAGAGACCAAAAAGAGACCAGTAGAATTCCTCAAATAGACAAACACCTCTTTTATCTCCCATTTTCTTGAACTAATAACCTCTGTATGCCCCACCCTCTCCAACATTGTAATTCTGGGAGACTTTAACATCCATGTTGACTAACCCAAGTGCTCTATGGCTGCAGACTTCCTTAACTGGACTGGCTAAACCTTGTGCAACAACCATGGACACACATTGGACCTGTTCACTATTTTACAGTCTGGCAGTCTTGATGATCTCTCCTCTTCTGCTTTTTGCCTCCTCCTCAAACTTAGTGATGGCCTCATTGCATGTTTTTTTCTGTGAGTGGAAAATTAAAAACATTTCAATCAGGTTCATTTCGTGTCATGATAATTGTCCACATACGTATCTTCAGATAATACATTTTTAATTCAAAGATATGCCTGTATTTATACAAGACGTTTGACCTCAACATCACCTGATGCGTGTTCTGCTGCATTATGTGTATTTTTTTTTGCACAAGTTCTTTAACTGGACTGGCTAAACCTTGTGCAACAACCGTGGACACACATTAGACCTGTTCACTCTTTTACCGTCTGGCAGACGGTATCGGACCATCAGTCTCGGACCACCAGGCTCAGAGACAGCTTTTACCCACAAGCCATCAGACTGCACATGCACTCGCCCATACATTCACTCACACATATGCACAATCACATACACACACCCACACACTCATGCACACACCCACACTCACGCGCACACACACAAACATATTTTTAGCACCTAGCCCAGTATTGCTATTTTACCTGACGTGATTCTAAATGTATGTTGTTGTTTTTGAGATTTGACATAACTCTGTAATTAAAAGTGCTATACAAATTCAATGTATTATTATTATTATTTATTATAACTAGTATATAGGCAGTGGAATTAATGTATATTGTATAACAGTCAGGTTATTGTAACAGTTATTGTATAACAGTGGGGCGGCAGGTAGTTTAGTGGGTAAGAGCGTTGTGCCAGTAACCGAAAGGTCGCTGGTTCTAATCCCCGAGCCGACTAGGTGAAAAATCTGTCGATGTGCCCTTGAGCAAGGCACTTAACCCTAATTGCTCCTGTAAGTCGCTCTGGATAAGAGCGTCTGCTAAATGACGTAAATGTAAACAGCAGGAAATCACAATGATTATAATTTTTTATGTAATCTATGGCTGAAGATAAAATAAATTGTGAGGCAATTTAACAACTGTAACTGCTGTAATTGTCTTTTCAGTTTCATTTAAGTTTAAAGCTGAGAGTAACTGCCAGTGTAGGTATTTACTATCTGGGCAATGTAGACACTAACATGGTTTCCATCCAACCATTCCATGTGGATGAATTACCTGACGCATTAAAAAAGTCATGACCGGGTTGATGGAAACAGGATATGCCGGTACAATTTTATTAAATGCCGACAGACAATTTGTTCGTTCGACCTGGTGGGATATTTTTGTGTCGGTAAAATTAACTATGCGAGCAATGGCGGTGGAAAAACGCCTTTAAGCGCAAATGTTGATATAATAGGCTAACCATCATGTCGAAGTCAATTTGGAGTCATGCGATGATGTGTTGTGTGGTCCTCACACTACGACTCGGGAGACCATGCAATGTATTAGGTTACATATTAAATAAATTATGGTGAACTTCACAGGGTGCTAGCTATTGCTAGCTTTTTGGTTGAGCAACTGGGTAAAACGGTTCAGGAGGACGGTCACGTGTGTTTGAGTGGCAGGTCCTGGGTTCGAGCCTCTGAATCAGGAGGAAGGGGTACCTGCTAAGCAAGCAGTGTGATTTACGGCCAATGTCCACTTGCAAGCGATGCTTTGCCTACTTTCGCTAGGTATCAACGGCCAATCCAGTAGAGGCTAGGAGCTATAGTGAGCTTTGATTGGTCAATCAATAGACGAGTATTTGCATAAAGTAAAATTGTTCCTGATTTAAGTCCAGCCCTCTTCACGCTCCCTCACCTATGTTTGCATCGCCCAACTGTCCCACCCCACTTCTCATTGCTTTTCTTTCATTGAAAATGAATGGCTTCCGTCGTCCGACATTGTTCCGAGTTAACACCAGCCGTTAGCCCTACTTTACTTGCATTCCACTGGGCTGGCATCTCGACACAATGCATGAATTCCACTCTGACTTACATTTTAGTCATTTAGCAGACGCTCTTATCCAGAGCGATTTACAGTTAGTGAGTGCATACATTTTCATACTGGTCCCCCGTGGGAATCAAACCCACAACTTTACAGGGTGGTGAAAGTGCACGGTATGATGTCAGCCACAGAGATCTTTTCAAATTTCTTACTGGGCTATAGGCTAGGCTACTCATTCTATTATGCCAAACAATGACTTTGGCTTAATGCCCAGTTTGGCAAAGATGGGGAAACTAGGTGAAAGACCAGCACAGTAAGTGCAATCACTTGCATTGTCATCGTTAAATTTTTTTTTTTTTACACACCTTATCAAGACACCTGTGAATTCGGAAATAATAGAGGTCAAATAATGACATTGGTGATCTTTAGGTCAGAAAGTCGGAGCTCTAGAAAGATGCCCGAGTTTCCGACTTGGAATTCCGAGTTGGATGACCATTCAAAAGATTTTCCCAGTTGGAGATCGTTTTTTCCCCCAGTTCCCAGTTGTTTTGAACGCGGCAGTAGTAGAGTGGTTTAGTCGGCGGATGCCTAGTGTTTTGAGGCAGGAGGGAAATATTGCTGAGTCATAATGACGTGTTCTGCCTGTGACATTGGTTGCTTTTCCCTGTTGTGTGATACGTAATCGACTAGGTCATCGATTTACAGATTAAATAAATGATGTTAAAGGTTAAATAAAAAATAAAATAAATTGCTATAACATATAATGTGGTTAGCTAATATGTAAAATATCTCTCCAGGCGTTGTAAGATCTGGCAGACATACGAAACGTCTGAGGAGGACGCGCCCACAGTCACACGTGTTCAGTCACTGTGGGTGTAAAGAGAGCAAGGAAGGAAATGTTGTTCACTCGGGTGATGCACTCTGAAACAGAGGATTCATAGCTAGTGGATTGAATTGACCGGTCCTCATTACAAGGAAGTGATTCCATCACGGAAAAATATATTTAGGTGTAGGTGCTATTCTGAATTAGATAGGTATTGCTGGGGGAACAACCTTGACATTATAATTGGCGCGTGGGACATTGTATCGGCTGCACATTTTAATAGCTTGCTAGCTAGATAGATAGCAAGATATGTGTGATGCCCTCTCCCTTGTTGGCTAGCTAACAAGTATCCAGCGTTACAGTTTAAATAGCAAGACCATTGTTGGTTGGGCTCAAGTTCTGTTTTGTTTTGTTGTCAGTAGCTACGTCGCTGAACTTGGATAAAACGTTAGCGAGCAAAATTAATAGATAGCTAAACAAAATAGCAAGCGCCAGTCTCGCTGTTGGTACCGAACGCTTGCGATATGGGCTTGCTGTCAAAAGGGTCACCGCTCAACTGGGAAGAAACCAAAAAGTATGCAGACCATGTTAGGAAACATGGCATTGTTCAGTTTCTCAACATCTATAACAAGGTGAAAGAACGACAGAAAGATGTATTGTTATGGGGCGATGAGGTAAGGATGTTGTATTGCTTAACCTTTGCATAACGTCATTTTTGCATAACAAACAATAACATGTGATCCATAATAATGGCATTGTCAGTGAGTCTGCTCTATCACCAGTGAAGTGAGGCTGTAACTATGTTGCCAACGTGCCAACTTGGATTGTGCAGATGAAAGACTGTAACCGATTTGCAGCAACGGCGTGTAACTAGTGTTTCAGTTAGTCCTGTCGTCAGGATAGTAGTGCATGCAGTACAAGTAGTTGTAGCGAATGCTTTGATGTTTATACTCCGTCCATAAACATTGAACCCATTCAAAGCATCTGACCATTACATAACTGTTTTAGATTTAGACAACTTTTAATCAGTAACTGATGTATTATTCAGTTACTTAGGCCATGGAACCGTTTATATTGTTGCTAGGAGCGGCAGGTAGCCTAGCGGTTAGAGCGTTGGGCCAGTAATCGAAAGTTCGCTGGTTTGAATACCTCGTTGTGCCCTTGAGCAAGGCATTTAACCCTCATTTGCTCCAGGGGAATCATACAACTATGGCTGACCCCGTAAAACAACAACCTATCCATTCGGTGTATGTGAAATCTTTTTATTTTTGTCTTGAGAAAGTTTAGGTTTTCTTATCTATACAATTGTTTACATTTCATGAGAACCGATGCCTACTTAATACAAACGTTTTCCAAATGTCTGTCATCGAAAAAGTGTTTGGTAAGTAAATGCCTAAAACGGAATAAATACGCTTATTTATCATAAGGTTTGCACCTATTGAGACATTTTTTCTTTTTGAGAGATTTCTTATCTGAGCTTTATATGTTTCTAAACAAAGGTTGTCCCTTAACATGCATCTGGCACGTCGATAGGTTGTTTAACAAAAGTTGCACATAGCATCTAGATGTAGTCAATATGTGATTTCTGTCTGTGCTGCCTTCAGTGTGCCTCAATTTGATGTGGAATGTTGTTGTTATAGATTAATCCCACTTTCAGACAGGGGGATTACAGGGTAGCAGAGTCAAAGTCAAGGAAACATAATTGATGAATTGGAATGGATGTGATGGCTCCCCGTTTTGATCTTGGGAAGTATGGATCAAGGCTTTGGGTCTACACAGTGACGCACATTGGAAAGAAATGTGGTGTTTGTAGACATGGTCTGCTCCATTCTGGTCTAATGAACAACAACAAAAGTTTAGCCTTATGGCTGATAATCTTGCATTGTCATTGGAGAATATAAAAAAAAAATTGCGATTGGGCCACACCATCCTATTGATGTTGAAGGCCTCTGTGGTGTCTTCTAGTCGGCAGCACAATGGTTACTAGGTTCAGGTGCAATAATATACAAAAGTGAACTGATGTTAATGACATCAACAACAAAAAAACATTCAGGCTGAATTTGAGCTGTGATATCTTATAGGGTTGATTATGCATCTTGTACACATTGACAGCTGAATTGCAGTGCACTTGTGATATTGAGCAATGGCCAGAATGTTTGATGCCACAAATGTCTAAACATGTGGGTAGTTGGGAGTCTTTTTAGCAGTCTTGTTTGTCACAATTACAGTTGTGCTGTTATAGGCTTAGGATACATCATGTTAACACTAATCAACATGAGCTTTGATTCTACTTTCATCTGTTTTTAGTCAGTGGGTGCAGTCACAGATGTCAACATATGCAGTAGGCCAAACTGATTTCAACATGAAAGGCATTGAATTTGCACACAGTTTTTATGGTTTGAAATATAAACAGATTATGCTACATTTCTTTTCCTCCCCTTTTAGGTGGAGTACATGTTGATTGAAATGGATGAGAAAAATGGAAAGGTTCGTCTTGTTCTCAATGGTGAGGAAGTTTTGGAAACCCTTCAAGACAAAGGAGAAAAGACCAACCCCAAGTAAGTCAGCTTTAAATCTCTTTAGAAAATGACCATATTATCGTGTTGAGTGTGAAATGGTCTGCTATGTAACGGCCTTTCTTATGTTAACTCATTTGTGTGGCGTACACTACAGGGACTAAAGACTGCTCCTGTCACTGCGTAACACTGTGTTCCACTAGCCTGTTCTGCAACTTTTTAATTAAAAAAAATACAAGAAAAGTCGAACTTCTCTTATTGCTCATGCAAAAGCTACTTTACAAGTATGCAACTTCAGCATGAGTTTAAATTTTTTTGTTTTCTAGAACTATGCCCTTACAAATGCACTATTGATTCAACCTGCCGCTTTACCTTGGGCTGCTAAATTCCTTCAACATGGGTTAAAAAGCCTTCATCTCTATTTGATGGGAATGTGTTTGTACAAGCCTCACTGTGGTAGTCTGGTTGCTAACTGTCCATGACATTCTAAATCTGTGAAGCTGACTTAACCCAGGCCAATTGTAGGTATAGCAGTAGCATTCCTCATTACTGCCTCTCTGGCGCACATATTGAAGAGCACGCGCCCTGTAGCACAAATGCATTGCCCACAGCATTTTCCCTCTGGTGAGATAGTGGCTCACATCAGATTTTTTTTAAAGCACAACATGTTTACTTTTTAATGTGAAAGACTGGCATAATACAATGGACTCTATCGAACCGGGAGCTTGTTTTGTTAGACAACATTATTCAATGACTTCTAAAAATGGAAGTTGGCTTTTTTATTTCTTTATTTATATATATAATGCTTTGTTTTTCCTGGTAGCCATCCTACCCTTTGGAGGCCAGAGTATGGCAGCTACATGATCGAAGGGACTCCGGGGCAGCCCTACGGTGGGACGATGTCAGAGTTCAACACAGTAGAGGACAACATGGGGAAGCGAAGGCGAGAGGCCTCATCTGTGCTGAATAAGAATGAAACACTTGCCACCATCACGTCATTCCCAAGGTAGTTAACTACCTATTCTGTCACTCACTAAATAATTTGAAAAGGTTGTATTTTATTTATAGTACCTTTAACATTATTGTTATTCTTGTAACAATGGTTTTAGGTTAGGTTGTCCAGGCTTCACACAGCCAGAATACAAGCCAACACCTGTTGAAAAAGGAGTGTCCAAATCACTGTTCTTCCCAGATGAAGCTATAAACAGACACCCAAGATTCAGGTAGACTTGAATTTTATATATATATATATACACACACTACTGTTCAAAAGTTTGGGGTCACATAGAAATGTCCTTGTTTTTGAAAGAAGTTATTTTAAATGGACAAAAAAATTGCATCAAATTGATCAGAAATACAGTGTAGTCATTGTTAATGTTGTAAATGGCTATTGTAGCTGGAAACTGCTGATTTTTAATGGAATATCTACATAGGCGTACAGAGGCCCATTATCAGCAACCATCAGTCCTGTTTTCCAATGGCACGTTGTGTTTGCTAATCCAAGTTTAGCATTTTAAAAGGCTAATTGATCATTGGAAAACCCTTTTGCAATTATGTTAGCACAGCTGAAAACTGTTGTGCTGATGAAAGAAGCAATAAAACGGGCCTTCTTGAGACTAGTTGAGTATCTGGAGCATTAGCAATTGTGTGTTTGATTACAGGCTCAAAATGGCCAGAAACAAATAACTTTCTTCTGAAACTCGTCAGTGTATTCTTGTTCTGAGAAATGAAGGCTATTCCATGGCAGAAATTGCCAAGAAACTGAAGATCTCGTACAACGCTGTGTACTACTCCCTTCACAGAACAGCGCAAACTGTCTCTAACCAGAATAGAAAGAGGAGTGGGAGGCCCCGGTGCACAACTGAGCAAGCGGACAAATCCATTAGTGTCTAGTTTGAGAAACAGACGCCTCACAGGTCCTCAACTGGCAGCTTCATTAAATAGTACCCGCAAAACACCAGTCTCAACGTCAACAGTGAAGAGGCGACTCCGGGATGCTGATCTTCTAGGCAGAGTTGCAAAGAAAAGACTGCCCATCTTAATCTTTTATTGTCTGAGATATGGCTTTTTCTTTGCAACTCTGCCTAGAAGGTCAGCATCCCGGATTCGCCTCTTCACTGTTGACATTGAGACTGGTGTTTTGCGGGTACTATTTAATGAAGCTGCCAGTTGAGGACCTGTGAGGCGTCTGTTTCTCAAACTAGACACTAATGTATTTGTCCTCTTGCTCAGTTGTGCGACTTACAGTCATGCGTGTATACATTTTTATGTACGGGTGGTCCTTGGTATCCAACACACTATCCTGGCCATGCTCTACCAACTGAGCTATAGAAGTTGCTATGGCACTAAGTTTGTCACAGGTGTTTGCACTATGTTGTGTCGCTGCCTTGTGTTGTGTCATGTTTCAGCTCTTCATTTGCAAAGTATGTTGTGAATGTTTTTTCAGCACCCTGACCAGAAACATTCGCCACAGAAGAGGAGAGAAGGTGGTGATCAATGTACCCAGTAAGTCTAAATCAAAACAGGTCTTCACCGTTTGCTTTCAGTAAAATACATTTAGTAATATTTTATTTTCACTGGTCAAATTTAGGCCACATTTACAATTTAGTCATTTAGCAGATGCTCTTATCCAGAGCGACTTACAGGAGCAATTTGGGTTAAGGGCCTTGCTCAAGGGCACATCAACAGATATTTCACCTAGTCTGCCTGGAGATTCGAACAAGTGACCTTTCGGTTACTGGCCCAATGCTCTTAACCGCTAGGCTACCCATCGCCCCAAATTTGCTGCAACATTTTTTTATGAGTTGAAATGACTTGCTTATGGTTATCTACTTTCCTTTGTGCTTCTTTCTCCTTGTTAGTCTTTAAAGACAAGTGCACCCCATCTCCATTTGTGGAGAAGTTTCCGGAAGATGATGGGGAGGCCGCCAGGGCAGCTCTCCCTGATCACATCTACATGGATGCCATGGGATTTGGAATGGGCAACTGCTGTCTTCAGGTATACGCAACACTTTATAGGATTATAAACCTGGTACACTGGAGTTATCTGTCTGTCTTTAGATGCATGTTCTTTTAATTTTTTATTACGTGTTTATTTACTAGACTAGAGAAATATTTTTTATAAGTCAAGGACATGTTTTATATACAGTGAGGGGAAAAAATTATTTGATCCCCTGCTGATTTTGTACGTTTGCCCACTGACAAAGAAATGATCAGTCTATAATTTTAATGGTAGGTTTATTTGAACAGTGAGAGACAGAATAACAACAAAAAAATCCAGAAACACACATGTCAAAAATGTTATAAATTGATTTGCATTTTAATGAGGGAAATAAGTATTTGACCCCCTCTCAATCATAAAGATTTCTGGCTCCCAGGTGTCTTTTATACAGGTAACGAGCTGAGATTAGGAGCACACTCTTAAAGGGAGTGCTCCTAATCTCAGTTTGTTACCTGTATAAAAGACACCTGTCCACAGAAGCAATCAATCAATCAATCAGATTCCAAACTCTCCACCATGGCCAAGACCAAAGAGCTCTCCAAGGATGTCAGGGACAAGATTGTAGACCTACACAAGGCTGGAATGGGCTACAAGACCATCGCCAAGCAGCTTTGTGAGAAGGTGACAACAGTTGGTGCGATTATTCGCAAATGGAAGAAACACAAAAGAACTGTCAATCTCCGTCGGCCTGGGGCTCCATGCAAGATCTCACCTCGTGGAGTTACAATGATCATGAGAACGGTGAGGAATCAGCCCAGAACTACACGGGAGGATCTTGTCAATGATCTCAAGGCAGCTGGGACCATAGTCACCAAGAAAACAATTAGTAACACACTACGCCGCGAAGGACTGAAATCCTGCAGCGCCCGCAAGGTCCCCCTGCTCAAGAAAGCACATATACAGGCCCGTCTGAAGTTTGCCAATGAACATCTGAATGATTCAGAGGAGAACTGGGTGAAAGTGTTGTGGTCAGATGAGACCAAAATCGAGCTCTTTGGCATCAACTTCAACTCGCCGTGTTTGGAGGAGGAGGAATGCTGCCTATGACCCCAAGAACACCATCCCCACGTCAAACATGGAGGTGGAAACATTATGCTTTGGGTGTGTTTTTCTGCTAAGGGGACAGGACGGTGCCATGTACCGTCCTGGGCATGGGCATTGAAAATGGGTCGTGGATGGGTATTCCAGCATGACAATGACCCAAAACACACGGCCAAGGCAACAAAGGAGTGGCTCAAGAAGAAGCACATTAAGGTCCTGGAGTGGCGTAGCCAGTCTCCAGACCTTAATCCCATAGAAAAATCTGTGGAGGGAGCTGAAGGTTCGAGTTGCCAAACGTCAGGCTCGAAACCTTAATGACTTGGAGAAGATCTGCAAAGAGGAGTGGGACAAAATCCCTCCTGAGATGTGTGCAAACCTGGTGGCCAACTACAAGAAACGTCTGACCTCTGTGATTGCCAACAAGGGTTTTGCCACCAAGTACTAAGTCATGTTTTGCAGAGGGGTCAAATACTTATTTCCCTCATTAAAATGCAAATCAATTTATAACATTTTTGACATGCGTTTTTCTGTCTCTCACTGTTCAAATAAACCTACCATTAAAATTATAGACTGATCATGTCTTTGTCATTGGGCAAACGTACAAAATCAGCAGGGGATCAAATACTTTTTTCCCTCACTGTAGGCAGGTTGAGTAATCCTTAAATTAACTTTAACCCTTTTTATGATGTTTTTCCAGGTGACATTCCAAGCATGCAGCATTGAAGAGGCGAGGTACCTTTATGACCAACTAGCAACATTCTGCCCCATAATGGTAAGATATGCTTAGAAAACATACAAAGTATTAATTGCCTCAAAATAGTAATTGGAAAAAATCTAAGGTGTCATAAACAGCTTTGTTTAACCACATCTTTGAATCCTTACAGTATTCAATAATGCTTTGGTTGTTTTGAGTGCCTTTTGTGTGGTGGAAACTGGAAAGCTAACTGCTGATCTGTTTACAGATGGCCCTCAGTGCTGCATCGCCTTTCTACAGAGGCTATGTGTCAGACATTGATTGTCGCTGGGGAGTTATTTCTGCATCGGTGGATGACAGGACCGGGGAAGAGAGGGGGCTGGAGGTGAGCAGATTAATCAGGAAAAACTGGCTCCTAATGAAAGGAACATGACCCAGCCAAACAAGGCCCACTCGCTTGTTGCTAGTTGCTTCAGCGGGTTGAATGTAACGCTTGGATAGTGTCAGCCTCAGACAGGTATTATTAATTTCTCTGATTTCCTGGTGTTCAATTGTAATGTTAGTCAGAGCAGGTTTTCAGTTATTTGTCTTCTTTGTTCCTTGATATGTCAGAGGATTTTCAGACTTGTCTTTCAACGAGCATGAAAATGTGTTTTCTTTGCAGCCTTTGAAAACCAACAAATTTCGAATCTTGAAATCAAGATATGATTCAATCGACAGCTACCTCTCCAGCTGTGGCGAAAGGTACAATGACATAGATCTGACAATAGACGAGGAGATCAACAAACAGCTGCTGGATGCAGGTAAAGCACTTTGTAACAATAACATAAATATTTGATACTACATGGTGTATAGAAACAATAGAATATGGTGAAGGACAGGTGATTGATGAAAAATACTTTCAAGATGAATAGTGAAATAATCTTACAAAAGAAAAGTAACTTTTGATGTATTTTTCAAGCAATAAAACTGTTTGTACAACCGTTTGTTAACAATGTGGTTATTCATATTTTAATCGTAAAACCTTCTATAGAGAAGTGATCAGAATCTGTTTTTGTAGGGATCGACAAGCTGCTGGCCCAACACGTAGCCCATCTCTTCATCCGGGATCCGCTGTCACTCTTTGAGGAGAAAATCCACCTGGATGATGAAAATGTGTCTGATCACTTTGAGGTAAAAATAATACTATACTAGACTGACTTATAGTGACTACATGACTGTATGCGAACTAGACCAATACTTGTGATTTAGATTTTATAAGGAGGCATTTTAGTTGATATAATCTAATTTCTCTTTCGTCTTTTCTGTCTGTCTTGTAGAATCTGCAGTCAACCAACTGGCAGACCATGAGGTTCAAACCACCTCCTCCAAACTCGGACATCGGATGGCGAGTTGAGTTCCGCCCCATGGAGGTAGCGTAAGCCTTACAACTCTATTGACAAAAAATATTGAATATCATTTGGATATTTGTTTACCTGAAACAAACTCATTGTTTAAGTAAATACTTGCAACATGATTTACATGTACTGTGTCTTAACCTGTTTTTGGACAATGTTTGTAGAGTAGAAATATTCAGTGCATGTTTTCTTTTGTTCCAGGTGCAACTTACTGATTTTGAAAACTCTGCTTACGTTGTCTTCATCGTGCTGCTCACCCGGGTTATACTGTCCTATAAACTGGACTTTCTCATCCCTTTGTCAAAGGTGAGAGCAGCTGTTCTTCTGATATACATTTCATTTGCTGAATTTTAGGAAATTCCATTAAGTTAAGTTCTAGTACATGTAGGGTCATGATACATGTAGGGTCATAACATTAAGTATTCTGTTTTGTCTTTCAAAAGGTTGATGAAAACATGAAAGTTGCCCAGAAAAGAAATGCAGTCCAAGAGGGCATGTTTTATTTCCGGAAGGACATCTATAAAGGTGAGAGGATACGAATCAGATTCCAGTGTTTTGAAACCTGGTCAGGGAGCGTTTTGGCAAAATGTCTGAACAGGTTGATGCTAAATCTTCTCTTGTGTCCTCCCATAGGCTGCAACCCTGCCCTCGATAGCTCCTCATCGGCTGCCCAGAATGGCTTGGACAGTGAGGGTGACAATGAGTACACACTGATGAGCATTGACACAATCATCAACGGAAAGGTGCTTATTAAAGATGCGTTATTATGGTTTTGGGTAATTTCAGCCAGTAGTACGTCATCCATTTTGTATGATATGTAACGTCCTGCAAAAAAAAATGCATATCGTATGATATATGTTACAAATTCCAATTTGTACAATATGTAATGAATTTGTAAGTGCTTAAGATCCCGTTCAATCTCTTTTAATAATAGTTATCATTGAATATATATTTCTCCTGCACTCTTGACTTTAAACCATAAGTTGTTGTTTCTTATCATTTAGGAAGGAGTTTTTCAAGGGTTGATACCGATCCTCAACTGCTACCTGGAAAACATGGAGGTGGACGTCGATACAAGATGCACCATCCTAAACTACCTGAAGCTCATCAAGAGACGCGCCTCAGGTATATTTAGGCAATAAGGCCCAAGGAGGTGTGGTATATGGCCAATACGCACGACGCAACGCAGAGTGCCTGGATACAGCCCTTAGCCGTGTTCTATTGGCCATTTACCACAAACCCCCGAGGTGCCTTATTGCTATTATAAACTGGTTACCAACATAATTAGAGCAATAAAAATAAATGTTTTGTCGTATCTGTGGTATACGGTCTGATACACCACGGCTTTCAGCCAATCAGCATTCAGGGCTCGAACCACCCAGTTTAGAATGAGCAAATAAACAATGACAATTTGACGCTGGGTTAGGTAACAGGGTTTTGTGGGGTATTGGTGTGGCCCATGGGCTTTCCACATCATTGGTGGAGCTTAGCAAAAGCATGCGGCATTCCAATAGTAGAAGGCACATGTTGCTCCCTGACAGTGTCAACAAGGTTTGATAACTCTTGGCTGCTTTGAGAAAGGCAGCCCAATTCTGAACTTTATTTTTCGCTAATGGATTTTTGGACCAATCACATCAGATCTTTTCACATATCTTTTTCAGAGCAGATCTGATTGGTCAAATGAGCAATTTAGTGAAAAAAATAAAAAAGTGTAGAATTGGGCTGCCTGTCTAAACACAGCCTTAGTGCTTTACAGTGTTGAATCTGAACTGAAGCCACATTAGGCCACATTAAATTGTTAATGTATACAGGGTTATAAATGCCAAACAGGCACTTGTTTATATGTTAGTGGTGTAACATCTTAATTATCAACAACAACACGTTTTGCTCACTTTGTTCTTGTTGCTGATGTAGGTGAACTGATGACCATGGCTAAATGGATGAGGGAGTTTGTGGACAAGCACCCCCAATACAAGCAAGACAGCGTCATAACTGACAGAATTAACTACGACCTACTCCGCAAGTGTGACAGCATCACAAAAGGAGAAGAGCGATGCCCAGAACTTATTGGCGACCCAGTCAATCGGGGCAAATGAACTTACTGTCACAGCTGTAATCAATGAATTAATGTGTTGTCCATCATGAGAAGGAAGACCAAATATCTGTCTGGACAAAGTGGTCCAAACAAATTCACTTTTAATGGAGAATATAGAATTGCACGTGTGCATTTGGATGGTCAAGCGGGTGTATTGCATTTGTGTATATACTGTATCAGATTTGTACAATTCGACAATTATTTTAATAGGCGGCAAATTCAATTCAATCGGATGTGTAATAGCAATTGGATATGTAATTTGATATCCTGTGTTCATGGTAACAAAGTCTGACTGTGAGTGTGAAATTATGTAAATGCTGCGAACACTAAAGTTGTACACTAGATTCATTTTAATCTTTAAGTCTACTGTAAATACTGAACTTTGATCTACAAACATTTAACAAGAGTTATTTCATTTCTCGAATGCGGTATATCTGCATTCTGTCAGAAATTATTAGGCCTTTCATGCAAGAAGTGTGAAATTAAAGTCTTTGATTTGCTGTGATGACATAGTAGAATCTTTAAAAAAAAGTAGTCTTGCATTGAAGTGCAGGTGAATGTAAACATTTGATTGGAATGTTATGTCTCAATTAATAAATCTGTGTACAGCACTGACTAAGCATAGTATTTGGCTTGGTTACATGGTTCTATGTTATCTCTGGCTAATATGCTCAATGTAGAGTGAGACCTTTAATCCACTAGAGGGCGCCAGGGACATGAACATAATGTATATTACTGCTATGTGGCCAAATGGACAATATGGAGATGATGTGTTTATTTGGAGCTTTATGCCAATCTTATCAACTAAAAACTCTTTGACGATAGATTAACATATTAAGAATATAGTCTGTCCATTTTACATCAGGGGTGTCAAAGTCATTCCATGGAGGGCCTAGTGTCTGCGGGTTTTAGTTTTTTCCTTTAAATTAAGACCTAGACATCCAGGTGTGGGGAGTTCCTTACTAATTTAGAGACCTTAATTCATCAATCAAGTACAAGAGTGGAGCAAAATCCTGCCGACACTCGGCCCTCCGTGGAATGAGTTTGACACCTGTGATTGACATAGTACCTTCAAGGGAACCTTGCATATATGACAAATCACAGTGAATGTAAAGAACTGATGGTGTTCCAAGCCCTAAAAATGTAGGCCTACACTTGAATAGTGTCAAAGTGCCTACCTATTAAATGGATTCGTCTTGTTAAGCAAGTCCTCCTAGCATTGTGCCAATGTTCAACTTTATCACCATCTGACCAAGGCCATATTTTTCCTTGCCAAAATTGTAAAAGATGCTGACATGTTTTGTAAGGCAAGCGGTTCAAACTTTTTTCAGGCTTTGAAGTCTCCACAGAGTAGGCTAGCTAGGCTATGGTTGTCTTGCAGCAATTGGACAGTTGTACATTTGATGTGTATAAGCCACATATATATATATATATATATATATATAACATACAGTTTGAAAAGAAAAATCTATTAATGTTTAGTTGCCTACACACTAGAGTTTGACATTCTGCCTCACTATAGGATAACATACCAGTGTGGTGATACTGATGGTTTGTTGAGACTGGGTGTTTGTTTACATAGTAGGTGAGGAGAATTAACTTGGCAGGTTAAGATCATTAACGTAGCAGGTTAGGAGAATAAGGTTAAGGTTAGGAAAAGGGTTAGGCTTAGCTGAAATGCTACGGTTGTCAACACCGTATCCCCGACGCGACAACTAGATGGCGCTGTACTAGTATCCACAACCGTACAAACCATCAGTCTCGAAAAACCACCAGTATCATAACACAGGTCACTGAGCTCTGCTCTGCGTAGCCATGTGAGTGATGCAGTGATTTGATTGGTCTCCACTGACGAGAAATGAATGGGGTGACATCGGCTTGCTAACTTACTTACGAACTGGTTGTGAGTGATGCACTGATTTGATTGGTCTCTCCACTGATGAGAAATGAATGGGGTGACATCGGCTTGCTAACCGACTTGCTAACTGGGGCACGTTCAGCAGGATTGAACGTTTTGGAACGTTCAGATAGAAATAGGCTATAATATATATCAAACATGCGTCTCTGACAATAATAAGGAAACACATAGGCTCTATTCATGGGATTTCTATCTGCAACGTTCAAGAACGTTTGGCAACTGAACATGGCGCAGGTTGTAGTTCTACACGTGCCCGCGTTCAACCAGTTAGCAAGTCGGAAATTTCCGAATTTCATAGCTCGGACGTGAACGCCGCATTGGGGCAGAGTCTATTGGGCACATTTTCGTGTCACTTTTTATAAATCCAGCATGTCGCCTATACTATAGGCTACGAATAAAACCTCACGAGTAATCTTGTCCAGACTCCTAACTACAATGCACATACCGGGTGTCTGTAGCCTAGGCAAAATGTAATCATAGGAAAATTCCCTTGATTCTGGATGAAAAGTGTAATGCACAATGTATTACCTATTGACCTACGCCATATTCAAATAAAGTGAAACGTTAACAAACGTGTGATGTAAAAGAGTGCACAGATATTATTAAACACATTCGCTAAAAAAATCGCTGCTAAAATCACTCTAAAAGAGAATAGCTCTTTGGCATACGCAAATGCGCAGTTGTGCATTAAAAGCTTGCCTACAGATGAAATAATGCTAAACTTCACAGGGTGGAGACAGTGCACGCTGATGAGCTTGATGCTCATTTCCAATAAATATCGAGGGTCTTAATCTGGTGACATGATGATCGATTCTTGACTGTGGTTTGACAAATATAAATATTCACGCTCTTATCCATAATAATCTCATTATGTAGCTACCGGCACAGCCTACCCGCGCTGTATCTGCCAGCTGTTGGCTAGAGCGCACATGCCAAGACCAGAGTAGGCTAGCACATTTGCTATTTAATGCAAGAGGTTTTGTGACAAAACAATCAAAAATGCTATAAACACATTGAATTTAAGAGAAAAAAGTACATTTTGTGTGCACTATGTCATCACGCACTGATTTTTATCCACAACAAGTCGGTTTGGTGGAAACACCACTGGTAGGAACATGCCCATATTTTCTTTATGCCGATTTTGGAATATTCAAATGAAAATCTGTCGCCAATTGAATGGAAACCTAGTTTATGTGGGAAATCAAAAACAGCAGACGGTCAAATCATCTTCTGGGTGATGATAACTGCCAATGTGCTTTCCTGTAGGCCGTTAGGCGGGCTGATAGCCAATTATCTACCATATGAAGATGATAGCCTAATAGCTAGATCTCGTCACTTATGACGCTCAGGACAATTTGCCATGTAGACTGAGTTCATGTGTTTCTCCCGCTGTTTCCACTGACCGACGAGGCTGCACATTTGTGCTTTGGGACCCGGGCAGCCAAGATTACGCATCCTCCAGAGGTACGTTTTATGAGCTAGAATGTGGTTGGAAATAAGATATTCTTAGTTTTCATTGAGTTGTGGAAATGCTATAACAGTATTTAGCATACGTAATTGATATACTTGATAATCTACTTTTAGCAGCGATGTCATACTATTTCATGTCTCGCTAGCTAGATCATTTATGTAGGCTATGTAAAACAATTGATGCTGAATCGGTGACCTCTGTGATGCGAACGATTGCGATTGCTGTTTGAGATATGTGTGCGATAAGAGTTGGGCTGATGATTTAGACATTATTGTAATATAGGATTTGTCTACAAGACTAAACTTAGACAGTAGCCTAGTGATAGGCTATGGTAGCCTGCATCCTGATCCAGCACAGCAGCCATAGGCTATCTAACTTGCCTGCTATATATAATAAGTTATAGCGCTATTTGGCTATGATGCTCTCTCTCTTTTTAGTTTTTTTGCTTTGTTTTTATTAGAAAACTTTAACGACATGTTTAGGTAGTGGTTAGATCTGATCAACCGACAACATTTTGAGACAAGTCGGTTATAACTACAAGTCATCACTAACAATAAAGAGAGAAGTTATAGACCTCTATTGACCCATACGTTATCTTGCAAGAATAATGTAAATGTTTTATGTTTGTATTTCTGTGCGTTTGGGACTGCTTGAGCAGCTACATAATAATTATAAAGGAAATATCTGAATGCTTAAAAATATCAAAGCGTTCTTAACATGTGTGGGGTCAATTCCATTTCAATTCCAGTCAATTCAGGAGGTACACTGACATTCTAATTCTAATTCTCTTCAATGGTTTTCCATGAGGAACATTTGGAATTATAATTTTGTTTACATTCGTAATTAACTGGAATTAACTATTGCATTGAGCCAATAGTAAGGATTATCGCTCAAGCCTTAACCTTCTGAATGGACTTTATAGCTTGCCTAAGCAGTAAGTAGACAGGCATCTTTGCGTGTTCTTTCAGTCCGAAAGTGGTTTTATTGTGAAGTCATCGTGACAAATGATCGTACCTCTGCTACAATGAACCAAGCTATGATTCCCCTTCAGCTGCTATGTATAATTAAACAGACATACAGTAGCAGTCAAAAGTTTGGACACACCTACTCATTCAAGGGTTTTTCTTTATTTTAACTATTTTCTACATTGTAGAATAATAGTGAAGACATCAAAACTATGAAATAACACATATGGAATCATGTAGTAACCAAAAAAGTGTTAAACAAATAAAAAAATTATGTATATTTGAGATTCTTTAAAGTAGCCACCCTTTGCCTTGATGACAGCTTTGCACACTCTTGGCATTCTCTCAACCAGCTTCACCTGGAATGATTTTCCAACAGTCTTGAAGGAGTTCCCACATATACTGAGCACTTATTGGCTGCTTTTCCTTCACTCTGCGGTCCGACTCATCCCAAACCATATCAATTGGGTTGAGGTCGGGGGATTGTGGAGGCCAGGTCATCTGATGCAGCACTCCATCACTCTCCTTCTTGGTCAAATAGCCCTTACACAGCCTGGAGGTGTGTTGTTCCTTGTCCTGTTGAAAAACAAATGATAGTCCCACTAAGCCCAAACCAGATGGGATGGTGTATCGCTGCAGAATGCTGTGGTAGCCATGCTGGTTAAGTGTGCCTTGAATTCTAAATAAATCACCTGACAGTGTCACCAGCAAGGCACCCCTTGAACTCTGTGAAGCATTTATTTGGGCTGCAATTTCTGTGGCTGGTAACTCTAATGAACTTATCCTCTGCAGCAGAGGTAACTCTGGGTCTTCATTTCCTGTGGCGGTCCTCATGAAAGCCAGTTTCATCATAGCGCTTGATGGTTTTTGCGACTGCACTTGAAGAAACGTTCAAAGTTCTTGACATTTTCCGGATTGACTGATCTTCATGTCTTAAAGTAATGATGGACTGTCGTTTCTCTTTGCTTATTTGAGCTGTTCTTGCCATAATATGGACTTGGTCTTTTACCAAATAGGGCTATCTTCTGTATACCACCCCTACTTGTCACAACACAACTGATTGGCTCAGTTGCATTAAGAAGGAAAGAAATTCCACAAATTAACTTATATCAAGGCACACCTGTTAATTGAAATGCATTCCAGGTGACTACCTCATGAAGCTGGTTGAGAGAATGCCAAGAGTGTGCAAAGTTGTCATCAAGGCAAAGGGTGGCTACTTTGAAGAATCTCAAATATAAAATATATTTTGATTTGTTTAACACTTTTTTGGTTACTACATGATTCCATATGTGTTATTTCATAGTTGTGATTTCTTCACTATTCTGCCCTACCAAGCAAAAAGGTAGTAACTGCTCATAGCGTGGAACTGAGAAAAATTGCTTTTATTTACCTTGGTTTCACACTAACCTTATATGGTTACTGCTAACATGACCCCCATTTTCTCCAAAACACAATACAATAGAGGCAGGATACTTGTCGACATGATTAAGCATGTATTTAATGTAGCAAATATGACATTAACTCATTTTCAACCAAATGAGCAGTTACTGTCTTTTTGCTTGGTAGGGCAGTATTACTCTACAATGTAGAAAATAGTACAAATGAAGACAAACCCTTGAATGAGTAGGTGTGTCCACACATTTGACTGGTACTGTATTAATATATTTTTTTTTTATTATTTTATTGTTGGGCATAAAAGACTGTAAAAACACCAGCAAATCATCTCCAAATGATTTTAATTTTGGAAATCTGTTCCAAAATATTCCCATTTATAATGGAGAGATATACAGTATGTGATCGTATACAAATGTAAACAAGGTTTGAAATTATTATATTTTTAAATATTATATCTGTTTGGGCTTCTTGCGGTCAATTTGCACTTGACAAATTATTTGTAATTATGTTCCGACCCCCTGACCATCCGCTCAAGAAAAACATCGGCCCGTGGCTGAATCTAGTTGATGATCCCTGACCTAAGTGGTAGTAGTTTACCATACATTTCAGTCTATCAGAGTGTATAACTATGGCTGGTGATAAGCTGCAATGTGTGACTGTAGGTACTCTCTCATCTGTCTGTTCAGGTTGGAAATGGAGGCTTTTAATCATAAACTAAACACGTACATAGACTCATGGATGGGTCCCAGAGGTAAGTGTTATTACTGTTTCATTACTGTATATTAAATTACAGTATAAGAATTATCATATGAATCAATGCTTAGTTATGGACTATTGACATAAAATGATTTATCACCATATATCTCCTCACAAAATGTTTGCATTGTGTTAATACATGGTCCTGCAGTGGAATGCACCAGGTCTGTTTGCACCTCCATGATTCTAGCATAACCTTTCCAGGAGTTAAACAAACATGCTTCGGTAGTCACTGCCAATTCTCATTCAAACTGTGTTGTGTCCTCTTGCCCTCTCCAACCAATATGCCCGCCCTGCAGTGTAGCTACAGATGTAGGATCTTAATTTGATCACTTTTCTGTTGTTGATGAGCTTTGTGATTTACATCAATTCACTAAAAACCCACACTAACAAACAGTTATATTAACAGTATTGCACTTTTCATGTAGCCTACTTTTGGCCAGCTAATAACCTAACCACTGATCAAACAACATTATGGACTAAACAGTTCAAATCCTGTTGCTGCAGGATTATTTTGCTGTGAACAACATAGGTCAAATTAAGATCCTACATAGGTCAAATTAAGATCCTACATCTGTACCACTCTCTACGCTCAGTGCTATCTCCCTGGTTCAGGGGATACAGTAAATGTGGGAATAATGTTCAGGAAAAAGGGAACATTCTACTGTATATTGTAATACGAGGCTGTTCTCTTGTATTTCAGATGAGCGGATACAGGGATGGCTGCTGCTAGACAACTACCCTCCAACCTTTACACTAACACTCATGTACCTGCTGATCGTATGGGTGGGACCCAAGTACATGAGACACAGACAGCCGGTGTCTTGCCAGGGCCTCCTGGTGCTCTACAATCTGGGCCTCACGATCTTGTCCTTCTATATGTTCTATGAGGTAGGCAGGCAGGCTACACCTGAAGGTGGTGTTGGTGTCATCGCAATGCAACGCTGCAGGTGGATGAGGGGAAGTGAGAGGATCGGGTGACTGATAGAAGTGGCTAAAGGACCATTTTATTTTGCTGAAGGATTCTGTGAGGATGAGGGAAACTGTGATCTTTGATTCGGATTAGACACAAATGCCGTCTTGCACTGAAGCCACCCCGGGACACAATGCTGTGAGGGAGTGAGTGGGGCACAGCTGGTCTCTGACAGGATCATTGTTAACACAAACAAATCTCTCACCCAATGTCAACACAGCCCTCAATTGTTTTCTGAAAACCTGCTATTATTATTAGAATGTTTGAAGTTGCAACTTCTAATTCTGAAATGGTTGACAGTATATACTGATGTACTGTCTGTATCCTCAGTGGATGGCTATGCTAGTAGTTGATAGCATTATCCCTAATTATCCCTATAGTGTAATGAAACGGGAGGGAAGGTGAGCTGCCAATGCTTTCTGTAGTGTAATCAGTTGTGGTAGTAAATATGTCAACATAGTGTTATATACAGTGAGGGAAAAAAGTATTTGATCCCTGCTGATTTTGTACGTTTGCCCACTGACAAAGAAATGATCAGTCTATAATTTTAATGGTAGGTTTATTTGAACAGTCAAAGACAGAATAACAACAAAAAAATCCAGAAAAACGCATGTTAAAAATGTTATAAATTGATTTGCATTTTAATGAGGGAAATAAGTATTTGACCCCCTCTCAATCAGAAAAGATTTCTGGCTCCCAGGTGTCTTTTATACAGGTAACGAGCTGAGATTAGGAGCACACTCTTAAAGGGAGTGCTCCTAATCTCAGCTTGTTACCTGTATAAAAGACACCTGTCCACAGAAGCAATCAATCAGATTCCAAACTCTCCACCATGGCCAAGACCAAAGAGCTCTCCAAGGATGTCAGGGTCAATATTGTAGACCGACACAAGGCTGGAATGGGCTACAAGGCCATCGCCAAGCAGCTTGGTGAGAAGGTGACAACAGTTGGTGCGATTATTCGCAAATGGAAGAAACACAAAAGAACTGTCAATCTCCCTCGGCCTGGGGCTCCATGCAAGATCTCACCTCGTGGAGTTGCAATGATAATGAGAACGGTGAGGAATCAGCCCAGAACTACACTGGAGGATCTTGTCAATGATTTCAAGGAAGCTGGGACCATAGTCACCAAGAAAACAATTGGTAACACACTACGTCGCGAAGGACTGTAATCCTGCAGCGCCCGCAAGGTCCCCCTGCTCAAGAAAGCACATATACAGGCCCGTCTGAAGTTTGCCAATGAACATCTGAATGATTCAGAGGAGAACTGGGTGAAAGTGTTGTGGTCAGATGAGACCAAAATCGAGGTCTTTGGCATCAACTCAACTCGCCGTGTTTGGAGGAGGAGGAATGCTGCCTATGACCCCAAGAACACCATCCCCACCGTCAATCATGGAGGTGGAAACATTATGCTCTGGTGTTTTTTTCTGCTTAGGGGACAACTTCACCGCATCAAAGGGACGATGGACGGGGCCATGTACCGTCAAATCTTGGGTGAGAACCTCCTTCCCTCAGCCAGGGCATTGAAAATGGGTCGTGGATGGGTATTCCAGCATGACAATGACTCAAAACACACGGCCAAGGCAACAAAGGGGTGGCTCAAGAAGAAGCACATTAAGGTCCTGGAGTGGCCTAGCCAGTCTCCAGACCTTAATCCCATACAAAATCTGTGGAGGGAGCTGAAGGTTCGAGTTGCCAAACGTCAGCCTCAAAACCTTAATGACTTGGAGAAGATCTGCAAAGAGTGGGACAAAATCCCTCCTGAGATGTGTGCAAACCTGGTGGCCAACTACAAGAAATGTCTGACCTCTGTGATTGCCAACAAGGGTTTTGCCACCAGGTACTAAGTCATGTTTTGCAGATGGGTCAAATACTTATTTCCCTCATTAAAATGCAAATCAATTTATAACATTTTTGACATGCGTTTTTCTGGATTTTTTTGTTGTTATTCTGTCTCTCACTGTTCAAATAAACCTACCATTAAAATTATAGACTGATCATGTCTTTGTCAGTGGGCAAACGTACAAAATCAGCAGGGGTTCAAATACTTTTTTCCCTCACTGTACAGTACCAGTCAAACGTTTGGACACACCTACTCATTCAAGGGTTTTTCTTTATTTTTACTATTTTCTAAATTGTAGAATAATAGTGAAGACATCAAAACAATGAAATAACACATATGGAATCATGTAGTAACCAAAAAATATATTTTATATTTGAGACTCTTCAAAGTAGCTACCCTTTGCCTCGATGACAGCTTTGCACACTCTTGGCATTCTCTCAACCAGCTTCACCTGGAATGATTTTCCAACAGTGCAACAGTCTTGAAGGAGTACCCAAATAAGCTGAGCACTTGTTCGCTGCTTTTCCTTCACTCTGCGGTCCAACTCATCCCAAACCATCTCAATTGGGTTGATGTCGGGGGATTGTGGAGGCCAGGTCATCTGATGCAGCACTCCATCACTTTCCTTCTTGGTCAAGTAGCCCTTACATTCCTTACACAGCCTGGAGGTGTGTTGGGTCATTGTCCTGTTGAAAAACAAATGATTGTCCCACTATGCCCAAACCAGATGGGATGGCGTATCGCTTCAGAATGCTGTGGTAGCCATGCTGGTTACGTGTGCCTTGAATTCTATATAAATCACAGACAGTGTTACCAGCAAAGCACCCCCATACCATCACACCTCCTCCTCCATGAGAGATGTGTCTGTTACTTGATCTCTGTGAAGCACTTATTTGGGCTGCAATTTCTGAGGCTGGTAACTTTAATGAACTTATCCTCTGCATCAGAGTTAACTCTGGGTCTTCCTTTCCTGTGGCGGTCCTCATGAGAGCCAGTTTCATCATAGCGCTTGATGGTTTTTGCGACTGCACTTGAAGAAACTTTCAAAGTTCTTCACATTTTCCGTATTGACTGACATTCATGTCTTAAAGTAATGATGGACTGTCGTTTCTCTTTGCTTATTTGAGCTGTTCTTGCCATAATATGGACTTGGTCTTTTACCAAATAGGGCTATCTTCTGTATACCTTGTCACAACACAACTGATTGGCTCAAACGCATTAAGAAGGAAAGAAATTCCACAAATTAACTTTTAACAAGGCACACCTGTTAATTGAAATGCAATCCAGGTGACTACCTCATGCATCTGGTTGAGAGAATGCCAAGAGTGTCTAAAGGTGTCATCAAGGCAAAGGGTGGCTACTTTGAAGAATCTCAAATATAAAATATATTTGGATTTGTTTAACACTTTTTTGGTTACTACATGATTCCATATGTGTTATTTCATAGTTTTGATGACTTCACTATTATTCTACAATGTAGAAAATGTAAAAAATAAATAAAATACCTTGAATGAGTAGGTGTTCTAAAACTTTTGACCAGTAGTACACTACCGTTCAAAAGTTTGTGGTCACTTAGAAATTTCCTTGTTTTCCATTAAAGCATACATTAAATGAGTTTGAATAGGAAATATAGCAAAATGAATAGGAAATGTAGTCATTGACAAGGTTAAAAATAATTGTGTCCTTCAAACTTTGCTTTCGTCAAAGAATCCTCCATTTGCATCAATTACAGCCTTGCAGACCTTTGGCATTCTAGTTGTCAATTTGTTGAGGTAATCTGAAGAAATTTCACCCCATGCTTCCTGAAGCACCTCCCACAAGTTGGATTGGCTTGATGGGCACTTCTTACGTACCATATGGTCAAGCTGCTCCCACAACAGCTCAATAGGGTTGAGATCCGGTGACTGTGCTGGCCACTCCATTATAGACAGAATACCAGCTGACTGCTTCTTACCTAAATAGTTATTGCATAGTTTGGAGCTGTGCTTTGGGTCATTGTCCTGTTATAGGAGGAAATTGGCTCCAATCAAGCGCCATCCACAGGGTATGGCATGGCATTGCAAAATGGAGTGATAGCCTTCCTTCTTCAAGATCCCTTTTACCCTGTACAAATCTCCCACTTTACCACCAACAATGCACCCCCAGACCATCACATTGCCTCCACCATGCTTGACAGATGGCATTAAGCACTCCTCCAGCATCTTTTAATTTGGTCTGCATCTCACAGATGTTCTTCTTTGTGATCCGAATACCTCAAACTTCGATTTGTCTGTCCATAACACTTATTTCCAATCTTCCTCTGTCCAGTGTCTGTGTTCTTTTGCCCATCTTAATCTTTTCTTTTTATTGTCCAGTCTGAGATATGGCTTTTTCTTTGCAACTCTGCCTAGAAGGTCAGCATCCCGAAGTCGCCTCTTCACTGTTGACGTTGAGACTGGTGTTTTGCGGGTACTATTTAATGAAGCTGCCAGTTGAGGACCTGTGAGGCGTCTGTTTCTCAAACTAGACACTCTAATGTATTTGTCTTATTGCTCAGTTGTGCACCGGGGCCTCCCACTCCTCTTTCTATTCTGGTTAGAGACAGTTTGCGCTGTTCTGTAAAGGGAGTAGTACACAGCGTTGTACGAGATCTTCAGTTCCTTGGCAATTTCTCGCATGGAATAGCCTTCATTTCTCAGAACAAGAATAGACTCACAAGTTTCAGAAGAAAGTTCTTTGTTTCTGGCCATTTTGAGCCTGTAATCGAACCCACAATTGCTGATGCTCCAGATACTCAACTAGTCTCAAGAAGGCCAGTTTTATTGCTTCTTTAATCAGCACAAGAGTTTTCAGCTGTGCTAACATAATTGCAAAAGGGTTTTCTAATGATCAATTATCCTTTTAAAATGATAAACTTGGATTAGCAAACACAATGTGCCATTGGAACACAGGACTGATGGTTGCTGATAATGGGCCTCTGTACGCCTATGTAGATATTCCATTAAAAATCAGCAGTTTCCAGCTACAATAGACATTTACAACATTAACAATGTCTACACTGTATTTCTGATAAATCTGATGTTATTTTAATGGACAAAAAAAGTGCTCTTCTTTCGAAAACAAGGACATTTCTAAGTGACCCCAAACCTTTGAACGGTAGTGTATATACTGATGTACTGTCTGTATCCTCATTGGATGGCTATGCTAGTAGTTGATAGCATTATCCCTAATTATCCCTATAGTGTAATGAAACGGGAGGGAGGGTGAGCTGCCGATGCTTTCTGTGTGGTAGTAAATATTTCAACATAGAGTAATATACATGGTGTAATATGACATCCTCTAAATGTAATGAGGTAGTTATACTGACGATGAGGGACAAAGTCTGTTCTCCATGCACGTGTAAGTCTTAAGTCTTCTATTCTCACCACCCTGGCCAAACTGGCTCAATTCGGTCTGCATTGCATAACCCCTCAAAAGATTGGCTGTGCCCATGCTGTGTAAATCAGTACAAAGCAGTTGCTTGCCGTTATCACCTGTCTACGGCACTTAAAGAAATTGCATTTTCACAATGTTATAGGTGTGGTTTGATTTAAGATGTGTTTTAAATAGCCATACTGAATAGCAAAATACCAAGGGCATAGGCCTGATAGGTTTGTAGGTTCGTTAAGTTACCATGGATGCAAGCTGGACACAATAAAGGCTTTAGGTTTAGAAACAGATCCTGAGCTCACTCTGCATTTTAGATAGTCAATATTGATTGGAATGCGCTGGCTCTTAAGCTAATTAAAACAGTTTCTTCTGCAGGAAAGTGGGTCTTCACTAATATCACGAATCAGCACTGTTCCACCCAAATCTATATGGACATTTACCCCATATTTCCTTTGTTTTGAATTAAGAGTAAAGAAGATTTAGTACTAGTGTATTAGTAATAAATAGTGTATTATAACTCAAATAGCCTAGTATGCAGTATATTGTTGTGAATAATCATGTTGCTAATACAGTAAACGTGTCCATGCAGCATCACAACAACAGGCATGACAGTGGCATTGTTGAATGATTAGACACTCTCTGTGTAGAGACTTTTGTGTTGTTATTCGATGAGTCCTCTGCATGTTCGGGATTACCCAGTTGAGTAGTGGATCACAACATCTGCCAATCCCAGGCCTGTCCCTGTTCTGTTTTCATCCCCATGGGCACATGCAGGGCAGTCACTCTCCTGATGCCACAATCATCGGATAATGCCACTGTATGCCTCGAAGTCATCAACGTAATTAGATCCCTGCTTTGCCCTGCTTTTTTATCGTCCTGTTCTTGAGCCAAATGCACTAAAGTCCTGTGGGAAAGCTTAATGTTCCTCAGAATCATGTTTTATTCAGTAGAACATAACAAGGGGGGCAATTCTGACCAATGGGTTCTGCTCTGAGTTTGATGAGGTCATATTGAGCACAAAACACTTGAAGCTGAACCTGAATCTTGGTATGTCTTTAGATGCTTTATATTTAAATCCTTGTTTTTGTCAGTTATTCAAGGCAGTGGTGGATAAAGGCAGAGCTATTTCCATCCATCCCAAATTAGACTAAATGTGTGAACACTGGCCTGCTCAAAAACAAACAATACAGGGATCCAATGTTGCAGTGGCAACAAAAAGGATACTGATATTCTCTCTGGTAAAGGAGACTAAATGGAGATGACGAGACTCTGGGATATAATATTGTTCACTACTTCCTCTTTCCACTCCTGCAGCAAGTATATGAAGCTAGCATCCTAAATGCCAATGTAAATTCTAACAGTTCTACACTCAGCTTTTGGGTGGAGAAAGCAAATTGATGTTGCAAGTGTTTTTCAATTTGGATCTTGTGACACTTGCAATACAATAATGAAATAAATGTGATATTACAAGGGCAGTGCAGTATTTGGGTGATTTAAAGTTGTTTGAAGATGTCAAAGACTTGACAATCTATTTGTTTCTACATCACCTTATGGTCTGTCTCCAGATGGTGTCTGCTGTGTGGCACGGGGGTTATAACTTCTACTGCCAAGACACACATAGTGCAGGAGAAACAGATACCAAGGTAAGACGGTCTTACTCAATATCACTATACATCACCCCTCTGTTTTATATTCAATTCTATATAAGTGAACAATCTGTGTTAGGTTCAAAATATGGACTGTATATGCGGTTTAAAAAATGCATTGTCACCAGACACCAGCTTGACTTCACCCTTTCACTCATTCTGTTCATTCTCTTCAACTATGTTTGTCCTGGTGGCTTCCAATTCTACTGGTTCAATTTATGTCAGACAGTACCTGCAAATCCTAACAGATAAGCCACAGGGTCAGACAGCCAGTCTATTTAATCTGTGCTGCTGTGTCATCAGTATTTACTCTCTGTAATGTCCCTTGGGAACATTGAACACTGAGAGGAAACTTGTTCTCACTGAAATGTGCGATTGGATTGCAGTTATGCTGTGATTAAAACGTGTAAAAGTGTCCCTGCTGTCACAGCAGTGAATTAGCGTATTTTTCTCTTTGTCCTTAATACAGATTTCAAAGGCATTTCTGTGCAGATGACCAATTTTGGTCCCTCAAAACATTTTACTTTTTGGGTCAAATTATTTGCACTGGCCAGTCCTCATTAAAAAAAAGTAAAATACAAATCTGGCAATGTATGCCTCTCAGGAGGAACATTGAGTATGTTCTTGCAGGAAAGATATTGTATTGCCTGAAAGCTAGGAAAGTGAACTACTAGAAAATATATTGTATTGCCTGAAAGTGTGATTCTTCTTCTTATATTTGTTTCTCGTCTCAGATCATTCATGTGCTGTGGTGGTACTACTTCTCCAAGATTATAGAGTTTATGGACACCTTCTTCTTCATCCTACGGAAGAACAACCATCAGATCACGTTTCTGCACATCTACCACCACGCTAGCATGCTCAACATCTGGTGGTTCGTCATGAACTGGGTGCCCTGTGGTCACTGTGAGTGTTCTAACACAACATTCCCTTTCTATCCTCAACACTGTGGTCACTGTGAGTGTTCTAACACAACATTCCCTTTCTATCCTCAACACTGTGGTCACTGTGAGTGTTCTAACACAACATTCCCTTTCTATCCTCAACACTGTGGTCACTGTGAGTGTTCTAACACAACATTCCCTTTCTATCCTCAACACTGTGGTCACTGTGAGTGTTCTAACACAACATTCCCTTTCTATCCTCAACACTGTGGTCACTGTGAGTGTTCTAACACAACATTCCCTTTCTATCCTCAACACTGTGGTCACTGTGAGTGTTCTAACACAACTTGGCCATTGTGGAGAGGTTGGAGTCTGTTTGATTGAGTGTGTGGACAGGTGTCTTTTATACAGGTAACGAGTTCAAACAGGTGCAGTTAATACAGGTAATGAGTGGAGAACAGGAGGGCTTCTTAAAGAAAAACTAACAGGTCTGTGAGAGCCGTAATTCTTACTGGTTGGTAGGTGATCAAATACTTATGTCATGCAATAGAATGCAAATTAATTACTTAAAAATCATACAATGTGATTTTCTGGATTTTTGTTTTAGATTCCGTCTCTCACAGTTGAAGTGTACCTATGATAAAAATTACAGACCTCTACATGCTTTGTAAGTAGGAAAACCTGCAAAATCGGCAGTGTATCAAATATTTGTTCTCCCCACTGTACATGGTATGTTATTATTTTAAGTAGCTATACAGGTGTTATAGAGGACATGGTTTTCTTGAATTGATTCTGTGACTGAGATACTTTCAAGTGAAGTTGATCGTTTTTTAGATGGTAAAGGAATCAAGTGTGAATTGAACCTACTGCTATTTCAGGACTGTACGGCATGTATTTTTTCAGTGATATACTGTACCCTCACCTCCTAATTGCTTTACCCTCTCACTGTGTCCTAGAATAGGACCCTCTGACCTACGTCTAACAGCTCTCTGTGTTTTACAGTGGACTCTCTGAGAATGAACACCTCAGCTGCTTTCTACTGTGTGCCATTGTCACAGCTATTTCTTACTATTATAAAACAGGCACTGAATAGCAAGAATTGTAATTTCGTCATTCACTGATGTCTCTGACCCTGCTACTGTACTGTAGATGAATCACCCACCCCCTCTCTCCTGTCTTTTCCTCAGCCTACTTTGGTGCCTCCCTCAACAGCTTCATCCATGTCCTGATGTACTCTTACTATGGGCTCTCTGCTGTCCCGGCCATACGGCCCTATCTATGGTGGAAGAAATACATCACACAAGGACAGCTGGTGAGCCTGCATGTCCCTGTTTCAAACCTCAGAGATGGACTTTCACGTCCATAGTCATCATCCAGCGGTGGAGGCTGCTGAGGGGAAGACGGCTCATAATAATGGCCGGAACAGAGTCCATGGAATGGCATCAATCACCTGTAAACCATGTGTTTGATGTATTTGATACCATTCCACTGATTCCGCTCCAGTCATTACCACGAGCCCGTTCTACCCAATTAAGGTGCCACCAGCCTCCTGTGCCCTCCAGTGTATAGCTCAGCCAGTTTCAGGGTCTTAGTGAATGTGACAAAGGCCCCATGAGATGAAACAAAAACATGAACCATTGGTACAGATTGAAAGTGCAACATTACCCACATCCTTTTAAGGTATTTTTTAGGCCAATGGATCAATGGCATTAATTCATGCATACTGTGTGTTTTTGTGTGTGTGTATGTATTGACGTTGACATAGTTTACAAACAATGAATTCCAGTTTTGTTTCATTCCTCTATAGATTCAGTTCTTTTTGACCATGTCCCAGACCGTATGTGCAGTCATTTGGCCATGTGGTTTCCCCAGAGGCTGGCTGTATTTCCAGATATTCTATATGGCCTCGCTTATTGCCTTTTTCTCAAACTTCTACATTCAGGTGAGCAAATATACAACTCTTGCATTAATTAATTAATTAATTAGACATTATTATTTCAATTAATTATGGTGTTGTGAAGTATTTTACACTGGTGGTGACAGGGTTAAATATAACGTGCATTGTTGTCTACAGTAGTGTTTTGCAGATTTTGAGCACATCCTAATGTGTTGACTCCTTCCCTCTGTTTTTAGACTTACAAGAAACACAGTGTTTCACAAAAGAAGGAGTATCATCACAATGGCTCTGTTGATTCACTGAATGGCCATGCGAATGGGGTGACACCCACAGAAACCATTACACACAGAAAAGTGAGGGCAGACTGAAGCTTGAATAACCTCACAATCCTAACTGTAGGACATATCTACTGTATGTAATATTGCTAGGAGAGATGAAGGATTTCTTATGAAAGAAATGTATTAGAAGAGACTAGCTAGTTTATTCACAATATACAAAAAGCCATGTTTATCTGAAAGAGATTCCTAACGTTTTGCACACCGCAGCCTGTTATTATTCATATTGAATCAAAGTTCTTTACAGTTAAGTAACAAGCATAGCAGAGGGAATACAGTACAACACAGCCCCAGAGACCCACTTCCTCTTAAGGCTGCACAACATCTTCAACTATGTATGTCTTCAGTCTGGTGGGGACATAGCTTTAAGCAACCTTGACCCATACAGAAATAACAATGTTTTCCTATGTTTTAATTCCCAACGTATGCACTTGTCTACATGCTAGATTTTGTCCCGATTGGAAAATCAATTTTTAGGATTCCCTTGCTTAGAGACAAGGCTGTCACAGTGTCAAATGTGTCCACTGAGTAACTCTATCCATTGAGTATGGCAACTCTCCTTAGAGAGGTTCACCTTCATTGTATGCATTGTAAATGCATGACTCAGGAGAGCTATAGTTTAAAACCAGTTGCAATAATAGATTTGTCTATTGTCTGTATCAGTTGAACAGGTTTGAAAAGTATTTGGCCATCAAATGGCACTGATCAGAACAATACGTTATGTGAATGAGAAATACTATAAATTCACATTTTTACTTTAGGTCTTGCTTTAGATATTGCTATTGCTATAGCAATAGTTTACATACAAGGACATTTTATGAGAGCCCTAATCTCTTGTGGACAGATGCAGGTAACATAAATCGAGCATCTGACGCAATTATGCGATTTTAGTTCTGGGTGTCTGAGAGTATGAGAACCCTAGCTACTTACTGCACAATACTATTCCTCTACAGTAGCAATTTAGTTTCTATCTAATGTTTTCCCAGTTGGAATATTTATTACCTACTTTATTGTACCATATTATACAACAAAAAGCCAAAATCACACTGATCGTGTCATGGATTGTGTTAAAAATAGATGAAGCATGTTGAAATAGTTAAATGTGTCTACTCAACCCTCAGAATTCAGCCCCATATGATATTACCGTATTAATGTATGCACGCTTGACTGTAAGTCACTTTGAATAACAGCGTCTTGTAAATGGCTTATTATTATTATTATTATTATTATTATTATTATTATTATTATATGACATACATTCTCATATTCTCATTATCTTTCTGAACCCAAAGTCACCGTTTTACTGTCATCATCTGTATGCTTAGATTTTCAACCTCATCTCCATGGAATGCAGAAAACAATGAATACAATTATAAACTAAACTTACAACTGTTTGTATCATGTTGAATATAGTTTATATTTAATATAGTTTTATATATATATATATATATATATATATATATATATACACACACACACACACACACACACACACACACACACACACACACACACACACACACACACACACACACACACACACATACATACATATACATACATACATACATACATACATACATACATACATACATACATACATACATACATACAGTGCATTCGGAAAGTATTCAGACCCCTTCACTTTTTCCACATTTTGTTACGTTACAGCCTTATTCTAAAATTGATTAAATTGTTTTTTTCCCTTATCAATCTACACATAATACCCCATAATGACAAAGCGAAAAGTGGTTTTTAGACATTTTTGCTAATCGATTACAAATAAAAAAACTGAAATATCACATTTACATCAGTATTCAGACCCTTTACTCAGTACTTTGTTGAAGCACCTTTTGCAGCGATTACAGCATCGAGTCTTCTTGGGTATTCTCCCATTCTTCTTTGCAGATCCTCTCAAGCTCTGTCATGTTGGATGGGGAGCGTTGCTGCACAGCTTTTTTCAGGTCTCTCCAGAGATGTTTGATCGGGTTCAAGTCCGGGCTCTGGCTGGGCCACTCAAGGACATTCAGAGACTTGTACCGAAGCGACTCCTGCATTGTCTTGGGTGCAGGCTGCGGTTTTTGCTTTGTCATTATGGGGTATTGTGTGTAGATTGCAGAGGAACCATTTAAAAAAAATCCATTTTAGATTAAGGCTGTAACGTAAACAAAATGTGGAAAAATTCAAGGGGTCTGAATACTTTCTGAAGGCACTATCTATCTATCTATCTATCTATCTATCTATCTATCTATCTATCTATCTATCTATCTATCTATCTATCTATCTATCTATCTATCTATCTATCTATCTATCTATATATATACAGTGGGGAGAACAAGTATTTGATACACTGTTGATTTTGCAGGTTTTCCTACTTACAAAGCAGGTAGAGGTCTGTAATTTTTATCATAGGTACAACTGTGAGAGACGGAATCTAAAACAAAAATCCAGAAAATCACATTGTATGATTTTTAAGTAATTAATTTGCATTTTATTGCATGACATAAGTATTAGATCACCTACCAACCAGTAAGAATTCCGGCTCTGACAGACCTGTTAGTTTTTCTTTAAGAAGCACTCCTGTTCTCCACTTATTACCTGTATTAACTGCACCTGTTTGAACTCGTTACCTGTATAAAAGACACCTGTCCACACACTCAATCAAACAGACTCCAACCTCTCCACAATGGCCAAGACCAGAGAGCTATGTAAGGACATCAGGGATACAATTGTAGACCTGCACAAGGCTGGGATGGGCTACAGGACAATAGGCAAGCAGCTTGGTGAGAAGGCAACAACGTTGGCGCAATTATTAGAAAATGGAAGAAGTTCAAGATGACGGTCAATCACCCTCGGTCTGGGGCTCCATGCAAGATCTCACCTCGTGGGGCATCAATGATCATGAGGAAGGTGAGGGATCAGCCCAGAACTACACGGCAGGACCTGGTCAATGACCTGAAGAGAGCTGGGACCACAGTCTCAAAGAAAACCATTAGTAACACACTACGCCGCCATGGATTAAAATCCTGCAGCGCACGCAAGGTCCCCCTGCTCAAGCCAGCGCATGTCCAGGCCTGTCTGAAGTTTGACAATGACCATCTGGATGATCCAGAGGAGGAATGGGAGAAGGTCATGTGGTCTGATGAGACAAAAATAGAGCTTTTTGGTCTAAACTCCACTCGCCATGTTTGGAGGAAGAAGGAGGATGAGTACAACCCCAAGAACACCATCCCAACCGTGAAGCATGGAGGTGGAAACATCATTCTTTGGGGATGCATTTCTGCAAAGGGCACAGGACGACTGCACCGTATTGAGGGGAGGATGGATGGGGCCATGTATCGCTAGATCTTGGCCAACAACCTCCTTCCGTCAGTAAGAGCATTGAAGATGGGTCGTGGCTGGATCTTCCAGCATGACAACGACCCGAAACACACAGCCAGGGCAACTAAGGAGTGGCTCCATAAGAAGCATCTCAAGGTCCTGGAGTGGCCTAGCCAGTCTCCAGACTTGAACCCAATAGAAAATCTTTGGAGGGAGCTGAAAGTCCGTATTGCCCAGCGACAGCCCCGAAACCTGAAGGATCTGGAGAAGGTCTGTATGGAGGAGTGGGCCAAAATCCCTGCTGCAGTGTGAGCAAACCTGCTCAAGACCTACAGGAAACGTATGATCTCTGTAATTGCAAACAAAGGTTTCTGTACCAAATATTAAATTCTGCTTTTCTGATGTATCAAATACTTATGTCATGCAATAAAATGCAAAAGAATTACTTAAAAATCATACAATGTGATTTTCTGGATTTTTGTTTTAGATTCCGTCTCTCACAGTTGAAGTGTACCTATGATAAGAATTACAGACCTCTACATGCTTTGTATGTAGGAAAACCTGCAAAATCGGCAGTGTATCAAATACTTGTTCTCCCCACTGTGTATATATATATATGCTGTGTTTTAAACCCACTCCTCCCTCTTACACTAGTGTTTGCCTCATTAGATTGAATCAGGATACAAGTTACATCAAGCCATGATGTGACTATTTTGTTTTTTCCAAAGCGTTGCCTTAATAGATGTTACCTATATGTTTATACATGTTCACACTTGTTTATACTTGTTCCCTTAATTATGGCATTGTATATTAAGTCCACGTATGCCTTAATTATGAAATACAAGGGCCAAATCGCCAACTTCTATTGTAGAGATGTGTATCGCTTTGAAAGCCATTTAAAGCCACTTAGCACTGAAAAGTGGAAACGCTTCTCCGTGGCAGCGTTTACACATGCAGCCCAATTTAGATATTTCACTAATTGGTCTTTTGACCAATCAGATCAGATCAGAAATAGATCTGATGTGAAAAGATCTGATGTGATTGGTCAAAAGACCAATTAGTGGAACAAATATTAGAATTGGGCTGCCTGTTTAAACGCAGCCTAAGTCAGCTGAATAATGTAATCTACTGTTGAAATATTGTCAGATGAATGATGTAATCAACTGTTGTAAATGTGGTCAGATGAAAGATGTAATCAACTGTTGAAATGTGGGTGGATGAATGATGTAATCAACTGTTGAAATATTGTCGGATGAAGGATGTAATCAACTGTTGAAATATTGTCAGATGAATGATGTAATCAACTGTTGTAAATGTGGTCAGATGAAAGATGTAATCAACTGGTGAAATGTGGTCAGATGAATGATGTAATCAACTGTTGAAATGTGGTCAGATGAATGACGTAATCAACTATTGAAATGTGGTCAGATGAATGACTTGTTTTGAGAGAGAAACAGCAGGACACAACATTATCATGTCCTCATAATCTATGAATAGACTGCAAAATTAGATTTGTATCCACAGTAATCTGTAGAGATGTTCTCAGCTTTTTAACAATTCAAGTAAAGCCAGCCTCGAAGCTGTTGCATTTGTAATGTCACTGCGATTTGAATGAATAAAAGCATTCATGTTTCATCTGGATCTCCCATGGTGTATTTCAGGCATCATTCTAGATGGAGCACTCTGATCAAGCCACAGCATGTACTGCTTCCTCATTAGCATTATCACTTACAATGATATTACCTAGCTACAGTCTCTCGCTCCTTGTTATTATTAAGCCAGCTATTTTACAGTAAGCCTATTGTTTATATTATAGATATTTAAATCATTTTAAAGTGTGTACTCAGTTATGCACCCCATAAGTAATCATAATTTGTCATGTCACAAATCTCAGATGATTTCTTCCTCTGTTCTTGTATGTTAATCTTCCCTGGTAGGTGAACCAAAGTATCATGTGGGGGAATACTCTGTTTTCAGTCCACAGACTTTGATCCATGGGTTATAATCATGATGACCTTGAAGAAGATGAAGACAACATGAGTGTTATGACAGTGTTATGAAGACACACCGCTACATGACACCTGCACAACTATTGAAGGTCTTGTGAAAATATATGATTTCACCATTATCATCTGAGAGGAAAGCTAATTTTAAATCGAGCTTTTGCATTCAACCATCAATTTAATTTAGATAAATATCACTAAAGAGAACCTTTAATACGATAAAGGTAGTGATGCGACTTAGCAAGCTTCCAATCATCATATTTTGTAATCCGATACAAATTGAATGTAGTAGATCAAATATTTTTCAAATCCGTTTCAGCTTTTCAGCCCTGGGTTCCTAGAATATGTAATAGGTGGATTATGTGTGCGGTATGGGACAGTGTTGTATTAAGATTGGGGTTGTGTAAGAACTCTAACGGAGTTGTGTTTTGGTTGTTGGTGTGTGTGCGTGCTTTACGCCTAATACTCACAGATGACTGAGCACTGTTTAGATTCCATTTCTTGTATTGTAAAAGCTAGTGAACTACTGTGCCAAAGTAGGTCACATGATTTCACTGCACCAGGCAGCTACAATCACTGAAGCACGCAATTTAATTCAAAACTTCAATTTATAGTGTAATATATTATCCCAAATGCATTGCTTAGTAAACTACTGTTGGGTGTCTCCTCCCTCATCCTAAATCTGACAAGAAAAACAACTACACATGGTTCCCACATTTCTTTATTCCAGTTGATTTACCAGATGGGAGAAAACAGCTTACTAGTGAATTAACAAAAATGATGTGAAAACATTAATTGTTGGGAACAGGTGAAAAACGTCCTACTAATGCCATTCTATGTCATCATACTGGACATCTATCCAGTATCTAAAAGAAAAACCAGTAGAAGGATTTTTGTTTTGTGACAGCAAAAACACAATGGCTATGTGGCACACACACACCATAAGATTAGAAGCAGATGCAAATTGATTGGTATACATACATTCATTAAAAACCATAATATCAACCACAAGCCAACAGGAAGATAGATATGCATTTAGTCTAGGTGTTGTGTAAACTTCTGGGTGGTTGCTACTTCAGTAGTGACATGTATCTCTTCTGTCGGCTGCCCTACAATGGGCGTTCAGAAAACGCTGTGTAGCTCTTCACACGTGCAAAGTAGAAAGATGCATACATCTGGTCCAAGTCAAAGGCAGTGACAACTGTCTCTCCGGTGGATCTTCAAAGAAGTAAACATTAATTTCACATTTTATGTTCCCAATCACTATTATCTCGTGCAATGACATTCATAGATTGAATGCTGTCAAATCAAAACCCTGGCTACCCAGTGTATTACCTGTAGGTGATGTGGCAGGAATGGTGGATCCAATTCAGCTTGTTGAAGCTCTGGCGCCCCCCGGAGGACAACTGCAGTCCCACGTGAAAACTGTGCTCCGTCTCGGGCGCCGCTGGGTTCCGCCGGCAGAACCGAGAGATTCTCTGGTACTCTGCCACCTTCTGTCAAGAGAACACATACAGGGAATCAGAACTGGACAGCTAAAGCACTCTTCAATCATCTGTGGACAATGACACAAGTCTAAGAAGTCCGAAGTGTTAATTTGTAATTTTCTCCTTGTATTCTGTGTCCTGCACTGCACCAGTTGACCCAGTTAATGTGTGAGGAAACAGCCCATCTTGTTGGGTTTAAGTTATAAACAGTAATGGAAAATATACAAATACCTTCCCACATCAAATCATCCCTGTCAACTTTTCTCACTCACCTCTTCTTTTCTCTTAGAGACGACAACAAAGACTTTGGTTTGATTGTCTGTGTCCTGCGACAGACGGTAAAGACCACACATAATGGACTCCACCCTGTGTAAATGGAAATTGAAAGCCATTAATCTTACAAAATCAAACCGTTGTGACAAAAAAATATATATATTATTCCCCTCAAATGTGTTACTCCAGACTTGAATGCCAGTGTATGTTGTGTTCTAAATACCTGGTGTTCTTGCTACGTAGACGGGGAACAGTGACCAGTGGGTCCTCAGGTGTGGTCAGCATCATGACTTGGCCATCAGGGAAGAAACGCAGATATCTGGGGACACAAACAGTAGTCTTGTCTGACTGTACAGTGGGGAAAAAAAGTATTTAGTCAGCCACCAATTGTGCAAGTTCTCCCACTTAAAAAGATGAGAGGCCTGTAATTTTCATCATAGGTACACGTCAACTATGACAGACAAATTGAGGAAAAAAAATCCAGAAAATCACATTGTAGGATTTTTAATGAATTTATTTGCAAATTATGGTGGAAAATGAGTATTTGGTCACCTACAAACAAGCAAGATTTCTGGCTCTCACAGACCTGTAACTTCTTCTTTAAGAGGCTCCTCTGTCCTCCACTCGTTACCTATATTAATGGCACCTGTTTGAACTTGTTATCAGTATAAAAGACACCTGTCCACAACCTCAAACAGTCACACTCCAAACTACACTATGGCCAAGACCAAAGAGCTGTCAAAGGACACCAGAAACAAAATTGTAGACCTGCACCAGGCTGGGCAGCTTGGTTTGAAGAAATCAACTGTGGGAGCAATTATTAGGAAATGGAAGACATACAAGACCACTGATAATCTCCCTCGATCTGGGGCTCCACGCAAGATCTCACCCTGTGAGGTCAAAATGATCACAAGAACGGTGAGCAAAAATCCCAGAACCACACAGGGGGACCTAGTGAATGACCTGCAGAGAGCTGGGACCAAAGTAACAAAGCCTACCATCAGTAACACACTACGCCGCCAGGGACTCAAATCCTGCAGTGCAAGACGTGTCCCCCTGCTTAAGCCAGTACATGTCCAGGCCCGTCTGAAGTTTGCTAGAGTGCATTTGGATGATCCAGAAGAGGATTGGGAGAATATCATATGGTCAGATGAAACCAAAATATAACTTTTTGGTAAAAACTCAACTCGTCGTGTTTGGAGGACAAAGAATGCTGAGTTGCATCCAAAGAACACCATACCTACTGTGAAGCATGGGGGTGGAAACATCATGTTTGGGGATGTTTTTCTGAAAAGGGACCAGGACGACTGATCCGTGTAAAGGAAAGAATGAATGGGGCCATGTATCGTGAGATTTTGAGTGAAAAGATGAAACGTGGCTGGGTCTTTCAGCATGACAATGATCCCAAACACACCACCTGGGCAACGAAGGAGTGGCTTCGTAAGAAGCATTTCAAGGTCCTGGAGTGGCCTAACCAGTCTCCAGATCTCAACCCCATAGAAAATCTTTGGAGGGCGTTGAAAGTCTGTGTTGCCCAGCGACAGCCCCAAAACATCACTGCTCTAGAGGAGATCTGCAAGGAGGAATGGGCCAAAATACCAGCAACAGTGTGTGAAAACCTTGTGAATACTTACAGAAAACGTTTGACCTGTGTCATTGCCAACAAAGGGTATATAACAAAGTATTGAGAAACTTTTGTTATTGACCAAATACTTATTTTCCACCATAATTTGCAAATAAATTCATTAAAAATCCTACAATGTGATTTTCTGGATTTTATTTATCTCATTTGTCTGACATAGTTGACGTGTAACTATGATGAAAATTACAGGCCTCTATCATCTTTTTAAGTGGGAGAACTTGCACAATTGGTGGCTGACTAAATACTTTTTTTCCCCACTGTATGATCATTAGCATATCACAACAAGGAAACCAGTGACTGACTGCAGCCCCTACCTGTAGTACTCCACCTGGTGCCAAGCCCTATAGAATCCATCAAGGGACTCCTCTCCCTGACGGATGTATGCCGTCTTGCTGATGTAAACACCTGCAAAATCAACATTGAAAACCACAGATTGAATTCACCAAACATAACAACCATCTGATAAGATGGACCCAATCTAGTTTTAGCTATGCAACTTATGCTAGACATGCCAATTGTGCATTGGTATTGAGGAAATAGAGTAGTCTATGAAACAACCCCACTTATCTTAGAAGGGTTTTTCTTTCTCTAAGGATGATAAATAATTAATGTTCCTTAATGTTTACCATCAAAGCGCACACGTGGCCTCTCAAGAAACATCTCCCTCCAGGAGTTGAAGGGCACCAGTTTGGTACAGCTCCGGCCCCACACTCTCAGACAGGCCGAACGCCAAATCTCTGGGTCCCTGAGGAGAAATCAACACCGAGGGGAAATAACAATCTCAGTTTCATTTGAAAAACCAATACATCATTCAGAAGCCTGTTTTGATCCAGTGTATGGACCAGTGTTTCACAGCACTAAAAAGTTAAGGAACTACTGGCATGAATTAAAATTAATACAAGCCATGTTCATGGAAAATATATTTACAATATTTTGGATTTGTAAAGTGTATAGTCTGACCTAGCACAAATATAGAAGCCTCTACAGACTAGGGAGAGCTGCTCCAGGGTGCGCAGGTCCAGATCACTGGACACAACCCAACGGAAGATGTACATCAAGACCTCTGGGGGCAGGGCTGTGGACAGAAACCCAAAGGAACCGACTGACAAAATAACCAGATCGAAAATCCAGTATAATAATAAGAGTACTGCCAATCTGATATGCTCCCAGACAGTGGTTTATTGAGACATTTCGATCCTGACCAAGATCCCAGTGGGATGGAAACAGTGTGTATGAGCGTCTTAATAAACCACTGTGGGAGCATATGAGAGTTGCCAACATAACTTTTGACATGTTATTCATTTTTTCTGTCTAGGACATGAATTGCGATGGTCCTTTGTAGCTCAGTTGGTAGAGCACGGCACTTGTAATGCCAGGATAGTGGGTTCAATTCCCGGGACCACCAATACGTAAACTTTATGCACGCATGACTAAGTCACTTTGGATAAAATCGTCTGCTAAATGGCATAATTATTATTGCATAAGCTCTACCTACCTGAGATGTGCATCTGAGTCATCTCCACCTCAGGAACACATATCTTCAGAGAGGTGTCTTGCAGAGTGAGCTGCTGATGGAAGTAGGCCAATAGATCCTCTATTTCACCATCCATGTCATTCTCATTGCTAGGAAACAGATAGGAAGTTTCACTCACATGGTAGGACGTGTATGGAAAAGAGTGACAATGAGTTCAGATGGCACACACTTTGTGTGTAAGGTATTCATTGTAGTGTTACTGACTGCCAAAGTATACCAAAGTATTACGGAAAAAAAGACTTACCCGCCATCTGGATCAGGGGAACGACTGTAGTTGATTTTAAACTCAATGTCAGGCACAATCTGCATTGCCCTGCGATAGTATTTTATTGCTGTAAATTAGGGAGGGAAAAAGGTTCAGCTGTGTAAAACCATTATTCCCAATCCCAACTACAGTCACACAAGAATCCCATTCAAGTCATGGTACCGATATTAGCATTTTGTTGCCGCATCATTTTCTAATCATTGATAAGTGACTTTGTTGAGCTTCACAATCAATTTTAGATACTTTTGGATGATTTAGACATAATGCACACAAAACAAATATCGATACCATGACTTGAATGAGATTTTTGCCACAAATGCAAAAGCATTAGGAAACGGTGCCAGGTAAACTAAACTAAAGCATGGATTGCCATCATACCTTGTCCATAAACCAATGCGTCATTTTGTAATTTGGGTGAACTATCCCTTTAAAGGTCCATCATTTTAACTATACTGAGACAAAATACTCATTTTCAACAGTGAGTGCCATTTTGCTTTGCCCAACTTGTCTCTCAGACATACATACCTTCATAAACAGCTCCATTCTCTTCTTCCTCAACAGCTTTAAGGAACAACTCTCTGGCCTAAGACAAAGAAACAAAAGTTGGCAACGATGGTGAAGATGACAATAGCATGCAGTCAAATCTGGTGTAAAACTACTATTCTAAATGACACTATTCTAAATGGCTGTAACAAAACAGCTGACTTTTTCCTCCCGGGCCAGTTCCTGTTTTCTTCTCAGGTCTGCAGCTCGCGACGACATTCCTCTGTTCCCCCCATTGGACCCAGAGTTGGGCTTCAGTTCAGACATCCACTGGGCCCTGAACACGTTGAGCTCCACCTAGACGCATGGACAATGATGTACAAGGGATTGACATGAAGCGTTTTCTTATTGCCTGGGTCAAGTAAACTGTAAGTTTAGCCTTCTCTGAGGTTACCCCAGTGGGCAGTTGAAAACAAGTTTCTGCCCATTGTTTAAGTGAAAGACAGACAATTTATGGCAGTCCGGCAAGTTAAGACTGGCTCTGATCATTTTTTTGACTGAGAACAACCAAAACACAAAGAAATCCAGTACTGATCTTTCTGATTCCTCCCCTATGTGTAAGTGAAAGGCAGCCAATATAATATGGCACTTCTGCATATAAAAACTTACATTTTCTGCGAAAGTGATCATAATCTTCAGCAAACAAAAAATACACCTGGTGCCTTTAAGACTAATGTGTACACACACAAAATGACAAAGCATAAACTACAACACTCCATCTCATAAGCTTTGTTAATCATAACAGGGTATAAGTCTGCTATCATTTTTTTCAATATGGATCTCTACATTTAAAGTCTTAATTATCACTCAGAGCAATCCTGAGACATAATAATTGTGTAGTCTTTGTATCTCGTGTCAAACAGGTCATCTTACGTGGAGGTTTTCGTCATCAGTACTTTCATTCTCTCCATCTTGATCTTCTACAATGCCAAGAGAATTGATAATGCTTTCAGCCTGGGCAGAAAACAACAATATAGTTTTGTTAAAATAACTAGGCCTAAACACGGCAGAGAATCACAAACATGGACTGTTTGGCTGTCTAACAAATAGGGTTTAAATCATCTGCAAATATTTGTAAGTCATTAACCAAATACAAGCTTTGTTTATGGAAGTGATGTGGTTTGACAGATAGACAAGCCCAACAAATATTCAAAGAAGGTCGTCGTGATCATGGTTGAGGTTACTTTGAGGTGTGAGTATACAAAATGTGCACACGTTAACTAGAACACATCGCTAGCTAGCTCCTAGTAGTCAAACAAATGTGGCACCACATAGCTAGCTAACTGGAGACTAACTGCATTGACTTTTTCCTCTGCCCAGCAAGGCACTAACTTAGCTACTTGACGTTACCTAAACAAGTGACGTGTGACGAACAAGAAGCAAGCATGGTTTAGCATGCCACATTGCCAGGATTTACTTTTCAGACAGTTAGCTTGTCTATTCATCTTTTGACAGCTGGTCATTTTTAATGTAACAATACATTAACTACCGCTAGTTCGTATCATTCATGTTTACGACTAGGAGACACGTCATGCAACCACCAGCAGTAGGCGTGAGTGACCATACTTGCTAGCCAGCTAGCTAGCTCGATAACAAGTAGCCGTGCGCAAGGATTAGCCTCATAACAAACGACATTGAGCTACCATTATGGCTTATCTGAAAGCTCTTCTGTTGTCCGTCAACGTTTTCAGGTGAGGGTCTACAGATCACGGTCAGAAAAACGGACAACACAACGTGGAAATTTGAGGGATCGCAGAAATGCAGCCATTTCGACGACTTGCTGAGTACTGACTGTGTGTAGCTAGAAAGCTACTTACAAGGGTGTGTGGGTGTGACGTCAGCACACCACGTGACTAACTATTCTACAGTCTATCAACACACTTATCACAGAAGTTTCTACCTTTCTGCGTTTATGATTTTGTTGTAGGCTGGTACATGGGCCACACAAAAAAGTACCATCCTTCCTTGATTAGCATATTTGGCTAAAATCGTTCCGACGTAGAGTGATCCTGATTCCTGACTGTACCATGTAGGGGGTGTTGTTGTTATGAAAGAGAAAGTTGGGGTACATCTCAATTAGTCTGAATTAGCTTCTTCTCTTTTCATCTCCTCTCCTTCATCTTCACTACTTGGAAAAACAGGACTGGTAAAAGCAATATGGTGGATCCCTCCCTTCTACTAGGAATTAGCTTTACATTTACATTTACATTTACATCATTTAGCAGACGCTCTTATCCAGAGCGACTTACAAATTGGTGCATCCAACTCATTTCCCATCAGTGCAGATGAAGGAAAGGAGATGAAGAGGCCACTTAATGCTATTGAGATGAACCCAAATGTTTTATTTTATTAAACTTCATAACATAAAGAAATATGGTACTCAAACCTCTGGCCAACCCTAAAAGCAGCCAATCACAGACTCGCAGTATACATTTTCATCAAAAATAAATGGGAACGCTCAATTTAGTTCGCCAGAGCAGTATTTAGATACCTTAGCCAAATTCGACCCCTGCTCCTCCATATTCATTACTCAGCCAGCCAAGCTCCCTAACCCTCCCTAGCAGTTCTGTAAGGTGGAAGCTCCTCCATATTCTTATCCAGACCCTTCAGATCTGCAAACATTGAAGGGTTAGGGCCAAGGGGAGGGATAAAAGCGTCTGCTAAATGGCATATTATTATTATTATTATTAACTCGTTATACCAACTCTTTCGAAAGCTTCACAGAGGCGCCTTCCCACTTCTGACACCAGTGCAGCAATCGAGGGAGGGGGTAGAAACTGGAGAGGTCACCTGGACCCAAGGAAGGAGGGTGGGTTTGCAGCTACGAAAGCTTGGTGAAGCTTTCTAACTGTGAAGCTGCTGAAGAGGCTAACATTAGTCAACTCCAACTGACGCAACATAACAATATGGCAATATGTGTTGAAGATTGCGTTGGTGTCAGAACCAATGATTTATATATACACTAGATCGCAAACAGGGGGCGCTGTTTTGGAGCTCCCACACCTCCATCTTGGCACTCTCCCACGTGGTAAAACATATTTGGGAAGCTATAGAAATGCATTTATTAATGTATACATTTGTTTTTGCCAATTTTGTTTATTCTATTACAGACACCTTAATGCATACTAATTATATTATGTGAGCTAAACATAAAAATAAAAGATATTAAAACATTTTCTTTAAAGTATTGTTTTTTTGAAAGTTCTGTTACTGTCCCCACTACAAAAAAAAAGTATCTTAAATACATGTTATTTTTTTCTTGAAACATTTAATTGAAATACCGTAGAATTCCATTTATTGCTATGGAGGGCCGCTCCTTCTCGGGAGTGCCAATATGGCCGACCAGCGGCTTCAAAGCCTCTCACTGGCCAATAGAGAGAAATAATAATGGCGTTTTTTTGTAGGCACTAACTCAGCCATGGTTTGTTGGACAAAGCCTATGAGGAAACTGAATGGCGTTTTTGTCGGGGTTTTGGATAAACACCAAAAATAAGGTCTGTGGTAAACACAGATTTAGGAGATTTTATACATTTTGTTCTATGACATAATTTTCATCAGCTAATGTAACTTAACATTATTATTAATTTTTTACACATAAATCACATAAAAGCGTCATAATTCATAAAGGTCATGTTAACTGACTGCTATTATCTAATAGATCAAAACGTATAAGATATCTGAAGCCTGTGTTACCCTCAGAACTTATTTTCTGCGTTTATTACAAAACTCTATTCTTTCGTATTTTTTCAGTTGTTTTGAACGCACTGAAGTCGGAAATTTGAGATTTCCGAGTTCCCAGTTCCGAGTTCCCAGTTCTTCGGAACGCGGCATTATATACGTCATTGGTCAGCGCAGATATGTTACGCAGGCTTGGTCAGATGTGGTAAGAACACCAAGTCCAGTAGATGGCGGTAACGTGACATAACATTGTTTGCCAACCGCCGTCAAACACCACTGATGTAGAATACGCAAATCTGCGACGCCCTTGGTCGCGCAGCTGTGATTTGTTGTGATGGGCCTGGATGTAGTGTGAGTGAGTGTGGTCGACTCTATACAAGTAGTTTAGTGGTGCTGTCTTCAAATGTCCGTTATTCGAGTTGAAACAGAGTGGGTGAGTGTCTTTTTGACTCTTTTGACTTTGCTTTATGTCATTATTATCAGCTGAAGTCAAAGATTGAGCGTGTGGCTAGCTAACCTTAGCTCGGCTGCAGCATCTGTTGTTTTTCGTTGCAGCAGTAGCTGTGTAACCATAACATGACATTCTGGTCAGAAATCTGACCAGACAGTTTTTACTCTTAAAATATTATGCATGCATGCCCTGTAGTTAAGGTTTTTTTAGGTAGCTAGTGATGAAATAGGCTAAAACAGTCTGACTACTGTCTGTTGAAGATCTAGTAAGAAGATAATGTGCGTGAAATTAGAAACCGTCGGTCTCAGATTCCTTGGATTGTCTGGAAACTGAAAACCAAGTGTATATTTTCCCTCTGTGATTGAATTGCTGGTTCAATGGCTTCCTCTAATGACACCCCATCCCTTTTCCTCAGGAGGAGGCAAGAAGCCCATGACAACATGAGTCCTCCAGCTGTGCCTGTGGTCCACTGTTGTTGTCACAGGGAAATCTGGTTACACTCAACAGCTGCAGGGGGCTGCCAGCCTACCACCTCTGTGTTCCTTCAGCCTACCACCTCTCTGTGTTCCTGGGCGATGGTGAGGAGAGGGCAGCACCATGAATAGATACACCACGCTCAGGCAACTCGGGGATGGCACCTACGGCTCAGTCATCCTTGGCCGCTGCCTGGAATCAGGGGAACTGGTCGCCATTAAGAAGTGAGTGGAGGGCACTGTCATAGCATTGTTATTATGAACAAAATATGGCTGTGATCTCTGTGTGCAATTGCAGTCCATCTTTGAAGGGTTGCCAGCTAGTGTAACTTACATATTATCCTCTGGTACCTAAATTGAAGGGCTTTAGCTTACAAATTGTTGTAGCTGCTAAAGCCGTGTAGTAAAATGAGCTGCCAGTGCCTGTGGGATTCGCTAGGAATGGCATTAGCCGGTGGCCACTGCTACGCGTGGTTAAGCTGACAGCTGGCTAGACAGATGTAGACGAATGAAAGTGCACGGATGACTGACAGGCCCACCTATTTGGCTGATTGAAAAAAAGGCATCTGTTGGTGGGTACCTTCATGAAAGCTTCTTGCTTCTATTTATAGCCTTGACAGGAAGTATGTGGGGGGTTGGGCAGCCGCAGATTAGTAGCATAAATCTATCATGTTGGTGGCGTCGCTGTCTTGAGATTGAAATGGAGAGGGCCTTGGCCTACATGTTATAAACCTGTTTGCTCTTTTCAATCATACATTTTACGCGATGCATATTCATCAAACTTCCCAATATGTTTTACAATAAAAAGTATGATCTATGATATGTTGGTCCTTTAATTCAGTTAGGCTAATCATAAATGATTGCATATTTGTTTCAGAATGAAGAGAAAATTCTACTCATGGGAAGAATGCATGAATCTTCGTGAGGTCATAGTAAGTGCTCCTTCCCAGATATGATGCTTGTGGGTAAAATGCTCCACCTATTGCAGTGTTTCCCCTAGGATTTATTTCAGCAGTGGTGGCAAGGGTAGGCACCGCACCGGTATAGGGCAGCATAATGAATACAACCTATGCTTTCACAGTTGTTGTCTACTGTTTCACCTGTTAGTGTTTTTGTACCACCATATAAATTCCACCTCTGCTCAGAACCACAGAAACCAGCACAAATAATCTAGAAGGTGACTCTTGTGTGTACTGCCTTTGGATTTTAACTCTCTAGTTCCTCACCCTGTCCCAGACATTCATTCCTTGCCGAGAGCTTGAATCCAAAGGAGCGTAGCAGTATCCTAGAAGAAACCAGCCCTCCAGGGATCTTGGTTAGAATGTCAGCTGTAAATAGCATGTGCCACCACCAAGACCCATAACGACTTCCCCTCTACTCAAAACTATAGCATGGTGAAAGTTGCCGCCATTTACATCCATACTTTTCAGTGCATGGGAAAACTTCACCCGCATTTACTATGATCTGCACTAGTTTTCATTATTACACCTGAGTTAAAAAGCATAAAAAAATCCCTAAAGGCTGCACCTTTAGAAATACCAGTGGTTACCCACACTGTACCCAAGATGATATACAGTTTATTAATGCTTTGATTGTCAATCAGTGTTTTGATTTTGAACTAAAGCATATTTGTTGTATGCCGGTTTTAAGGGTCAGACCTTCTATGTCTTACCTTTTATGTATCTAAGTCTGGAGGCAGGTGGCACCTTAATTGGGGAGGATGGGCTCATGGTAATGGCTGTAGCGGAATTAGTGGAATGGTATCAGATACATCAAACAAATGGTTTCCATGGTTTCCAGGTGATTGATGCCGTTCCATTTGTACCGTTCCAGCCATTATTATGAGCCGTCCTCCCCTCAGCAGCCTCCTGTGGTATCTATGTCTGGCCATGATGAAGTGTTGCAGAGCTGTTTTTGATGATTTACAGATTGAGGTTATTTCCCTCATGCTTTGTCTTGATTGCTAAGGTACCATCTAATTCGTTCACTCCTTCTTTCAGTCCTTGAAGAAACTCAACCATGCGAATGTGGTCAAACTCAAGGAGGTTATACGGGAAAATGACCACTTGTACTTTGTGTTTGAATACATGAAGGAGAACTTGTATCAACTAATGAAAGACAGGTAAATATAGCTTTTTTGATTCAAATAGCGTAAATCTAGGCTATTTGAAATGGGTTCAGTGCTTTGGGGATAAATGTCAGTAGGTCAAAATCATGGCTCATATATTGTTATTTGTATCATGTTGCAGGTCTCGGCTGTTCCCTGAATCTGCCGTGCGAAATATTATGTTCCAGATACTGCAGGGATTAGCATTTATTCATAAGCATGGTATGATTAGAATGATACACTAGCACTTTTTTTGCTAATGCTTTTTACTTGTTACTTTGTATACTCACTGTATGTTTTTCCCCTCAGGATTTTTTCACAGGGATATGAAACCTGAGAATCTTCTGTGCATGGGACCGGAGCTTGTGAAAATAGCTGACTTTGGGCTTGCCCGCGAGATAAGATCTCGGCCGCCATACACAGACTATGTTTCAACAAGATGGTTAGTTTTGTTGCCTCCATATGATGGGTTTATGTGTCACTAACCACATTTCCATTTACAGTTTTTATGCGAGTAAAGTAAAAAAAAATCACAACAGCTGAGATGGAAACAGGAAGTTTCGGTACAATTTTATAAATGCCGACAGATCATTTGTTCATTCGACATGGTGGGATATTTTTGTGTCGGTAAAGTTAATTATGCGAGAAATGGCGGTGGAAACGCCTTTATGGGTAAATATTAATATAATGACCATCATATCAAAGTAAACTTGGAGTCAATCGATGATATGTGGCCCTCCCACTACGACTCGGAAAACCATGCAGTTTAAAAGGCTACAGATTGAATAAATGATGATGAACTTCTCAGGGTGGTGAAAGTGCACGGTGATGAGCTTGATGCTCCTTTCCAATAAATATCGAGGGTCTAATTCTGGTGACATGATGATTGACGCTTGACTGCCGTTTGACAAATAAACAAATATTCTCACTCTTATCCATAATAATCTCATCATATACAGTAGACCATCCTACCCACACTGTATCTGCCAGCTGTTGGCTAAAGCACACGTGTCAAGACCAGAGTAGACACAGTTTCTATTTAAAGCAACAGTTGTGACAACTATCGATAGGGTTGAAAATGCCATGGAAACACATTGAACTTTAGATTTTTATCTGGTACATAAAAACGTAAGCATTTTGTTTGCACTACTTCATCACACACTGTCAGTTTGGTGGAAACACACCACTGGTGGGAAAATGTGCATATTTTCTATGCAGATTTTAGAATCTTTGCATGAAAATCTGTCACCAGTTGGATGGAAACCTAACTACTGACACCATTTTGTGATTGATCAGTAAAACTTGTCAAGTTCTATATGAATTTATTTGTCTCATTTTCTGTCGACTTGTGACAACATGAGACCTCTTGTATTTTCTCTCATCATGTGGAGCATCAACCAGCCTATAAAGACCTTCTCCCTTCCCTGTGTTGTCTTCCAGGTACAGAGCTCCAGAGGTGTTGCTGAGGTCCACCTCGTACAGCTCTCCCATAGACCAGTGGGCCGTGGGCTGCATCATGGCAGAGCTTTACACACTTAGGCCTCTGTTCCCTGGCTCCAGTGAAGTGGACACCATCTTCAAAATCTGCCAAGTCCTGGGAACTCCAATGAAGGTAGCCTTGTTCTCCAGGGCTGTTAGATCCAGAATATCAGTGGAAAACAAGCTATACTGTCCTCACATCATCATGTAAAATGTCTTGTGGTGTTGTTAAATGCATAAATCAAACCTCACTGAAGATGTGGTGATCAGTCTTGTGTAATGGGCTTTTGAAATGACAAACTTCTTCACAGATTATTCTTGTCATAACTTTTAAAAACCGTTACATCTATCTGTTTTATTACTATACAGTAAAATAAGCAGTTCAATAATAATTGTGCCTGATCCACTTCTAGAATGACTGGCTGGAGGGCTTCCAGTTGTCAGCAGCCATGAATTTCCGCTGGCCCCAGTGTGTCCCCAGTAATGTGAGAAGTCTGATCCCCAACGCCAGTCCTGAAGCCATCCAACTGATGAGAGACCTACTCCAGTGGGACCCTAAGAAGAGGCCAGCCTCTGCCCAGGTAGCAAACCCTGGCTGGGGCATATCTCTGTTATCATCTATGCTAAAATAAATGTGATTCTCTTATAAAATGGGTAAAAGTAAGGTACACTTCTCAGAGAGTTTTGAATTGTCAAGAGTAGTTAAACAAAGGTGTCCACTGTCACCATATCTATTCGTTATGGTAGCTATTAAAAATCAGATCAAATAATAACATTAGAGGATTAGAAAGGCTTAAAAACAAAGGTGTCCATGTATGCCGATGACTCAAGTTTTATATTAAGTCCGCAAGCTAGATCCCTGCAATGTCTCATTGAAGATCTAGATAACTTTTCTGGACTCTCTGGACTAAAACCTAAATGTACAATATTACGTATTAGATGTTTAAAAAATACAACTTTTCCATTACCCTGCAGTTTACCTATAAAATGGGCTGACGGTGAAGTAGACATACTTGGTATTCATATCACAAAATATATAAATGAGCTCTCCACAATGAATTAGACAAGATCCTGGAACCATGGAGAGGAATACCTGTCTATTTATGGAAAAATTGCCCTGATTAACTCCTTAGTTATATCTCAGTTTACTCACTTACTTTATGGCGCTGTCTACTCCTGATGATTCGTTTTTCAAATCATATGAGCAAAACATATTTACCTTTATCTGGGATGCTAAACCAGACAAGATAAAGCGTGCCTATCTATATAATGAATATGAACTGGGTGGGCTGAGATTATTACATCTAAAAGCACTAAACCTCTCTCTAAAAGCTTCACTTATCCAAAAGTTTTACTTGAAATGGTTCTCAAGTAGATTTCTAAGAAAAGCTCATCCATTGTTTAAAAATTGCCTTTTTGCAGATTGCCATGTCTCATTTTCGATTAATTGAAAATGAAACTTTTTTTCAAGCAAGCATTGTAGAGCTGGCTACAATTTCAATTTCATCCCCCTGAAAAGATAGAACAAATATTACAACAACTATTATGGCTGGACTCAAATGTGCTGGTTGATAAAATACCTGTATTTATGGAAAATATGTTTGAAAAGGGTATTTAAAAATAAATAAATGATATTGTAAATTGGAATGGTAGAGTTATGTCTTTCATGGAGTTATCAGAATTGTATGGGAAGGTCTGCTCAATCCAAGATAGGTGGGATGGGCTTAGGGAAGCGGGGGGTTTCTCTCGGATGATTGAGGGGCAGCTCTTGGGGAACTGTGGGGGGATCTTGGAGGGCTGGTGGCCTGGCGGTTGGGAACTTGGGCCGGTGGCTGATGGGTCGCTGGTTCAGGTCCCGTTTTTGACCTTATGGGAGATCTGTCGATGTGCCCTTGAACGGGTTGTTGACCCTGGTTACTTCTGTGGATCGCTCTGGATGGGAGTCTGTTAGATGACTAATGTGATGTAGATGTTGAGCTGCTTCACTGCAAGTAGATTGTATGTTTTAAATATTCAATAATTTGTATAATTTTTTAAAAAGGTATGTTAGCTTGTACATAGCTAAACAGGTTGGATTTTCTAACATTTAATGGCATGTTAACTGATTAATATGTCCTGCTTAGGGATCCTTGAAAACCAATCAATTATTTTATTATCCATTTGCAGGCACTCAGGTACTCCTACTTCTACGTGGGTCAGGCGTTGGGCACTCCTCAGCAGATCCTGGAGCAGGGCAGGCCTCAGCCAGGTCCCCTACCTCCACAGCCACCACAACCATCACAGCAGCCTCTGCAGCAGCTACAACCACTGCTGCTGCTCAAACCAGTGCCCCCTCCCCAGCCAGTGCCCCCAAATCAACATTTCACCTCGTCCAGGCCCCTGCAACAGATCCATCCAGCCCCAGTCTCAGCCCCCACCCCAGTTCCATCGTACCAGAGGCACTCAAAGCTGTTGCGAGAGCAGCCCAACCTCATGGTGAAGCAGGAGGAGACTGAGACCACCCCACAGAACCGCTTACCTTACGTTGTTGACAAGAGCTTGCAGTGCCAGGTGAGTTTGCAGTCACCAACTCAGCTACTTGAGCACGACAAGCATTCATCAGTGTAATGTCATTAGATGTTAGAATCCCTTGTTAAATGAATACAACATTTAATGGCTAGGAATGGAAAGTTGATGAATTCTTCAGAAATGTAATTGTTGTTTCTCTCCCCATAGAGATTGTTAATACACCATTTCCTTTTTTTTAACAGTTGACCCAGGAGGCTGAGAATGCCAACTTCTTAAGTTATCAGATGAAACCTAAGGGTGGAGGACGCCGGCGATGGGGCCACGGCACAGGCCTCCTAAAGGGTGACGAGTGGGATGACTTTGAGGACATGGAGCTGACCTCACTAAGTGTTCTGGGCAAAACAAAAATTCCTACTGAAAAACGAAGAGAGTGAGTGTCTCCCTGAGTTATCCCAGTGACCTGAGTTATCAGTTTGATATTTTCAGATAAAGGGCTTTATGTATTTCTGTTATGCCTTTCAGGTACGGGAATGTTTTGGATTTTAGCAGCCCGAAAGTTAAGGGGCAGATGACAACAGGTGACGATGCACCTTTGAATCTGAACAAGGCCATGTCCTACCAGGAGCCTTCGAGGACAGCCTCTGCCAAACAGTATTACTTGAAGCAGTCAAGATATCTACCAGGTAGAAAATACAAAAACATTACCTTCCTTCCAAATGGATATTTTGAATAAGGCACTTCTAGTTACTGACAATGTATATGATAAAATGGGCTCACTCGTTAATAACTTGATGTATCTGCCATTTGTCTACCAAATCAGAGGCATAAGCATATGTACATGCTCTGATATATAATGCCTAATGGTTTTTAAAAATGGGTGAAACCACATATTCTTTTCAGCCCGATTATCAATGATCATCATCTTAGGAGTGGCTAATCATGATGATGTAGTCTTGTTGAACCAGAAGGGGCAGCTTGTTGCAATGGAAATTACATTGCAAACTCTACTTCCTAATCTATCCTATCTCACCCTGCAGGTTTAAATACTAAAAAGAATATGGCAATAAATTCCAACTACAGTGAAAGCAACCTCTGGGGCAGCAGAATTCCTGTTGGAGGGACACTTCCTAACCGAGGCACTCATGGTAATGATTAGTGTTGGGACCGATGTCATGTGTGTTTATCACCTGTCACCCTACAACACGAGTGAGAGGGCTGTGTGGTATAAGCTAAGGTGATGTCTATCTGTGATGTGTGTTAACAGTATTAAATGTAACGTACATTTCCTGTTATCTTTGATGGCCCAATCACAGGTTCAAAAACTCTTCCAAGTGGATATGTACCGAACTATTACAAAAAAGAGGTTGGCTCTGCCGGCCAAAGAGTGCAACTCGCACCCATAGGGGACTCGACAGCATCAAGTGAGTGATCTTTGTAGTCTCGATGCACAGTTGTCAATCCAGGCTAGGTGCTGTGTAGTAATGTAATTCTATTATAAAGTAATAATGTTTCTTGTCTCTGCTGTTACAGATTACGCAACCTGGAGGTCATCTAGCAGAAATCAGATGGGTGCCTCATCCTATGTGCCGTCGCCCACCAAGACTACGCCAGGCCTACGGTCTCGCCCCCCAGTACAGGCCATCCATGGGCGCACAGACTGGTCTGCCAAATATGGACACCGCTAGTGGCCTCTTTGGGATACTTGTGTTATGGCCTGGCACAAATGACAGTACTTCAGATTTGTCTTTTCCCTATAAAAGGAAAAACTTATGTTTTCATATCAAAGTATGTACATATTATACAGCAATAACCTTGGTTTTGTATTAATCTGTGTATATATTGTTAAATGTGCAACTTTTTCAGTGTATGTGTGTTATATGGATAAATGCACTCATGACAGTGGTGTCATCACATTTTGTTCAGTGACAAATTCCATACTATTTATTTTTTGGGTTTATTGCATAGCATAACTTTTTCACCCCCTTCTTAAAATATGTGTTCCATAGATTTTGTAAAATGTCCCCATGGTGTTTAAATTTGCATTTTCAATTACCAATCCAGTCATTTTATATTGCAAATCACTGTGATAGTTTGGCCAACACTGTTTTTCTGTTGCCAATTTGTTTTTTGTTAATTTTTCTTGGTGCTGTCTTTCATGAGATTCTGGAATACAGGAAACACTTGTATCTTGTGCATTTAAAAAAATAATGTATTCATTGTTCCTTGATTTTTTTTCTCTAAAACAAGAACTCAGTGCTTTATTTCAAGCAGAATTGACATTCGTGTTATAATATGCCATTTAGCAGACTCTTTTATCCAAAGCGACTTACAGTCATGCGTGCGTACATTTATGTGTAGTCCCGGGGATCGAACCCACTACCTTGGCGTTACAAGCGCCATGCTCTACCAGCTGAGCTACAGAGGATCTTTCTTTGTAATTAATTATGTGGCTTAACTGTATGTTGACTTGGTTCATCTGCTGGGCCAATTTGTAAAAACATGTAAATTTGTAAAAACATGTAAAACTGCCAGTTACCAAATGCCATTGCTAACATTTGATTTATGTGGTATTGTAATGACCATTTTTATTTTCTTTACAACTGTAAAGTTGGACAAGCTGTAATGGTCATGTCTTTGACATCAATTCTGTTTTGGTTTATAATCAATAAAGTCATTGGTGTGTATATAGTCTGATTTAGTGAATTGCTTTAATTTGGTAATCAAACAATGACTTGATTAATGTATCCTATATATGCTCTGGCCTGGGATTATCTAGGAGACTGTGCTTTGCTCTTTTCAATTGAACAAGACAGTGAAGAGAACAGAGGACCTTGACATAAATCCTTGACATAAATGCTAAAGTGAAGTTAAATCACTTTAATATTTTTTTTACAAAAGAAGGCAGACTGCCACGTGCAGTGCCTCATTTGGATGTGTCTGAAGTCTTGGAGCTTGACTTCCCTACGTTTCTCCTACAAATGGGCCTTGAGCTTGTTTGGAGGTTCTAGCAGGGAGTGCAGCTACGCGTATACCAACGATGCTCGTCCGGGAAACTCGTCCTCTTCCACCGAGCGCGGGGCTTCGGGAGGGACGCACATGGAGCGGTGAGGGAGGAAGGGGACACCCGCCTAGCCAGCCAGATCAGCCGAATCAACCCTAGCGATCAATGGGGTGACAGATGTCGCAGCCAGATCGCCCTCACATCCGAAAGGAGCAGAGTGGCTCGTCGGTTTATATACCAAAAAGGAGCCATACAATTTGCAGTTACGGTTTGTATTTTTATTTTGGGGGGTTCCTATTTTAGAATATTGTGTGCTATGACATCTCCTGTAAGACGGAAATAGTCAGAGAAGATGTGATTTGTCTTCTAATATGTTTTTTTCACAATATATTTGTTATATTACCCATGATGCCTCGCAGACATGCAAATCTCCAGTCCTTCAATTGGCCACAACTCAATTCTCATGTTGGTCATATGACACAGTGCTTGAGGTTCAAGCTTTTAGTAACTTCGGGAGGGTAAATTTTTTCGGTGTTTACACACGTAAAAGGTGCATACTTCTCTCTCGACATACAAGGTCAGTATTATTTCGTAGAATTATCTTGAAATTATAGGTTGATAACTACATAGACAATCGTATGTTTTGTACGCTTTTGTTTTTCAGGTTTATTTTCATGTATGTTTCAGTGTTCTAGTTTCAGAGTAGTCTGTTCACAATGTACCATCATTTATTTGACAGGCATGCATGTACCAAATCTTATGCAATTCATCAAACACAACATTGCTGCATTTGCACACACATGAAAGCGTAATTGAATGAGGTTGTTTCCTTCCTACAGTAAACTAAATGTTCACAATGTCTGGAAAAGTGGTGTTGACTTATTTCAATGGGAGGGGAAAATGGAGTCAATTCGATGGCTTTTAGCAGTTGCTGGAGTTGAGGTAAGCAGGCTGAACAAATAAAACCCAACATTTTTACTGTAGGTTGTTTACAGGACTTGCTTTTTCAAGTAGTCAATTAAAGTACCCTGAGTGAAATAGTGGGTAGACAAACAGGTGATGCACACAGATGGATCACTGAACTGGATGTTCCGTCATAATTAAAATATATGTTTTATGTCCAGTTTGAGGAAGTGGCTATATCAAAGCGCCAGGAATATGTAAAACTGTTGAGTGGTAGGTTTGGTCACAATGGTAATACAACTCAGATAACATGCTCATTGTTTTGAAGGGTGTTTAATTGTTTTACCTTTCTTTTTCTTTAATTTTTTAGATGGAGCACTCAGGTTCCGTTGGTGGAAATGGATGGAATGAAGCTGGTTCAAACCCAAGGCTATCCTGAACTACATAGCAGGGAAATACAATCTTTATGGGAAAGACTTAAAAGAACGAGTCATGTATGTATGACATTTATGATTGAAATCGAACTTTTATTTACTTGTTTGGCTGTATTGCAGAGACCTAAGAAGTGAAGCTGTTTGTACAAAAAAGGGGGGAAATCTGCTATGGTTTCAAAGGGTTTGGTTTTCATTTACCTTTAGGACTGACATGTATGCTGAGAGACTTGATGGAAATGATCATGGTGTTGGCCTTCTTGCCGCCTGACGCCAAGAAAACTAAACTGGAGGAGATAGAGAGGAAAGCAACAAGCCGCTACCTCCCTGTGTTCGAGAAGGTACTGAATGATCTGGGCCTTGGCCAGATGGGAAGAGTAGAGCTCACTAAGGGGAGAAAGGAAAAAAAAAAAGAACAAATCTAAGCCGTTATATTAGCATAATAATTGCGAGATACCATGTTTGCTAAGGGAACAGAAAAGGTTGGCACGTCTGTACAAGTTGATGTATTGCATAATGAGGGTGTGCTTGTGATTTTATAACAGGCGCTCCCTAGCTCCCAGTACCTGGTGGGTAATCAATTGAGCTGTGCGGATGTCCAGCTACTTGAAACCACCTTGATGTTGGAGGAGAAATTTCCAACAATTCTCTCCAAATTCCCTGTTGTTAAGGTAAAGTTGATTACAAATGTATTTTGTTGTTGACAAAATAATCACGAGTCAAATCATCTTGTTACATTTGAGTGCATCTCATCAAAACATGTTAGAGGTTGACATAACTCCAGCAGCATATGAATATCACATACCAGCTGCACAGCACATTTTTCAGTCAGATATCAGTATACAATATGACTGGCCATACCAGTTCAAATGTACTGCTACCACACCCTGGTGGATCCCAATAATCTCTCCTCTCTCATGACGTGTGCACTCTTTCAGTACTTACCACAAATCTCAAAGCATTGGATTGGTGGAGGCATATTTCTTTTACCAGTCATTTCCTTTCAAATCAGTGAAGGGAAGCAAACAAGTGCACACTTGGGGAGGAAGGAGAGATGATTAGGACATTGTCTGCAGCAGATTTAAAAGAAAGGTAAAAAGATCCATGGATGCTTCAGTTGATTCATTCTTGATTGGGTGAGAATGGTTTTCTTTTCAGGATTTTCAAGGGAGGATGAAAAGCCTACCAGCCATTCACAAGTTCCTGCAGCCAGGCAGCAAGAGGAAGCCTCAATCAGATAATAATAATAATAATATGCCATTTAGCAGACGCTTTTATCCAAAGCGACTTACAGTCATGCGTGCATACATTTTTTTTTGTGTATGGGTGGTCCCTGGGATCGAACCCACTACCTTGGCGTTACAAGCGCCGTGCTCTACCAGCTGAGCTACAGAGGACCAGCCAACAAGAGCGTACAGGTCACAGTGGTGGGTAGTATATGAGGCTTTGGTGACAAAACGGATGGCACCGTGATAGACTACATCCAATTCGCTGAGTAGAGTGTTGGAGGCTATTTTGTAAATGTCATCGCCGAAGTCAATGATCGGTAGGATAGTCAGTTTTACGAGGGCATGTTTGGCAGCATGCGTGAAGGAGGCTTTGTTGCGAAATAGGAAGCCGATTCTAGATTTAACTTTGGTTTAGATGACGTATATGTAAAGACTGTGTGTGACGTGTTAGACTTCAAGCTCTGATGCTCATCTAAACATCAAGTAAAATGCACATTAAAGAGTTGAAGCTAATATAATTGAATTAATTCCATATACATTATTCCATATTGTCATAACTTCTTGTAACATGTTGTCGTGGAAATATTGACATAAGCTTATGAATTGTTTAACCCTGGCTATATGATTGTGTGTGCTGGTTGCTATAATGTAATACATATTTGCTATATGACATATTTTATAACTAGCTTACAATAGGAGGAAGTTTCAGTGTGTGTGTGTGTGTGTGTGTTAGCAGACAATACCCAAGAGAGAACCTTGAGCTTCTTGGGTGAACGCCCAGAAATAACCTCTGAGAACCTTTATCAGGAGCAGGAGCCTTGATACACATTCTCTTTTGTACCCAAACCTCCGCCCTTGTGCTGAGGATGAATTGTGTTTGTGAGTTGTGTATCCTAGTATGTGCAGAGTTTGTTGTAACCTTTCCACTGGCGTGACTCGTAATAACGTTCATTTACTAATTGACTTGATGCGTCCTTGATGGTCATTTCCATTACAATGTGTAAGGACAATTGTTTAACTAGCACAAGTATTTTATGTTTTCCAATAATGTGCACATAAATAAAGAACAACGCTGTTGAACAAATAATGTCCACTGTAATTAAACACTGCATCATGTCTGGGAGCTATTCCATCATTGACAGATGCTATTTAGTCAGGCAGCTGAATATGATTGTCAAACTATTTAAAAGTAAGTGGTCATACCTTCTGCAATGCTATAAAATGAATTCCGATCGAGTAGTAAATGTCATTGTATTTCTGTTGCCATATCCATTGAACAAATCATAACCTGTGTGCTTATAACCAGTAGTATATTTACCTGTTCAACAGAAAGTGCTCCTTTGTTCTTACAATTACATTTTAGTCATTTAGCAGATGCTCTTATCCAGAGCACATACATTTTTTCCCCCATACATTTTTTTACAATAACAATTCACTCAGTCATTGTAAGCCATTAATGTAGTTCATTCAACTTAAACAATTTCCTATGAGACAACACAACTATTCAAGGAAGTAACAACCTTTTTACTCCATCCACATAGCATTTGGTCATTGTGCATGTGCACTCATTGCCCCCAGTGCTGCGTACTTTAGGAATGACTAAAGCAGCATTATGATCATAGGTTGCAGGATCAACATCAAGTTCTTTAAAGAACGTACAAACATGAAGTATGATTACAAAAATACATATAGGCAAGCACAAACAATGTGCAAATGGCACTTCATCCCTTGCGAATACATTTTCCATCTTGCTTTAGTTGGTTGTTGTATTGTTCAAATCACATTACAATCACACCCATGAAGAGAAGTCGTAGGACCATCAGCAAACTGAGTAAAGAAAACAGATAACTTCATTTTGATTGTGCACATTATTTAATTTGAAACATTCCAATACAGGGTCAATTGTAACGGATGTCAAAATACAATGAAAATCAGCAAAGAGTTTCATGAACACATTCAACTAACCTCCATATATTTCAAAACCATGCAATACTGAGTATAATGGATTTTTGATGATTCTCACCTTAGTCCTGCCATGATACCACCTGGCATTATTTTCCCAGATTTCTTGAATCTCATTCCCATCACTATTGTCAGCGCTCCTGAGGCAACTGAGAAAATAAAAAAGATGTATGAAAATATACACATTCCAACACGTACACATCCCAACATAGCAGGCATACTTACAGAGGGAGTAGAAAGTCTTGGTTGGGTCATTTGAAATCATGAAGGCCCCATAGGCTGCTATGCTGCCAAACAATAGCCCAGCTATCAATGACATGACACTACCTGTAGTAAAAAAATATATAGAATAGCTGTTACTTGCCATCAGCTTGTTAACAGGGTCAACGTCAGTAAGACCAAGGAGCTGATTGTGGACTACAGGAAGGGTGGGGGGGGGGGAGCAGGTAGAGAGATTCAAGTTCCTCCAAATCACTAAACACTTAAAATGGTCCAAACACACCGGTACAGTCGTGAAGAAGTCGCGACAGCACCTCTTCCCCCTCAGGAGGTTGAAAAAATGTGTCATGGGCCCTCAAATAGTATATCTCACTGGTCATCCCCAAAGCCAACACCTCCTTTGGCCGCCATTCCTTCCAGTTCTCTGCTGCCAATGACTGGAACAAATTGCAAAAATCTCTGAAGCTGGAGACACTTATCTCCCTCACTAACTTTAAGCATCAGTTGTCAGAGCACCTTACCGATCACTGCACCTGTACACAGCCCATCTGAAATTAGCCCGCCCAACTACCTCATCCCTATATTGTTATTTATTTTGCTCATTTGTACCCCAGTATCTCTATTTGCACATCATCTCTTGCACATCTATCATTCCAGTGTTAATACTAATTGTAATTATTTTGCACTATAGCCTATTTATTGCCTTACCTCCATAACTTGCTACATTTGCACACACTGTATATATATTTTTCTGTTGTATTTTTGACTTTGTTTTGTTTTACCCCATATGTAACTCTGTGTTGTTGTTTTTATCGCACTGCTTTCGCACTGCTTCCGCACGGTAAGCGGTACATCAAGTCTCACACCAACAGGCTATTGAACAGCTTCTATCTCCAAGCAATAAGACTGATAAATAACTATCAGAATAGCTACACTGACTATCTTTATTTACCTTTTATTTTTGCACTTTCTATGTACACTCACAGGGCCCTACACACACACAATCATCTGCTCACTCACACATAATATGCACATGCATTTATACTGACTCTATACACACTCACATTCAAGCTGCTGCTGCTGCTACTCTGTTTATATTATATCCTGTTGCCTAGTCACCTTACTCCTATACATATCTACAGCCATCACGCCAGTCTCCCTGCACATTGTAAATATGGTATTGGAACTGACCCTGTACACAGTATACGTACTTAGTTATGGTGTTCTTCATATTTCTCGTGTGTTTTTTCTAGTATTACATTGTTATTGATTATTGCATTGTTGGATTTTGAGTTTGCAAGAAATGCATTTCACTGTACTTGTGCACGTGACATTAAAAACTTGAAAGTGTGATAATGACATATTCATGTTGCTTTGTGCATTTTGAACTGCTTGACTAGAAACTCCTACCTTTTCTCTTGTATCCCATGAATCCCCCAAGGGCTATGGCTGCAGCGTAGCCAAATCCAAGCCAGTCAATTGCCATTGCAGTGCTGTGGAGCATGAGTATGGGTAAACACCAATTCATTTTAGCCTACATAGCTACAAGATACTGTAGCTAGCTACAACTATGTAGCGAACAGAAACGGACACTTGACAAAACACTGACCACTTGAAATATATGCATACAACTCACATAGGAATATAATGAATTAATTTACCTGGTATCTGCTAATTTAAACGTAAAATAAATGAGCAAAAATGTACGCCTACACGCCTGTGCTCCCAATGAGTTTGTTCGTTTTGCATGGCCCGGTGTCGTCTTCTTCTTCTTCTTCTTCTTCAATGAGATTTAACGGCGCTTGGCATCCAATTTGTTGCATTACTGCCACCTACTAGACAGGAGTACAACTCCCTTATATTTTGCTTGAAAAATTAAATTAAATAAAGAAATACCCTACCATCTAACACTACACTCACAAATTCAAAATTGTTATTAATAATTAACCCCACCCTTCTCCACTGTTTAAATACACTCACTCCTACCTCATGCCCTCAACCTGAATTGATGGGACATCACCACTTAACACTCCCTGTAACTCTTCTGATGTCAAGTCTCACACACCCAAATACCTCTCTGCAGCTGCCACCACCACCTCAATCTTCTTCGACTTACGTTCCATCCCTGCAGTACAATTAATAACCATTGCTATAAATGCTAAATATCCAATCTTACTGAAACATACATCAATTGTTGGCCTATCCCTCTGTAGTGAAAAATGTATGCACTCACTAACTGTAAGTCGCTCTGGATAAGAGCGTCTGCTAAATGACTAAAATGTAAATGTACATATCTACTACCACTTCTGGTTACCCTCACCGATTCCACTATACCCAACGCTTATTTCACCCATCTTGAAACCACAAATGGATCAGCCAAAAGGCAAGGGTCCACTTTTTCCAAGAACTTCACTCCTACTGTCACAGACTCATCTTTATCCTGACCCTCTATGCAAGCCTCAGGCTCCGAGTACTTCACCACACCTACCACCTCCGATACTTCACCCTCATTCACTTCCATTTCTCCTCCTGTCTTCAGCTCACTTTGCTTACATTTCCTACCATTCTTCTTTACCAAACCTTCTCCCTTTTTCCTGCAATTTTTCCCCAACTCAAGCTCACAATCTTCCTCACTCTCTCTCTTAGACCTCCTCTGCCTCTCTTTTTCTTTCCATTCCTCCGCCGCCATCCAAGTACACGTCTCCTTATCCCACAGCTGTCTGTTAGACATAGTTTTTCCTCCCCATGGCCCGGTGTCCAAAATGAGTGGAGGTTGTAAATGTTCGACCATTCCATTGGTCCTTAAATTAATCTCCCCTCACCCGGGTACCGGGCCATGCAAAACGAATACGCACAGTGTTTACTGTTTGGCACTAGGAAGTGTTAGGTGAAAGTCCGAAGTGCGCATGTGCGTACAAATTACTCGCTCACAACCGCATAATTTCCCTTTCAACATGTCTTCAACAACCCACTAAAAAGTCAAAAATTAATCCAAACGCTTTTGAATGTCATTCCTTAATTACTGAAGTCTCAAAAACACAAATGAACACAAGCATGATTGAATCATCATTGAACAAGTTTATGGTTTCAGATCAGGGTCAGTTAAAATGTGCTATAGAGTAAGGTGAGTAGGTCAAAGTACATTAATAAGTAAGGCTCTTTTGCTGCACTGCCTTAACAAGTATTAATGGATATTCATACGAGCAGGACAATCTTCTGCACTTTCTTAACAGTGCATTAGATCATTTTAGGAATATTTTGGAAATGAACAAATACAAAATATAAATGAATCTCTTCAATCAACAAGGTAACATTTTCAACTTCATAGCCTTCCATTTTCATAGGATTTTTAATAAATCTGTTAAGTGCTGCTACATTTCAGGAAAGGCATGCACAACTGTTCAAGTAAGGTATAGGATGTCAACAAAACAGTCTGTCACATGCGCCAAATGTAAATAGTCACATGCGCCAATGTAAATAGTCCGGGTGGCCATTTGATTAATTGTGCAGCAGTCTTATAGCTTGGGAGTAGAAGCTGTTAAGGAGCCTTTTGGACATACACTACATAACCAAAAGTATGTGGACACCTGCTCGTCAAACATCTCATTCCAAAATCATGGGCATTAATATGGAGTTGGTCCCCCCTTTGCTGCTATAACAGCCTCCACTCTTCTGGGAAGGCTTTCCACTAGATTTTGGAACATTGCTGCAGGGACTTGCTTCCATTCAGCCACAAGCATTAGTGAGGTCGGGCACTGATGTTGGGTGATTAGGCCTGGCTCGCAGTCGGCATTCCAATTCATCCCAAAGGTGTTCGATGGGGTTGAGGTCAGGGCTCTGTGCAGGCCAGTCAAGTTCTTCCACACCGATCTCGACAAACCATTTCTGTCTGGACCTCGCTTTGTGCACAGGGGAATTTTCATGTTGAAACAGGAAAGGGCCTTCCCCAAACTGTTGCCACAATTTGGAAGCCCAGAATCGTCTAGAATGTCATTTTATGTTGTAGCGTTAAGATTTCCCTTCACTGGAACTAAGGGGCCCGAACCATGAAAAACAGCCCCAGACCATTATTCCTCTTCCATCAAACTTTACATTTGGCACTATGCATTGGGGCAGTTAGCGTTCTCCTGGCATCCGCCAAACCCAGATTCGTCCGTCAGACTGCCAAATGGTGAAGGGTGATTCATCACTCCAGAGAACACGTTTCCACTACTCCAGAGTCCAATGGCGGCGAGCTTTACACCACTCCAGCCGACGCTTGGCTTTGCGCATGGTGATAGGCTGCTCGGCCATGGAAACCTATTTCATGAAGCTCCCGACGAACAGTTATTGAGCTGACGTTGCTTCCAGAGGCAGTTTGGAACTCGGTAGAGAGTGTTGCAACCAAGGACAGAGTTTTACGCGCTTCAGCACTCGGCGGTCCCGTTCTGTGAGCTTGTGTGGCCTACCACTTTGTGGCTGAGCCGTTGTTGCTCCTAGACATTTCCACTTTATAACAGCACTTACAGTTGACTGGGGAAACTCTAGTAGGGCAGAAATTTGACAAACTGACTTGGTGGAAAGGTGGCATCCAATGACGGTGCCACGTTGAAAGTCACTGAGCTCTTTAGTAAGGCCATTCTACTTGCAATGTTTATCTATGGTGATTGCAAGGCTGTGTGCTCGATTTTATACACCTGTCAGCAACGGCTGTGGCTGAAATAGCCGAATCCACTAATTTGAAGGGGCGTCCACATACTTTTGTATACATAGTGTATGATAAAACAAATTCAAAGAAAACAACTGAATTTCAAAGTAGACTTGAAACAAACTTCCAAGTGAAGAATAAAATACCATTGTGAGATAGCAACATGTGATTCTAAACGTTTTATACCATGGCATTGGGTAAAGATTTTGCACTGCATGTGGGTGTTTGATAGCCACAATGTATTCTTTGACCAGTGATATACAAAAGCATGACACATTACCGTAATAACGGAATAAAAGAGACTTGTAGCTTTGCGCCAGAGTATGAAAAAGACAACATGGACAATAAATTCATCTGAACTTGATGAGGTACTTTATTTACAAAAGGAAAAAAAACCTAAAACATATTACTTTTTTTTTCTTCTCAAAATCAAGTGCTTAAAAAAAAATATTCCACCAAATTCCGCCAAAAGCGCATAACTGAAGACAATTACACCAATAAACTATGCTGTGCAAAACAGTTCCAGTGCTGTCCAGTAGAGGGAGTCCCAGTCCAGTCATTACGGGCAGTCCTCTGGATGGAAGCTGAGGACTAACTCTGGTAGAAGGCACACATTTCTGGGTACAATTGGCACAATAGTGTCTACCAGAATTGTTTGATTATTTACAATCAGCTTTTTTTTTATATATATCAAGTTGACAGAATTAAATTAAATAAATTGAATGAAATCATGTTTTTAAACTGTATTGCCATTCCACATTGTTATTAAAGGAAGGATATGTAAATGAGACCTTGTTATGGCAGGTGTAATTACCATGGGCTAATTTCATCCCTATTGGAAGACACCTTTAATAATTCAATTAAATAAGAATACCAACATGTAAAGTGACAACAGTTGAAAAAGTTATGTTTTCATTGTGAAAAATAATGGACATACAGTATATAACTGTTTTTAGAATAGTGACGCATATTATACAGTTGACTTTGTAAACAAAGGATTATGAATTCTATATTGTGATACACTACAATTGGCCTTCTCAATATATAGCTATCTCTACCCCTTGTGTAATCTGTCACATGGCAAAGGCAGCATATACAAAAATGCCTCAATAACAAGCTCTCCAAAACGGAATTTGTTTTAGAAAATCTAATATACTTGCAATCTTTCGGTCAATTAAAAAATACAATATTGGTTCCTCAGGTACAGCTGACCCGATTACAGATACATTCCTCCCCCTAAAAACACTTGTTTGATACCCCTGCACTTCTATAGAGTTTGGCAACAATTTGCGGAACATTTGCAAAAACTCAAACAAACAAAGCGCACATACAGCAGACATGTTGTAACCAGGTATTAAAAAGGAGAACTTTAAACACATGGCTAAGTAACCATCACTTAGACCTAATCCCTCCATCACCCTCAAGAATGTATTAATTTGACTATTGGATAAACACTAAATCACTCTCTTTTGTAATGAGTACTTTGTAATTAGTACTGAATATTACATCTGCTCTCTAATGCTGGGTTCACATGCTCCTCGGAATAAGAAACTCTAAACTATCTTACTGGAAAGATCAGAGGACGATACATGTTATCTCCCCACTCCTATTTCATCCTTCTTGGAAGCTCATAAATTACTTTTTGGACGTTGTCAACGCAGAGTTATGAACATTCTGAGAGCATTTGGGGAGTTTCTCAGTCCCGAGTTGTTAATAATTCCAAGAGCACATGAACACAGCATAACATCTCAAACAGAGAGCTGAAGCCTAACTCCGGTAAACTAATGGAAGATTACATGTTGAAAAGGGATGCTGGACACTGGACATGCAAAATTACAGAATTTAATTATGTAATAGGCTAAACTGTATAGGGAAGAAAATCTGTCTATTCATACTTTATGGCTGAGATAAAGGGGGAAATTCAAGGAAAGAAAGACATACAACATCCCTATTTCTATTTTTCTCACCTTATCTGGCTGCAAGTTGACGCACACAACCATAGAGCAATGAAGAAGCAGCACAAGAAACAAAACCGATTCTCTATCTATCTATCTATCTATCTATCTATCTCACTCTCTCTTCTTACAGCTGTTAGGTAGGCAATGAGCCAACCATTTGGACAGAATTCTAGAAGAACCAAACCTTAACAGCAACAAGTGCTTTGTTTTTCGAAAAACATACGCCCCTGCCTGATGGGTGAGTGAAAGGGCAAGGTCTTTCCATAGCCATAGCAGATGGCATTGATGACCACCATAAGCTTCTTAAGGACTAACGTTGACCCAGAGCCATCCCAACAGAGTCCCATACACCCAGGTTCGGACATAGAGTTTCCTGCCAGACTCCGTCAACAGCATTGGCAGTGTTAGCCCGCCCAAAAATAGCAGCGATGGCAACGTCTTCATAATGCTCAGATGGGACCTTTGACCTTCTCCAGGGAATCTGCCTTTTTTGTCTGGATCCTCAGACTCATAGAAAGTAGTCAACATCCTGTGGAGAAAGAGAGAAGGTTCCCTTTAGAGTTAATGCATATCCCCAACTCATGTCTAATCAGCCAATCATGACAATTTATAACTGTAATTGTTAGTAAGTGGTAGGGTTGCAAAATTCCAGTAACCTTCCAAAAATTACTAGGTTTTCCAGAGATTCCCGGAATTAAGTGAGAATAACCAGGAAATCCGGAATCCTCCAACCAGGATTTCTGGAAAACCCGGCAAAATGGGGAAGTTACTGGAATTTTGCAACCCTGGTCAGTGCACACTTTTCTTGTGCAGTCGGGGAATTCAACACATATTATTACATGACTTATCAAACCAGACTAGCTCCAGCATCCTTAATATCCACCATTTGAGTAATTGAAGTTCTGCCAGCATTTCAGATTCATTTCAGATTCATTTTCTTAACTTGAACTCAACCTTGGCCTACATGTGGAATTTGTGCATGGGTCAGTGTCATAATGTCAGACAGGGTTAGAGAGAGGGGGTAAGAGGATACTCACTGGTCCTTGATCTCAAATCGCTCGTGCAGCCACCTGCGGAAAAACACAGACTCCGGTGGAATTTCCTTCACGTCCACACGTTCAAAGTGGATGTGAACTCTGGGACATTCCTTACACAGGAATTCTGTCAAACAGAGAAAACATGAATGAGAGACAAAACAACATCAGGAAGAGCATAGCAGCCAAAGGCCACGTAGAGAGTGAGCCATCAAATTGTGTTCAACAGGTTGTGAATGAGGCACTACATAGGTTCAGATACAGTATCTAATGGATCTGACCTGAACTCTCTAAACTTCCGTCCTCTAACTCCAAATGGAGGAACTAAGTGACTACAGCTTGCACGGAGGTCTGTTTTTCCCAACAATTTCCAAAACACTGTACAATCTGAGCCGGATTTGAATGACCAGCTTTAGAAACTATAGTCTCCTCAAAAGCCCCGCCTGCTGTGTTTTTCTTACAGGCCCTCAGATTAGCCTATAGGCCTATTCTTAATCATAGTACCCATTTGGCATTTTCATATGACTCATCCAATCAGCCAGATCCACAACGGTAAAGCAGTCATTAAAACCATTATCCCTCACACTACACTCGTGAAGGCAATTTGTTCAGTTCCATGTTATCATGGAGAAACAGCTGGATCAAATTACAAAAGTCTCCTGAGATATAAGAAAGCAAAAAAGGACCACATGTCACGTCACTCCAGCCTCCCCAGAGGGAGAGCACTTATGACAGAAGAGTCAGCCTTTCCTGTGACCCATTGGAAAACATCTACATGGTTGATTTACACTAACTCCTGCCTTTTAAAGAAGGTCAAGATGGCACAGTGATTCTAAAGCGTATAGCTATTATCTCAAATGATAGACAAAAGCATTACACACCAGCTCTGATTCAATGTCAAATTTCTCAAGAATTGAATTGACAAGAATGAATGCTTGGATGATCTTCAATTCCTTGAGCCATTTTGTTAGAAAGACATGGAGTCATCTAATAAATATTAGAGGTCCTAATCGCAGGAGACATTTTAGAACCACTATATCAAACATCACTAACATGTTCTGATGTCATGATAATTCCATCAATGCAAGCGGGGCATTAGCCTTGAGAACTGGCAGCATTTTGAATCCTGCCATATGAAGGTTAAAAGCCAAGATAAGAGAAAAGTAAAATCCCTGCGCATGTCGTACATGACAAAACAATAACTCTGATCAGACAGCTTAGCTGAAAGCTCCCATGGAAACGTTGACGTTAAAAATAAGCAAACTGCCGAATCTGGGGCCGTGCTTCGAAACGTTCCCATGGAATAAACCCCCATAACCACTGCATCAGTCATTCAATGGATATTACAGTTTATTTCAGTTTATATCAACGTGGGTTCACATGATACCTAGGTCGAAAATATGCAGGTTAAGACAAAGGACTGATTCAATGCGGAGCATTCGAAAATAAACACATTCATTCACCAGCGCCGTTGCGGATCTATTGAAAACGTGACCAGCAGTGGCTGTAGATAATTTGAAAAATGTTAAAATTAATAGACAGTAAAACAGGTATGCTATGTGTTTGCTGTGTAGTTAGCTGAAATTCACTAAGACTGTGTTTACAGTGCATTCGGAAAGTATTCAGACCCCTTGACTTTTTCCAAATTTTGTTATGTTACAGCCTTACTCTAAAATATATTTTTTTGTTCAATCAATCTACACACAATACTCCATAATGACAAAGCAAAAACTGGTTTTTGGAAATATCACATTTACATAAGTATTCAGACCCTTTACTCAGTACTTTTTTGAAGCACCTTTGGCAGCGATTACAGCCTCGAGTCGTCTTGGGTATGACGCTACAAGCTTGGCAAACCTGTATTTGGGGAGTTTCTCCCATTATTTTCTGCAGATCCTCTCAAGCTCTGTCAGGTTGGATGGGGACCGTCGCTGCACAGCTATTTTCAGGTCTCTCCAGAGATGTTCGATTGGGTTCAAGTCCAGGCTCTGGCTGGGCCACTCAAGGACATTCAGAGACTTGTCCCGAAGCCACTCCTGCGTTGCCTTGGCTGTGTGCTTAGGGTCATTGTCCTGTTGGAAGGTAAACCTTCTCCCCAGTCTGAGCTCCTGAGCGCTCTGGAGCAGGTTTTCATCAAGGATCTCTCCAGATGTGACTTTTGGCATTTAGGCCAAAGAATTCAATCTTGGTTTCATCAGACCAGAGAATCTTGTTTCTCATGGTCTGAGAGTCTTTAGGTGCCTTTTGGCAAACTCCAAATGGGCGTTCATGTGCCTTTTACTGAGGAATGGCTTCCGTCTGGCCACTCTACCATAAAGGCCTGATTGGTGGAGTGCTGCAGAGATGGTTGTCCTTCTAGAAGGTTCTCCCATCTCCCCAGAGGAACTCTTCAGCTCTTTCAGAGTGACCGTCGGGTTCTTGGTCACCTCCCTGACCAAGGCCCTTCTCCCCCGATTGCGCAGTTTGGCCGGGCAGCCAGCTCTAGGAAGAGTCTTGGTGGTTCCAAACTTCTTCCATTTAAGAATGATGGAGGCCACTGTGCTCTTGGGGACCTCCAATGCTGCAGACATTTTTTGGTACCCTTCCCCAGATCTGTGCCTCGACACAATCCTGTCTGTCTCGGAGCTCTATGGACAATTCCTTCGACCTCATGGCTTGGTTTTTGCTCTGACATGCACTGTCAACTGTGGGACCTTATACAGACAGGTGTGTGCCTTTCCAAATCATGTGCAATCAATTGAATTCACCACAGGTGGACTCCAATCAAAGTTGTAGAAACATCAAGGATGATCAATGGAAACAGGATGCACCTGAGCTCAATTTCGAGTCCAATAGCAAAGGGTCTGAATACTTATGTAAATAAGGTATTTCTGTTTTTTATTTGTAATACATTTGCAAAACGTCTAAAAAGCTGTTTTCGCTTTGTCATTACGGGGTATTGTGTGTAGATTGATGAAGAAAAAATTATATTGAATCAATTTTAGATTAAGGCTGTAACGTAACAAAATGTGGAAAAGGTCAAGGCGTCTGAATACTTTCTGAATGCTCTGTATTTTCCACTTTGATGGCAAACTTTCTGTAGTGAAAACATTCACTTCCAGTCATTTTTGCTCCAAGACTGGTCCAATGTATTAGTTTATTTTCAAACGCTTCTGCATGAAATTATTATGTTGTCTTAACCTTATTTCAACCTAGCTTGAAACCAGGAAGAGCCTGGACACCAGCCAATCAGAGCAAATACTTGTGTTTTATCAATAAGGGTGAAAGATTAGGGGTGACAATATTTGATACCAAAATGATTTGATACCCATTGAGTTTGGTTGCAAGAAGGTCAACCGTTTCAGTGCGGAAAACTTTCCTGTTTTCAGTTCAAACACGGTTCAGTCATTTCCTCCTTCAATAGTGTCACCTCAATAACATGTGAAATACTGGGAAATGAACAGGAGGTGTACTTAGACAAACATGCTTTTCCATTCTTCCCATGCTGTTTACTACCAGCACATCACTGTTTATTCCTGAAAGCAACAGGATGTTTTCACACCAAGGCTTTTCAAAAAGGCTTTGGGAACACAGAGGAATCAAAAACACCACAACATAACACGCACTGTTTACAGGAAGCCAAGTTATTTTCTGTTTTAATTAGGAGAACAATGTTATACTGATAATGAACTGAGTAACTCCAGTTGCGTGTGGAAATTTTGAAGATGATTGCTAGCATCAAAATCCCCCCTTAATACCTGAAATAATTGAATTGTCTGGAACAACCTCATACCTGGCATTGATGGGGCAGGATGTCTTTCACTGCTTTTGCCCAGTGTTCCCTCATACACCACGGTGACGTCATACACAGCATCCAGGTGGTTCCTCATGGTTTCTATGGCAATGTGAGAGGCTTTCATTCTTGGGGTCAGAACGTGGTCCAAGATAGCCAGCCCTGAAGGAAATGAACAGGAGAGCATTGGTTCATTTTTTTTACATTTATATTTTATCTTATCCAGAGCCACTTACAGGAGCAATTATGGTTAAGTGCCTTGCTCAAGGGCACAGACAGATTCTTCACCTAGTCGGCTCGGGGATTCGAACCAGTGACCTTTCAGTTACTGGCCCAACACTCTTGACCGCTAGGCGACCTGGCGCTGTTAAATGGCTTGGTTGTGCCAGGTGATATGCAGTGTTAAACAAGACACTGTTTCTAGTACCAGGATTTCATTTGGATCTTTCAATAAAGGCTAACAAAAAGTATAGTGTCTGGGGAATACAGCCCTCCATTCAAATGATCAGGACACATAACTTCACTTGTTCACATAACTGAAATGGTAGACAGACGTGGACAAATTGAATTAGCAATGGTCAAACTATCCCATACTTCACTGAGTGAGGTGACAAATGACGTCTTCCAAATGTCACCCGGTTGTTGTAATCACTAATCAGAAAGATTGTCGGCTGCATTTGAGACCAGCAATTATCTAAAACCATATATACACAATTAAGAGGTCATTTAACAGGCCTGCTATTCTCCCCTGATTTAATCTTGATTGAACTCTGTCCAAAGTCCACAGGTTTTTCTTTGGGACCAACTACTACTGCATAACAAATGTGTTGTTCCATCCTGTTGTTGGTAGAATATACGTGGCACCATTCTCATTTCTCTACTATACCCCCACCTTACGGCAGGCAGATCATATAGTCATGTGCTAAACCCAAATCCCTAGAGCGGTTTACTAGGACTTACAGGGGCAGGTGATATTTGGCATTTTGATTTCAGTGACAGATTTTTCTAGTTAAATCTGTAGCTACGCACGCAAAGGACTGCAGTTTATCAAGTACCACACCGTGTATATGTTCCGCTCCATAACATGGGGATGTAGCTGTGATGGCCAAGGCAGTTCATTGGGAAATCTGCAATCTCTGATGGACAAATGTTATAACTTCAGACGACAAGGAATTATGATCTTAATCTTTAGCATTATCTTCATTTTATTAATATTGAACTTTAAATATAGAAAAATATGTGCATTACAGTAAACTATAAGTAATATATCAGTCTTCTGCCAAACTAATAAATCCTACTTTATTAAACAAAATGTCTGCTACTAAACTAATATATCCTACTTTATTAAACAAAATGTAATATGCACCAGCTTTTAAACCATTCAATTTGCTCTTGCGAATTAGGTCTAGCAACATTATAAATCACTTATCAGCCAGCAGTAAAATACTTTTGTAATCACAAGTTAATCTTTTGCCCAATTTTTAAGCTCCAGCCTCTGGGATATTTCATTAAAGCAGATCACTGGTTGGAGCTGCCAAGCTCTTGGCGCTGTACCAGCAATCCACTGGCGATGAGAAAAAATACAAAACAGCCAGGCGGCTTTTCATTTTGTCTAAGCTTCCCCTCCAATGCTGTCAACATTTGGGTCTTGACATTTTTACATAGATGGCAAAAAGTTAGTTGTGGGTAGAATGTATTCGCTGTTATAGTAAATGGATTTTGCTTTCATGTTGCGAGTTGTATTAAAAACCTTTGTTACTGCCAATGACCCAAATACCCTTCTACTGTTTTTAAAAAGTGATGTGGTTTGAGTTCTCCACTGTATTAGGGCTGGGAATTGCCAGGGACTTCACAATACGATATTATCACGATACTTAAGTGCCGATACGATATGTATTGCGATTCTATACTGTGATTGTATTGCGATTCGATGTTCCAAACATATTGCTCACCATATGTCTGCTGCAGAGGGACAAGAGAGAGCCATGAGAAAACTAGTTTTGATCAGTCATGGATTTGTTTTTGCTGAAAACAAATTGGCTCCCTGTTTAAAAAGAAGATGGAGAACATGCTATTAAGGGAAAATACTGGAGTTTTGGGGCAGGTACAGCCAACTGGTGCAAAAATAATATTGCGATATTGTCAAAACAATACGATGTATTGTCAATATGTAACTATCGATTTCTTCCCCCATCACTAGTGAACATGGCCACTGGCTGAGTTTGAGAGGTTGAAGAGGGTAAAACAATTCTGTGCTACAACAACCACTTTCAACGTGATATAAGAAGTCCATTAAGCATTGGTCACTGCTATCCGGGATCCTTGGGACATCCCTACACCATTGAAGTTGAAATTTAAAATGGTTAAGATAAGGGTTGGGGTAAGGTTTTAGGAAAGGGACGTCCCAAGGATCCCAGATAGCACTGACCATAAAGCTTTTAGGGAGGAATGGGTGGGGTAGAAGCTGAAGTACCTGTTGCAATGCACCTTTACATGACCCCCCATTACATGACCCCCCATTCATTCATCATCCCCAAAGCTTTGCTATTAGTCATGCAAGAATACACTCCCTCAAAATCAATAATACTACATTTGAAAGTATGAAAGAGCACCTTCTTTAGCGGAAAAAGCCTGACTGTCACTGATCATCTTCTTGAGTTCAGGGTTGTATCGGGTTCCTTCTGGGAAGATGACAAGATACATCTGCACAGATAACAAACCAAATGGTGGTTGAGTTAGGACAGGTGAAGTCTTACAGGGGAGATCAGCACATCATTGCTCTTAAGATAAGAGTGCAGTTTTACAGCAGGGTTACTAGACTTCAAGGCACTGACAGGTACCCATTTCATACATCCCTGTCTATACTCTACATACCCATGCATGCACATCTGAAAACGCTGCAACTTGGCTGTCATGTAGACTAGACAAGTCATAAGATCATGCCAAAATGCTAGCCAGGAAGACCAAACAACAAGCTGTGGATCTGAAGTGTCCTGGGAAAAAGTTATTTGGCAACAGCTGTCCTTCCTGATATAGACTAGACACAGGGAAACATTTAGAATGGACATGCCAGTGACCAAAAAGGCCATTATAAATATTTCAGTTAGTTTAATGTATTTTGTATCTTTTAGAATAGCAATGCGCTTTTAAAAAATGACAATTTGGATAATGTAAGAGCACTTTCATGGTATTCACTGACAGCCTCACAGCCCATCAACAGAATCAATTTGAATGAAGTGGCAGTATAAAACGTTTGTTTTGTTGGCAGCCATGTAAAAAGTTATTGGCTACAGTGCAAGAAACATGCAAAATTTCCCCCCCAAAAAATGGTTTTGGGGAGGAAATAACATTCCCATATCAGACAGTTTCTGTCAGTGTGCTCCATAAATACTTACTGGTGTTCCCAACACTGTCTGTGAAGAGAGCTTCTTTTTCATTGCCTTCTCGTCAAACTTTGCGTTTCGCTTCACGTAGACACCGCCATGCTAAGAAAATAACATTTGAGAAAAAATGTACACAACATAGGCTTAAATGAAGCATACCAATAAGCACAATACACATAACATATCTTTGACAGTGCAAAAATCTTTCAGATCGGCCTAGATCTTTTTAGTTTTTTTGTGACCAAAGTGTTGTTGTTTTTTTTGGGGGGGGGGGAGGGGTTACAAGTACAATATTTAAATTAATCTAATTTCATTTTCAGTTCATTTATTTGTTATTCATTATTTCACACACACATATAAACTCAGAAAAAAAAGAAACGTCCTCTCACTGTCAACTGTGTTTATTTTCAGCAAACTTAACATGTGTAAATATTTGTATGAACATAACAAGATTCAACAACTGAGACATAAACTGAACAAGTTCCACAGACATGTGACTAACAGAAATGGAATAATGTGTCCCTGAACAAAGGGGGGAGGGGGGGGGGGGGGTCAAAATCAAAAGTAACAGTCAGTATCTGGTGTGGCCACCAGCTGCATTAAGTACTGCAGTGCATCTCCTCCTCATGGACTGCACCAGATTTGCCATTTCTTGCTGTGAGATGTTACCCCACTCTCACCCCTGGTGAGACAAAACCGTGACTCGTCAGTGAAGAGCACTTTTTGCTCTCTCAGCCTATTGCAGACAGTCTGAGCACTGATGGAGGGATTGTGCATTCCTGATGTAACTCGGGCAGTTGTTGTTGCCATCCTGTACCTGTCCCGCAGGTGTGATGTTCGGATGTACCGATCCTGTGCAGGTGTTGTTACACATGGTCTGCCACTGCGAGGATAATCAGCTGTCCGTCCTGTCTCCCTGTAGCATCTTACAGTACGGACATTGCAATTTATTGCCCTGACCACATCTGCAGTCCTCATGCCTCCTTGCAGCATGCCTAAGGCACGTTCACGCAGATGAGCAGGGACCCTGGGCATCTTTCTTTTGGTGTTTTTCAGAGTCAGTAGAAAGGCCTCTTTAGTGTACTAAGTTTTCATAACTGTGACCTTAATTGCCTACCGTCTGTAAGCTGTTAGTGTCTTAACGACCGTTCCACAGGTCCATGTTCATTAATTCTTTTTTATTTTTTGTCACCTTTATTTAACCAGGTAAGCCAGTTGACAACTAGTTCTCATTTACAACTGCGACCTGGCCAAGATAAAGCAAAGCAGCGCGATAAAAACAACACAGAGTTACATATGGGGTAAAACAAGTCAAAAATACAACAGAAAATATATATACAGTGTGTGCAAATGTAGCAAGTTATGGAGGTAAGGCAATAAATAGGCCATAGTGCAAAATAATTACAATTAGTATTAACACTGGAATGATAGATGTGCAAGAGATGATGTGCAAATAGAGATACTGGGGTGCTCACAATATGGGGATGAGGTAGTTGGGTGGGCTAATTTCAGATGGGCTGTGTACAGGTGCAGTGATCGGTAAGATGCTCTGACAACTGATGCTTAAAGTTAGTGAGGGAGATAAGAGTCTCCAGCTTCAGAGATTTTTGCAATTCGTTCCAGTCATTGGCAGCAGAGAACTGGAAGGAATGGCGGCCAAAGGAGGTGTTGGCTTTGGGGATGACCAGTGAGATATACCTGCTGGAGCGCATACTACGGGTGGGTGTTGCTATGGTGACCAATGAGCTCAGATAAGGCGGGGATTTGCCTAGCAGTGATTTATAGATGGCCTGGAGCCAGTGGGTTTGGCGACGAATATTAATATGCTATTTAGCAGACGCTGTTATCCAAAGCGACTTACAGTAATGCGTGCATACATTGTTGTGTATGGGTGGTCCCGGGGATCGAACCCACTACCTTGGCGTTACAAGCGCCGTGCTCTACCAGCTGAGCTACAGAGGACCAGCCAACAAGAGCGTACAGGTCACAGTGGTGGGTAGTATATGAGGCTTTGGTGACAAAACGGATGGCACTGTGATAGACTACATCCAATTCGCTGAGTAGAGTGTTGGAGGCTATTTTGTAAATGTCATCGCCGAAGTCAATGATCGGTAGGATAGTCAGTTTTACGAGGGCATGTTTGGCAGCATGAGTGAAGGAGGCTTTGTTGCGAAATAGGAAGCCGATTCTAGATTTAACTTTGGATTGGAGATTCTTAATGTGAGTCTGGAAGGAGAGTTTACAGTCTAACCAGACACCTAGGTATTTGTAGTTGTCCACATACTCTAGGTCAGACCCGTCGAGAGTAGTGATTCTAGCCGGGTGGGCGGGTGCTAGCAGCGTTCGATTGAAGAGCATGCATTTAGTTTTACTAGTGTTTAAGAGCAGTTGGAGGCTACTGAAGGAGTGTTGTATGGCATTGAAGCTTGTTTGGAGGTTTGTTAACACAGTGTCCAATGAAGGGCCAGATGTATACAAAATGGTGTCGTCTGCGTAGAGGTGGATCTGAGAGTCACCAGCAGCAAGAGCGACATCATTGATATACATGGAGAAAAGAGTCGGCCCAAGAATTGAACCCTGTGGCACCCCATAGAGACTGCCATAGGTCCAGACAACAGGCCCTCCGATTTGACACATTGAACTCTATCTGAGAAGTAGTTGGTGAACCAGGCGAGGCAGTCATTTGAGAAACCAAGGCTATTTAGTCTGCCAATAAGAATGCGGTGGTTGACAAGAGTCGAAAGCCTTGTTTATCCTATTCTCGCTATACACCAAGTCACTTGGCTCTGTCATATCCTCACATGGCCTCTCCTATCATTGCTACGCAGACGACACACAACTAATCTTCTCCTTTCCCCCTTCTGATAACCAGGTGGCGAATCGCATCTCTGCATGTCTGGCAGACATATCAGTGTGGATAACGGATCATCACCTCAAGCTGAACCTCGGCAAGACGGAGCTGCTCTTCCTCCCGGGGAAGGACTGCCCGTTCCATGATCTCACCATCACGGTTGACAACTCCGTTGTGTCCTCCTCCCAGAGTGCAAAGAGCCTTGGTGTGACCCTGGACAACACCCTGTCGTTCTCCGCTAACATCAAGGCGGTGACCCGATCCTGTAGGTTCATGCTCTACAACATTCGGAGAGTACGACCCTGCCTTACACAGGAAGCGACACAGGTCCTAATCCAGGCACTTGTCATCTCCTGTCTGGATTACTGCAACTCGCTGTTGGCTGGGCTCCCTGCCTGTGCCATTAAACCCCTACAACTCATCCAGAATGCCGCAGCCCGTCTGGTGTTCAACCTTCCCAAGTTCTCTCACGTCACCCCGCTCCTCCGCACACTCCACTGGCTTCCAGTTGAAGCTCGCATCTGCTACAAGACCATGGTGCTTGCCTACGGAGCTGTGAGGGGAACGGCACCTCCGTACCTTCAGGCTCTCATCAGTCCCTACACCCAAACGAGGGCATTGCGTTCATCCACCTCTGGCCTGCTGGCCCCCCTACCTCTGCGGAAGCACAGTTCCCGCTCAGCCGAGTCAAAACTTTTCGCTGTTCTGGCACCCCAATGGTGGAACAAGCTCCCTCACGACGCCAGGACAGCGGAGTCACTGACCACCTTCCGGAGACACTTGAAACCCCACCTCTTTTAAGGAATACCTGGGATAGGATAAAGTAATCCTTCTACCCCCCCTTACCCCACCCCAAAGAAAAAAAAAGAAAAAACATATTGTAAAGTGGTTATCCCACTGGCTATAAGGTGAATGCACCAATTTGTAAGTCGCTCTGGATAAGAGCGTCTGCTAAATGACGTAAATGTAAATGTATGGTTCATTGAACAAGCATGGGAAACAGTGTTTAAACCCTTTACAATGAAGATCTGTGAAGTTATTTGGATTTTTACGAATTATCTTTGAAAGACAGGATCCTGAAAAAGGGACTGCCACTCAGATGAAGAAAATAAAAAAACATTACAAAAGGTACATAACTACAAAGTATTCATAATAAGTAATAATAAATTCAGTATGTACAGAAAAAGGAAACAAAGGCCTACATCTTTTACATAAATATATTACCTGAGAGAAATACCATCCGTACAATGGGAGCCACTTCAGACCATCTTTCAGGACGTATCTCACATGGCCAAGTGCTTTCTGCCTAATGGCTAACATGTCAGCAATGATCCAGTCCGCTGTATGACAAGACAATAGAAAATAAGGGTTTTAGTCCAACTGCAGTGTAAACCGCAGTGTTCTCAGATGAAATCCTCAAATTTCACCGCATCATACGCCAAACTTTTATCTCAGAATGAAGAGAAATTAATTAGTAAAACATCTTGTTGAATAGGAAAAGCTCACCTGTGCATTGATGGTTGGAAAGGTAGACCACATTCTCTTTATTCTTTGGTATGTCTCCATAAATAACAATCTAAAGAAGGAAGAATCAGCACAGTGTTAGGCCTAAAAGACACCATAAGGGCATAATGAGAGACATCAGAAATAAAATGGAAGAAATTTGGGTGGTTGCCAAACTGATATAATTTGTGCCAACCTTCGTAATTAGACTTTCACCCAGGATTTTGTTGTGGAAAATCCACTTAGCGCTGAGAAATCCAATGGCATGCCAACCATGTCTCAGTGTTTTCGTTCATAAACTGTTCTCATCAGCTTAATAGCCTTATACAAGCTGTTAATAATTAATCAAGAGCGTCACTTGTTCAAACACCTGAGGCGTTGTTGTGCTTCATAAGATAACATGTTTGAAACAGTATACCTACTGTAGGCATATGTGCAATTATATCATTTTGAGAGCCATATTCATGAACACCCACAATAAATGAAGTTCCCACCAGACTAGGCTTAAATAGCAAACACAAAGATGAACCACAAAAGAGTGGCTGCGAAGTTAACTTCCTGACTGATCAGACACGTGCTGATACACTGACGAAAGAAACAGCATACCACTGGTAAAACTGGATGCTTTATGCAATGTCCCAGACTCGTATAGGCCTATATGTATGCAGACCACATTCATTTCTCAGCTTTATATTAGCCATTATTTTGATCCCTAGTGCTGGCCAAGTAGCCAGACACTAATGACAACCACACACTTCCTACATACCATTAGACCTAATACTACCTTTCTCTCTCCTGTGGCATCAAAGAGAGAAATGATAACCATAAAGTAGTTTTTTTTCTTTCAGGGAGAACATTTGATATAGGTCATTTATCTTAACTGAAAACAGAGAGGGGCTCTGTGAAGTGGCACTGAGGTTGCACAAGCCACATTTCCCAGTTGGGCTCAGCCCACTGACTTATTCAAGTTAGAGTAGTTGATGAGTGACTGAGGAGACAGAGCTATCTGGCATCCATCTGGTTAGTCAAGTTCCTGTCCATTGATGTACACAAAAGTATCATCTTTTGTATTCCTAGAGCTGTAATTACATGATAATGTCACCATACAAGATACTTTACAAGCTATAAGTCAGTGTGTGTCCTTAAACTAAGTGAAATGTAGGCCGACTCACCTCCACCCCGGTATAGTTTTCAAAGAAAAAGAGGATGAGGCTCTGGTAGATGTTATAGAGGTGGTCGTCCATCTTGCGGTATATTCTTGATGGTAGGAAAGCCGAAATCAAACGACAAGCACCCCATGATAGCACATAAGCTGGAGCTGTGCCTATCATAACCGCTGCAGGAAACCAGTACCGCAACGAGTACGTGTGCACAACAAGGGACAGCAGCATTCTGTACTGCGTAATAGCTTCTTCAAGTAGCTATAACTACAAGATATCTGGTATCTACTAGACACCACTTTCACTTCTTCTCTGTTGACCGTTATCTTTGTTAACTGTCAAAGCAAGAGATAGCTAACGTTAGCGGTAGCTTGACAGCCCCCACAAATTATCGCAGTGAGAAGTTGCAAATATAGCCAACAGCATATAGTAATACCACATGTCAATGTTATGCATATCGCAAAAGCTCAACGTAACAACAACCAGCAAACGACTTCGAATCTCCGACAGCCACCTAACTTTACCTAGCTAGCTAGCTAAGCGGCTAACGTTAGCTTCCGCCGCGGTTAGCTACAAGCTTTCGCTAAACACTGCTCAACGGGCCCATGACCCAAACGATTAAATGCTGTCTTACAAAATAACGGTTAAAACTACATTGGTAAATCACAACAACATTCTTAGAAGTTTTAACTTTAGTTCAGAAACTGCCTCTACCATGGACTCCATGGTGTAATTGGGCGTAACTCGTAAGCCACTTACCAACATCGTGCAAGCTGATTGGTTTAAAGAAGTGTTCTGAAGTGGTGGTTGCTAAAAGTGGACAGTTGCTAATTTGCTGGTGTCAGTCTGAGGTATAAAACAACAGTGCCAGGTGCCCGCAGCATTAAAGCAAGATCTGCCTAAAATGATCTGCGTTTGCAAGCTATTTTGGTAGTAGTGTGTGTGTCTGATGTGTGATCTGCAGTATATCTTGAAGGTAAATTACTGAGTGAATGTCAAATGGATGAAAGCACTAGCCTGGTCCCTGTATCAGTTTGTTGTATAAACAACCATATTTGATGCATAGCAAACTCCTTGCTATGGCATCTGGGACATTTACATTTACATTTTAGTCATTTAGCAGACGCTCTTATCCAGAGCGACTTACAGTTAGTGAGTGCATACATTTTCATACTGGCCCCCCGTGGGAAACGAACCCACAGCCCTGGCGTTGCAAGCGACAAGGTTAAAAAAGCACTGCATTGCTAATAGACTTTAATCTTTGAGTTTGAGTCTTCCTATAATGAGTGGGTGGATGGACATGACTCGATTTGTGACTGGGCATCCCGGGAGACAAACATTGCAGGCTGACCCAGGAACAGGTCGTGCTGGCACTCCCCTGCAGACAGGTGCTGCTGCAGATTACAGATCTGGGAGGAGAGACATGACAGGGTCTAAGGTGGGATGTCTTTTCAGGAAGGGGGGAGTTGTTTGCAGTTGTGTTTTAAAAAGAGCCAATCTTAATATAGTTAAAAGAGTAGTTATTCAGCAATGTATATTTTGTATATGTATTGTGTGTTTGGCTGACCATTAGTTGTCACAACAAGTGTGTTGCAGTGTTCCCTTTTCACAAGGAGAGGGCAGAAAAACACCTTGAATTTGTAAATAAGTCTTCCTTTAGCCTGTATAGGGATAGCCACATTTCATACAAACAGAGCTGCTGTCATCACCTGTATAATCAAAAACCCTCCAAAAAGCTTGACCCCATCTGACCCCAAATCTCACCCAGTCTAGTATTTCCCCACTTCAACAATCTACTAACTTGGTATCTTGACAAATGTTGAATTTAAATTAAACCTATGTGAAATACAACACGATATGTGAAAGGGATTTGAGGTTTGAATTGAAAATTAATATCTGCCTGCCAGAGTGAACCATAAAACGTCTTAGCAGTAAAATATGTCATAACAGGAGTCATGATGAATGATGATTACATGTGGTTTCTGTAATCTGGAGCCATGCTTATTGACTTGTAATGATTGAAAATATGAACAAGCTAACCACATGGAAAAAACTAAATCCACTCATTTTGTTTACTGCTTTCCATTGTGTCATTTGAGCAATGGATTTTATGTCTTAGGTTCATAACGATGCACATTTTGGGGGTCCGAGAAGGTAGAACAGGGTACCTATATTAAGCTTAATCTAAAGGTGATCCCCTACTCAGACCAGGTAGACATGTGTATTTCACTATGAGGACACGTTGGTCACCCTGGACTCCAGTCCATATCTCTGTCTAAGCAATAGCCCTTTTCCACAGCCTCTAGGGGTGGACGAATACTCCTTCTACACAGCCTCTAGGGGTGGATGAATACCCCTTCTCCACAGCCTCTAGGGGTGGACAATGGGCACTAAGCCTAATTGTGCTGAGAATCTGCGCGATTACAGAAGTCCTATGACATTGGCTGACACAGCTCATAGCTTACAGTTGCTCCAAGTAATACATAAAAGATTCAATACAACGCCTGGTTTGATTTCCTTGGGCTGCGGTCCAGGCTGTCCGTCCTCCTTGCCTGAGAGCACTGAATGAGAACATACATGCAGTCTTCGCTGACATTGTGCTCCATCTTAAAACTACTGAGTGGTGCTCTAAGCTACAGGGGAAGTCTGGAGTGCCGCTCCAATCTGCTACTTTATGAATGAGTGCCAGAAAACAGGTTTTACCTCAAATTAGACCTTTTGGAAGTTTTTCTTGGCAGGCCATTCTCAGGCTTTAAAGCATGTTGGTCCTCCTCTGTACATAGCAGGAGTCTTTTTATCGCTTATACTATATAATCAAACTTTGGTCAAATGGTTCAAAGGGAGCATTAAAGTACATTGTTCACTTCATGGGGCGTGATACTTGGGGTGGATTCATAATGAAGACGTGAGGATTATCAGTGAAAACAGGCTCTCATCAGGGAACACTGATTTGAATCAAGTGAAGCATCAAGAGATTTGTGACAGAGACTTGGGCTACATCTCAAATGGAGCATTGCAATTGGTTGAATATCAATCAGGAGACATCTTATATTATTTGAAGTAGGCTAACTGTGGCATATACAGCTGGCAAAAATTGACACTCAATATATGTGTTTCTTTCAAATTATGTTCCTTTGGAAATGAAAGAACTCTGTTCTTCTTGACACTCTCCTTTCATTACATTCTAAGTTATTCTGTGGCTGTCAACATTTTGGTTGTTATTACCTTAAATTATCAGAAAATGAAACACATTGAGTTTGTGGTTTTTCTTAAATTAGGTTCCAATCGAAAACAGCTGCTTGGCAGATTATGTGCAGTCAAACAGGTCACAAAAGCAGTCCTCAAAAAAGGTGACAGTTGAGTTTATTTTATGAGAAGGTTAAGCTGCAACAGCTGATGAAAATATCAGGTTTGTAGTAACTAGACATGAAATTAAAGTTTTTCAATCTCATGAGTCAAAGAAATACAGTGAATGATTATTGAGAGACAAAGCATAAACTTGTTAAGATTAAGGTCTCTTCAATCGACAATTGTACACTAGGTCCAACAGAAATTCGACTTCCGCTTTGTCCCAACCCCTCCGAAAGACAATGCATATGTATACAGGTTGGAGAGGTTGGAGCAGGGGGCTACCACACTGGGCGCCCGTGGAGCAGTTCTTGTGCGTCTTTGGAAATAAGTTGTCTTTAATTATCTTAAAATGTGTCCTAAGAACAAACTAGTATTTAATAAACAATAAATATCCTCTACATTATATACAAATACCACTAGTAGCCTATTGTGTCTATATAGCCTTTTAGCATCCTCAAAGGAGCATGAAGCGGATTGGGCTTTGGATGACAATTCCGGCATAAATAGGCTAGGTCATTGTGTGAGTCACCTTCTTCCCCCTGATGCGCTTCCTCCAGACATGAAACGACTGACAGACAATCATCGACGCCCACACATCTAATGGCGTAACGATTCAACCGGAACCCATGAACCAACTCCAGTTTTTCTGAAAGCGGCCTTCCTCTGTGGTCATCTGCCTAAAACGTGCTGCATTTCCTTCACATTCTGTTACATCACTTCACTTCCTGTAGTTCCGCTTCTTGTGTGTGCTGGGACTTGAGTGTGACTAGAAGGCAAATGCAATGCATTGTAATAGGAACTGATGCTTAAAAATACACACACAATATACCTAAAAAGGTTATAGGACCTTTGGAATATTTGTAAGACCATTTTCTCAAAGTACAAAACTGTCAGTCAAAGAGAGAGGTGAAATATGTAGAGCTTCAGTGTAAAGGGAAATGAAGAATGAAGCTAGTGGAGCAATAGGAAGAGGACCATGATGGAGAAACATCCCTGGGGTTTAAGACAAAACATCCTCCAAGCGGATTCACTTCCTTTGTAGACCACCTGCATCGCCCCGTGTGTGATATCAGCGGTTTGATATAGCTCACATCATTAGAATAGACAATGACTGGAAAAACATTTTTACTGTACATAACAGGCTGGCTCATCTTGAAAATAATAAATGCAATACACCATAAATCTTATGTCATGTTTAAATATTGTTAAATTATATAAAAGTAATAATCAGCCTTGTGTATAAAGCAAATCAGCCTCGTTATTAGTATTGTATGTTTTATGTCTGTCGTCACTAGAAGAGCTCAACTACTGAACTGCACTGCATACAACTGAGAGGGGCTCTTGTCGGGTTTGTTAATGTGTGACCCTCACTTTGCACCGACCCAACTTGATCTCTCATCCATTCAAGCCAAAGGTTAACGTAAACCAGCTATGTTTGCCAAGTGTTTCAGTATACGCATGAACAGCATTATGTTGATGTCCTACAAGTCAAACCACAGGACTTAATGGTACCTCTATAACTTCTAAAATGTATCAAACATGCAAGTAGACGTAGCTGCAGAGATGTCAAAATGGTCATGGTTTTTATGGCGCTTGTGCACCTCCCTTCATCAAGCAGCTTGTCGCGCTCTACTATAACCGAAAGCCTTGAATAGCCGACCTATGTAAGATCTCCCGAGGGTGACTGTACACGCACAACCAAAAAACAACCACTAAGTTAAAATAGAGCACACATTCCGGAGCTCGTTGGCACCTTTGAAAATGAGCCAGCATAAATTTAAAAAATCATTGCGTTCCTCGACAGGCACAAGTCTCCTTGGAAGACAGTTTTCCCAACAACATTTATTGCCTATGCCCCCTCCCTATGGATGAATACACATCAAAACATGCTTAAGCTCCTGAATAAATCACAATATTTTATCAGTATGGATAATGTTTTTGAATACTATTTGAACCTTTCTGGGGTCAACTGACTAAGCTATTTGGAACTGTTCTGTCCTCATGCTACTCCACGCTAGTTTAAGAAAGGCTTGAGACAGGATGCAGGGAACACAGCCGCCCTGATCTGAAACACATCCTCTCAAATCAAAGGTGGGAAAATCAAGAGGGGAACGTTGTCTGGCGACAGCCAGGCACCTCTGAAGATTTGAATCAAAGTTAACTACAGTACAATAAGCTAATAGTCAGGTAAATTACGTTGGCTTCAGACATGGCCACTGTGTAGTACTGTGATTATGGTAGTTTCCCAGCTGCCTGTCTACAGCTGCCAAGATCAGAGATGATGAAGAAAAAAAAAGCTCCTTGAAAAAGGACCAGATGAAGAACTGTCTACTTCATTCCCACACAGGAACAAATGAAAAAACAACAACAGGGCTCTGTGAAGCCAAGATCAGTCTATTTTAAGTCACATTAATGGATATTTAGCATCTTATCAAGATGACATGAAGTGGACGGATGAGCTTTATTAATATCCCCAGAACCCCAGCCAGATACTCTTCTCCCTCTGTAAACTGGATCTCACCCCTATATGTGTACCAAGATCCTGATACAGCCCAGAGTTGGAGAATGACAGGAAATCAGAGCTAATGTTTCTTAAGACTGAGCAAAGAGCTCGGAATGAGATGAGTGACAACAGAGAAATAGTGTCTCTTTCCCTCAACATTCTCATACTTAGACAAATGCCTGTGCTTTTGTCGCGGGGAGAAAAATATTTACCGTGGGTAGGGATGGATATTGCAATTGCAGACTTTGCTGGAAGAAGGCAGCTGCATCCAGAATAGATGTTCGGCCATCGGCTTGTGAGAAAACACTAATATGGTAATTGCTTAATCCTCTCTACTCTTCTGTCTCCCTGACCTGTTCATAAAGCTCTCGCTCTCATGCGAAGAAGAGGATATGGTCGGAAGTGTTTAATTAGTGCATCTGCTCCTGTGTGTGTGTAAGAACTGGTCTCCACATTGCTGCTTCCATCCCAGCGGCTCTTCACAGTGACTGGACACAGGGATGTAGTGGGAGGGGCCTTGCCTCCACTCCCATAGCTAGCTAATCAGAGGGCCAACTGCAGCTGAAACCAAGAGGCTGGGGGCTTTATGAAAAAGGGGAAGTGTGCAGTCTAGGACTGGGAACCTGCAGGAATGACAACATCTACCCGGTGTACCCGCTGACCGTATCCCCTCCTCCCGCCTATAAAAGAACCTGAAGAATTGAAAGAGGACTGTGTGCATTTGGATATTCGAGAGGAAAGAATTACAACAATATTTCACTTTTAAAAACAAATCCAATCAAATTTTTGTTTTAATTCTTAAAATGTTTTATGTTGGCTTACTGGTCTTGAGTGGCTGCCTGGCCCTGGGGGCCGGCTACAGGAAAACTACAGACACGACAGCTGTTAAGAGGCAGTACCAGATCCAGAATGGCCCGTGCAGCTACACCTTTCTGCTGCCTGAGCAGGACAACTGCAGGACCCCGAGCAGCACCTACACTAACCTGGTCCAGAAGGACGATCCGGCAGAGTATGATGAGTCGGCCCAGAGGCTGGAGCAGCTGGAGAACATCATGGAGAACAACACACAGTGGCTCCTCAAGGTAAGGTGTTCTGCTTGACGTCACACAGCTTCTCTACTGGGAGTGCAGGTGTGTGTCTCACACCCATTCTCATGATATACGTATTTTTTTGTTGCGTCCCTCTATTTTTTATGATCTGTTACGACTTTCCAATTCATATGATATGTTACAAATAGTTCCATAAAAATGTGTGTTATTTGCACCCTCTGGATGAGTGCCCACATTTAAAACATAAGGGACTTGGTTACGGAGAACCCGTTGGGTGCCATGAGCCGTTCAGAGATTAAGCAGTAAATGAATGGTTCTGCTGCTCTGCCATTATGTTTAGGGCTGGCACAATTACCCTATAACCGACGGTTATGGATGAAGATAGTCATGAAAATAAGTCATAACTGTAAAAAAAAGTATATTTAAAAACAGATGATTGAAGACAGGACCACCAGGCATTCGTGCGGTTGAGTCCGTTTCAGCTGTGACATGGACTCAACAACATGAAACTTTATTGTAATGTAGAGTGTTCATTCAAATTCTATTACGTGATGTGGCTCATGCAATGGAATGTATTTGTTGTGATATTGAGTAGAAATCAACAAATCACAGCACATATAGTTTGTTCCTATGGGTATACTCGCAATGGCCGCCAGTCCACCCATTATGCCATCAATGACTTGAATGGGGACGACCGTTCTATTCATTCTATTTCTATGGGAGCACATTCATAGAAATACAAAATGATTGCTATTCAAACGGTTATTACAGTGACCGCGGTCATTTGGCTGGCCAATTACAATCATCCAAAGTTCCATGATCGTCACAGCCCTAATTATGTTACGTTAACTTAAGATGATAAAGGTAAGCGACAGTAAGCTTTTGCAGCCTGTATAGATGTATAATCTGTGTCAAACTGACCTCATTATGTATCTTACTGTGCAGAGCTGATGTTATGTAGTATCATGGACTCATTTCAACTCAGGGAAATATTAATATAGGCCAGATACAGGTTCTGGTTTCCCACTCCGCTCAATATGGTTTACAACAGGGCTCTCCAAACCGGTTCCTGGAGAGCTACCCTTGTGTAGGTTTTCAATCCAACCCTAGTTGCAACTAACCTGATTCAGTTTATCAACCAGCTAATTATTAGAATCCGGTGCGCTAGATTAGGGTTGGAGCGAAAACCTACAGGACGAAAGCGCTCCAGGAACAGGGTTGCTTTCTATAGGAAGGTTTTATTTCCCCCATGAGAGAAGACAAGAGTATACACTAGGACCAGGACGATACCAGTATCATGATTCTCATTAGTATCGTGGCATGGAAACAAAACACGAAGCGGATTTAACTTCTTTAGGAAAACAGACCTAATGTCATCCAGTCACGTATTTATTTTCCAAGCTATAGCACACAATATTTTACACACAGCAGGTTTTTAAAATGAACAAATAGTCACAATATTTTACATGCAGCAAGTTTTTAAAGAAACAAATAATTTTTGCACAAAAAAGAAGAAAAAAAAGTGCTACTGGTATCTTCACAGCCCTAGTATACACACCAACCTTCCAGTGATGTGCAGGCGCATTATACTCCAGTCACTTTCCTTACTGCCAAGATGGCTTTGAAAGACTTTAATTCAGATTCAAAGAATCCTCAAATCTGATTGAGAGCACTGAACTTGACCTTGTAAGGGTGCAGGCAAGTGAATTGTGACATTGTCCTACTATTCGAAGGGGGCATCGTCACATGGATTCAGTCCTGAGCAATAAGAAAGCGAATGTGAGCCGAAGTAGGAAGAAAGTAGCCTGAAAGGTCATAAAACAAAGACGTGTCCCAGAACAGAAGCAGGGCTGTGGTGGCTCTGTGAGTGGGGGAGAAGGGCAGAGAAGTGACAAAGCCTCTACACAGGTGCCCAGATGAAGGACGTGCGCATCCCTTTCAGCGCTGCTGAGCCATCGCTTGTTATAGAAACAGAGCGCCTCTGCTTGGCCTCCATTCTTTCTACTCTTTAGAGTTTGATTAATGATGAGGTCTATACAGCTCTGACAAGACAAGCACAACTTCAAAGTATTATCACACAGCTCACACCTCTCCAAGGAAACAGACCCTGACCTGAATCACTCCGCCAGCTAGGTCAGCTGCTGCTAAGCGTTAGGGTCCCTAGACCTTTTGTCATTGCTGTTACATCAGAGCCACTGCTTAAGAACACTTCAATTTGAAAAATGTAGTCTTTAAAAGATGGATGCTTTGGATATGGCACTCAACATAATTTTACTTTTAAGCTAAGGACAGTGAATGGTCTGAGAAGGCAGCTACTGTTTTAATAGGAAGCTCTCACACCACAGGAGTTTAAAAGCCTAGAAATGAAGCAGTTAAAATAGTGAATCTGTAGTCTTTAGACTCCATTATGATCCGTCATTCAGTTTATTAAGCTTTCACTGCCTCACAGGATTCTATCCTCCAAGGACAGATTTGTTATGCGCAATAAATGCGTGTATCTCTGCTAAAATCTCAAATCCAATTGACATGCATGATTTATGCTGCACAATAGAGTTATGTGTATGTTCAAGGTTAGGATTTGGCCTAAAGTGACGACTCCAGATGGAAAGGATGTCATTAATGTCTGTCATGGAAAGGAAGTCCAGTCTTTAATTGAAATGCAATACATTGATGTAAAACAAACAAGTGAGTGGAACTAATCTATAGGAGATCTGCAAAGGTTAAGAGACTCTCCTGGTAAAAGTGAGATCGGCTCAATGCATCCAGAATTCTGGACGTATTTTAAACGACAAAGTAGTCTATGTAATAGGGCCATTTCAAGATAATTACTAATGCTAAAAATTAACAAAAAACCCTTATGCAAAATGTAAGTATCCATTTCCCTAATACATTGCTAATAAAAAAAATTAAAAACTTTAAATTGCCCTTATAACATGAACTTTTTCCTGACGTCATCATTTCATACACTACAGTTTGTCTGAATATTGGCATTATCTGTTATAACAGAGGAAAGGCTCTTCCTCTGAACTGCACCATGTAAAACCCAGAGTCAAGGACAAAGGAAATCACTGTACATCAACTGAAGAAATGAACATTTATTGTGAGAGCAAAGGTAATACCTACAATTCTTGCACTGTCCCACTCTGAAAAAAAATAGGAAGCCCGGCTGATGGACTGTTGTTGTTGTGCCGGTAAAATAAATGTGTTAGTTAGCCGTCACGCTTTTCGTGTAAACGGGGAGGACAAACAAGCATTCCTCGTGGAATCCTTAGAGGCAGGAGTGGAGTAAACAGCTGATTAGATAGCCGTCAATGGGAACTTCCCGCTCGCAGTTCCGATGACACACTCTTCCAGCCTCCACGTGTCTGTGTCCAAGAACACAGCCAATATGAAAGTGGAGAAAGGAAAACAAAATGTAATTAGCACTGATTGCTGCACTTCTCATTCATTGACATGGGAAAAGGCTAATTATAAACTGGATGGTTCGAGCCCTGAATGCTGATTGGCTGACAGCCGTGGTATATCAGACGGGTATACCACGGGTATGACAAAACATTTATTTGTATTGCTTTAATTATGTTGGTAACCAGTTTATAATAGCAATAAGACACCTCAGGGGTTTGTGGTATATGGCCAATATACCACGGCTAAGGGCTGTATCCAGGCACTCTGCATTGCGTCGTGCATAAGAACAGCCCTTGGCCGTGGTATATTGGCCATATACCACATCCCCTCTGGCCTTATTGCTTAAATATACTTCCCAGTTTAAACTTAAGCACAATAGTTTTGCTTGTTGGCGGATGGGTATACAACCTAATTGTTTACGCAAACAAAGAACAGAAACACTAGGTCTACTAACGTCATGATATCGTCTTGCAGTGGAAGACGCTGTGTGGTATAGGATGTAACTCATCACTCATCATTTCAATCCTGTTTACAAGACTTTCAGGCCTAATTGCCACTCAGGAACTCGATGCAGGAAAGAGCTTTATGATTGAGTTTGTTCTAAATCTGACAGGTGGATACTGGATAGGGGACAAAACTACTATCTAAAGCTTTTTATTTTCTCTGAAGACAATGATACCATGTGGGACAGACACTAGAGAAGAAAGCTTATTTAAAACTTTTCCGCTAGTAGAAATGTTACAATTTATGAGTTGTCGCAAAGATGACTGAACCTAAGTCATGTGAAGGCTCAGTTAGCAGTACAATTTTACAAAAATAACCTTAGCGGCTGACTATAGCATGTTGACAGGGCATTACAGTGCAGTCCCCATTGATTGTGATACAATTTGATGTTACCAAAAACGACCATATAAAAAAAAATGTGTAGAGTTTCGGTTAGATATTAATCCCTAGTATAGTTCAAGTGATGGCCTTAATATGAATCAGCAGGGATGCTGGGAAAATATTATCAGTCTTCCATTTTTGACCCCAACAGAAGCATGTGAACTTCCTGCTGCCAATTTTAAGAGGCTTCAACATAACGTAATCTAAACACTAGTCAAAATGCATGGCCTGTCACCGGATAATTCTGTCCACTTCTACATATTAAGACTTCTGGGTCAGACAAGGGGAAAAGCCATGAACTCCATGACAACAAGGCTGTACTGCTTAAAAGGAGTCATTCTAAAAGAGGAATAGGGTACACTTTCACTGTGACATCCATATGGTAAATGGTCATTTGACGGCATCACAGTGAACCAATAACACTGACATATCACTTAAACCATCTCACTAACCTGCCTTCGTCAACTCTTCTTGATCCTTACTGCAGCTGGAGAACTACATTCAGGAAAGCATGAAGCAGGAGATGGCCCAGATCCAGCAGAATGCTGTCCACAACCACACGGCAGCCATGATAGAGATTGGAGCTAATCTGCTGAGGCAGACCACTGAGCAAACACGGAAACTGACCAACGTAGAGGTGCAGGTGAGGACCTTTTACTTAACAATATCGTTTTGTGTGTGTGTGTGTGGTATATACATACTGTATAGTGCTGTGAAAAAGTATTTGCTGCCTTTCTAATTCTCTACTTTTGCATATTCTTTATACTGAATGTTATCAGATCTTCAACCAAAACCTAATATTAGTTAACCGTATCCTGAGTGAACAAATAACACAACAATTATACTTCTTTCATGTAAAAAAAGTTATGTAACACCCAATGCCCCTGTGTGAAAAAGTAATTGCCCCTTTACACTCAATAACTGGTTGTGCCACCTTTAGCTGCAATGACTCCAACCAAATGCTTCCTGTATTTGTTGATCTGTCTCTGCTTTCACTCAGCGACATTTGTGGGTTTTCAAGCATGAACTTTACGTTTCAAGTCCTGCCATAACATCTCATTGGGATTAGGTCTGGACTATGACTAGGCCATTCCAAAACTTCAGATTTGTTGCTTTTTAGACATTTTCATGTAGACTTGTGTATTTTGGATCATTGTCTTGCTGCATGAACCAGCTGCGCTTCAGCTTCAGCTCACAGATGGATGGCCTGACATTCTCCAGTAGAATTCTCTGATACAGAGCAGAATTCATGGTTCCTTCAATTAAGGCATGTCGTCCAGGTGCTGAGGCAGCAAAGCATCCCCAAACCATCACACTACCACCACCATGCTTGATCGTAGGCATGAGGTTCTTACTGTTGAATGCAGTGTTTGGTTTTCGCCAGGCATAATGGGACCTATGTTGTCCAGAAAGTTATACTTTTGAATCATCTGTCCATAGAACATTCTTCCAAGAGTCTTGATGATCATCCAGGTGCTTCCAGGTGCTTTTTGGGAAACTTGAGTCAACTTTTTGGACAAGATGAGTCCCATTATGTCTAGCGAAAACCAAACACTGCATTCCACAGTAAGAATCTCATACCAACAGTCAAGCATGGTGGTAGTGTGATGGTTTGGGGATGCTTTGCTGCCTCAGGACCTGGACGACTTGCCTTAACAGAAGGAACCATGAATTGTGCTCTGTATCAGAGAATTCTAGTGATGTGAGAGACAGATCAAGAACTACAGGAAGCATTTGGTTGCAGTCATTGCAGCTAAAAGGTGGCACAACCAGTTACTGAGTGTAAGGGCCAACTACTTTTTCACACAGGGGCATTGGGTGTTGCATAACTTATTTATTTATTTAACAAAGTATACCTGTTTGTTATTTGTAAAGTCAGGCTCCCTTTATCTAATATTAGGTTGTGGTTGAAGATCTGATAACATTCAGTATCAAAAATAGAGAAAATCAGAAATGGGGCAAAAACTTTTTCACAGCACTGTGTGCTAAATGACTAAACATTCAAAACCCAATAGCCTACATCAAACAATTCAGTGTTTCCCCTATTTTCATTCATGCTAAATTGTTGCTGCCACTCCCCAAAACATAATAAAACCAATAATTTGGGGGATGGTAAAATGTTTTCAGTGTAAACTTAAACAACTAAAACCAGATATAAAGTATGTAGAAAAGATAATGGAGCTCTATATATTTTTTTATAAGATAATCTTTGAGCACTAACAATCACCAAAATAAAAACTAGACAGTCGGGGAGAATGTCAAATTCCAAAAATGTCATGGCATTGATTTTGTTATAATGTTTGAGTCACTCAGATAGCATAAGAACACTGCATAAGCCATGGTAAAGCGTAGAAGTGCAGGAAATTAGCTTTAAAACTGAATTTTGTTCTCTCAGCCCCATGACAAAATGTGTAGAATTGCAGGAAACTAGCTTTAAAACTGTAAAATGTTCTCTCTGCCCCATGGTTAAAATGTGTAGAATTGCAGGAAATTAGCTCTGTGGCCAAGAGGAGGGCCTCTAAAATTGTTGGCCGGAGACACTGCCGTCAGCCCCCCCCCCCATGCTAACTTTGCCACCACTGCTGAAAACAATCCTAGGGGGAACACTGCAATTAATGACAAAAGTAATCAAATTGGCAAAATATTAAAACAAATCTAATGCTGTCCAACAGGGCCAGGATTTTGATTTGCTGTAGAAGGCCATTGACCTTTTGTGAACGAACTACACAGCATTTCCTGTTATTAATGCCATTGTATTCCCACAAGAAAGGGTCTATCAATTTGTCACAATCAGACATCCGTCTGTTCAAAGTCACCAACACAAGCTCCAATGGTAGACAGACACATACCCAACATTCATGTAAACAACAAATTGGCCCAGGTTTTTGCTGAGTTCAGTTCCTCAAACTGGAAAATCAGAAGGGGTTTTCTGGACCCAGGAGTTCAATACATCAGTAAAGACATTCATCACATTATAGAGCCACTCTTTCACAGTAGCCTCTACATTCCCTGCCCCCTTTCCAACATATCTGTCCTTTATTGGAATTCGATTGTTCCGTTTTTTCCTCTTACGAAACAGATTTCCCCGACCATCTACACACATGCTCATTGTACTCTTAAGAACATGAAGCGAACCACAGTGTTCACACATGAATTGAGATAGGACTGTTACAAATTGAGTTTCGCTCCTAGAATTTTAATCAAGTAAAGGGCTACTTTGGTGTCTTGAGGGCGCTGTACTGTCAATGTTTTCAGTCTACTGTAAGGGGGGAAAACAACAACTTAAGGCAGGCTGTGCACAATTTATTTTCAACTGTATCTGATCCAAAAGAATTGCAGTGAACTGTGGAATTGTTTGTGAAACAGACTACTCTAGAGAAAAGAGGGAGATGTCAGAATCCGTTACATAATACCAATGATATTTTTTCTAGCCAGGAAAATACCAATGTTTCATTTAATCATACCACATCCCCAATTGAGTGATTACTTTAAAGCGGCAGTCAGCAGTTGAAACAATAACGAGTCCCCGCCACTGTTTCGGTAAAAAGCTGAGGGATGGTGCTGGAGATTTAAACCACTCAAATTCAGACAGAGCTATTAATGCAAGGACTGACCATCCATGATATCAAAATTTGTTATATCCAGGTTTTTAAGACTATACAGTGTTTGTTTACATTGACTTTGTTTCCACCATTGTAGTAAAACAAGCTTATATTTTGGGCTCTGATGAGGCATTTATAAGTTATATTCTACAAGAATCAAATGGGTACATTTCATTAATGTATGAGTCCAAAAAAGTATATACAGTGCTGTGAAAAAGTATTTACCCCTTTCTGATTCTCAATTTTGCACATAACAGACACTGAATGTTATCAGATCTTCAACCAAAACCTAATTTTAGATCAAGGGAACCTGAGTGATCAAATAACAGATACTTTCGAGCATGAACTGCTTGTTTCAGGTCCTGCCACAACATCTCAAATCAGGTTTAGGTCGAGTAATTGACTAGGCCATTCCAGAACTTTAAATGTGTCTTTTCAGCCATTCTGATGTAGACTTACTTGTGTGTTTTGGATCATTGTCTTGCTGCATGACCCAGCAGTGCTTCAGCTTCAACTCATGGATGGATGGCCTGACATTCTCCTTTAGAACTCTTTGATACAGAACATAATTCATGGTTCCGTCAAGGATGGCAAGTCATCCAGGTCCTGAGGCAGCAAAGCATCCCCAAACTATTACACTACCACCACCACCCGATTGACATGTTGTGGCAGGACCTGAAACTAGCAGTTCATTCTCAAAACCCCACAAATGTCACTGTGTTAAAGGAGTTCTGGATGGAAGAGTGGGCCCAAATTCCTCCACAGGGATGTGAGACTGATCAACTACAGGAAGCATTTGGTTTCAGTCATTGCAGCTAAAGGTGGCACACCCAGTTAGAGTGTAAAGGGGCAATTACTTTTTCACACAGGGGCATTGGGTGTTGCATAACTTTGTTAATTAAATGAAATAAGTATCAACATTGTGTCATTTGTTCACTCAGGTTGCCTTTATCTAATATTAGGTCAGGGTTGAAGATCTGATAACATTCAGTGTCAGATACATGCAAAAATAGAGAAAAACAGAACGGGGCAAATACTTTTTCACAGCACTGTAGCAATTCCTGATTGCCCCTTTAAGGCAGATTCTGAAATTGCGAAAGTAAAATTACTTGCGGAAAACAAACGCAAATCCCTCAAGATCCTGTGTTCTTCATTTGGGTCTTGCCAAATATTCGACATAATGTCAACACAAAATGATGTTTACTTAATTTAATCTGTAAAGGACTTGCAGCAATTAATAGCTCAATCTAATCTAACATACTTTCTGTGGGAAGTAATTGTCTCTTTCATCTTTAGGTAATAAATAATACAACTCGGCTCGAACGTCAGCTTCTTGAGCACTCTCTGTCAACCATTAAGTTGGAAAAACAGCTCATTTTCCAAACAAATGAAATAAGCAAGCTGAATGACAAAAACAGGTAAGGATATTTTGTTGTATTAAATCTCTAAATCATGCTTTAACTAAAAAGGCTACAAACACTAGACAGTAAATATTTAGTCTGTTTTCTGTGTGAAACACGTTTTTGCCTCATTGTAGGCTTATCTGTTCTTTTACCGTAAAACAATCTTCTTCTTGATAAGATAACTTGTTGCTTGAATTGGAAACCAGGAAAGTTGAGTTGCCATATGTACAACAGTCCACAACAGTAATGACAAAACCAACATACTAAGAAGAGCTAGAAGACCAGTAATGCCCTGCCAGCTCTGCTGAGCGTTGCTGAGCGTCTACCCTGCCTTTCCTCCTCCCCAGCTACCTGGAGAAGAGGGTGGGGGAAATGGAGGAGCAGATGCAGGTGGAGCTGGAGACGCTGAAAAATAAGAAGGAGCAGCTCTCTACACTGGTACTGAGACAGACGGCCGTCATGGAGGAGCTGGAGAAACAGCTGCTCCGGGCCACCACAAACAGCTCGGCCCTGCAGCGGCAACAACAGGAGTTACTGGAGACCGTCAACAACCTAATCTACACCATCTCCGTCCCCGCAGGTGGAGGTGGGTGTCAACGTCTGATAAACTCAGGAGGGGGCTACAGTGGCATCACTGATTAAGGCCAGAATGCTATGGCCAATTCAATTTGCCTAACTAATAAGCCATAGTTTAGTAAAATAAAGAATGTTTCAAATGTAGTGGATCAAACCCACCATTGAAAAGTAACAGAATCCTAGTATCTATTTAAGGAACAGTAACCTTGCTGCAGTATCAATTTGATGTGCCCTCTACTTTTTGCAGCGAACAAGCCTACCATGATGCAGGATACACCGACCACGTACCCAGACTGTGCTGCGCTCTACAAGTCAGGGAACACAGACAGTGGAGTCTACTCACTGACCCTTCACAACACTACACAGGAGATTAAGGTACAATTAAACTCTTATGTTAATATCCATTGGTCCTATTCAAGTTATAAGCTGCCTACATTGAGAAATACCTTATTTTTTAACTAGGCAACACCACCACAGCCAATTAATTATCTTGCAAATGTGTATAATAATACGACGGGAATAAAATGTAGCCAAAGACTGCATAGCTTTCCTTTAATTCAGAGTCAATTAAAATTTTCTCAGCCTTTGGTTTGTTTTGTGCATGCCTAAACTTGAGTAGAGCTCTCCTTAGATACTTTTCAGTGGTGATTTAGAATCTGGCAAATACACATCGCTTGTTTTCACAAAACTCCCATTACTTTTAAACTAGACTGATATGGAGCTGTTTTTATTGTCAAGTTTGTTGCTGCAGTCTAAACTCCCTCAGTGTACTGAAAAATCTGAATGTAATATAATTGATACCTGGAGAAAATATTTTGTTTCATTTGAAGGCTTACTGTGACATGGAGACGGAGGGGGGTGGCTGGACAGTACTACAGAAACGATTTGATGGCCGTGTTGACTTTCACCGTACGTGGAAAGAGTACAAAATGGTGAGCGCAAGAGGAAATGATCCCAGTTCGACAGCACAAGGCTTAGATAACACTGGCAAGTGGCAAAAAACAGTGAACATTTTAGTTTTTATCTCTCCAAATGCAACTCAACTGTGACATTGTGATCATATTAAAAGTTGAATAATTCTGTTTATATTCCTTCAAAGGGCTTTGGAAACCCTTCAAGTGAATACTGGTTGGGAAATGAGTTTGTTTCAATACTGACCAATCAGCAACAATACGTCTTGAGAATACAGATGATGGATTGGGAGGAAAACTCGGGATTCTCACTATATGACCAATTCTCTCTTGGCAGTGAAGCAGAAAACTACAGGTATGCCTGGATTTCCCAGGTGTGGTGTTCAAATGTAGGCTACTGTTTCAGTCTACATAGCAAAGTACTAAAAGCTATCACCAATATTCAAAGGTCCTCCACACACAGACTCCCCCAACACAGTTTCCGTCCCATACAGTACCAGTCAAAAGTTTGGACACCTACTCATTCAAGGGTTTTTCATATTTTTTTTACTATTTTCTGCATTGTAGAATAATAGTGAAGACATCAAAACAATGAAATAACACATATGGAATCATGTAGTAACCAAAAAAGTATTAAACAAATCAAAATATATTTTAGATTCTTCAAAGTAGCCATTCTTGATGATGGCTTTGCACACTCTTGGCATTCTCTAAACCAGCTTCACCTCGAATGCTTTTCCAACAGTCTTGAAGGAGTTCCCACACTTGGGGAGATCATCCGTTCACCTACTCTGCGCCTCACAAAGACACGGCGGTTGGAACCAAAAATCTCAAATTTGGACTCATCAGACCAAAGGACAGATTTCCACAGGTCTAATGTTCATTGCTCGTGTTTCTTGGCCCAAGCAAGTCTCTTCTTATTATTGGTGTCCTTTAGTAGTGGTTTCTTTGCAGCAATTCGACCACGAAGGCCTGATTCACACAGTCTCCTCTGAACAGTTGATGTTGAGATGTGTCTGTTACTTGAACTCTGTGAAGCATTTATTTGGGCTGCAATTTCTGAGGCTGGTAACTCCAATTAACTTACTCTCTGCAGCAGAGGTAACTCTGGGTCTTCCATTCCTGTGGCGGTCCTCATGAGAGCCAGGTTCATCATATTGCTTGATGGTTTTTGCGACTGCACTTGAAGAAACGTTCAAAGTTCTTGAAATTTTCCAGATTGACTGACTTTCATGTCTTAAAGTAATGATTTCTCTTTGCTTATTTGAGCTGTTCTTGCCATAATATGGACTCAGTCTTTTACCAAATAGGGCTATCTTCTGTATACCAACCCTACCTTGTCACAACACAACTGATTGGCTCAAAATCATTAAGGAAATAAATTCCACAAGTTAACTTTTAACAAGGCACACCTGTTAATTGAAATGCATTCCAGTTGACTACCTCATGAAGCTGGTTGAGAGAATGCAAAGCTGTCATCAAGGCAATGGGTGGCTACTTTGAAGATTCTCAAATATAAAATATATTTTGATTTGGTTAACACTTTTTTGGTTACTACATGATTCCATATGTGTTATTTCATTGTTTTGATGTCTTCACTATTATTCTACAATGCAGAAAATAGTAAAAAAAATATGAAAAACCCTTGAATGAGTAGGTGTCCAAACTTTTGACTGGTACTGTATGGGACGGAAACTGTGTTGGGGGAGTCTGTGTGTGGAGGACCTTTGAATATTGGTGATAGCTTTTAGTACTTTACGATGTGGACTGAAACACATTATCATAGCTGCATGACAGAGACAGATTTAGTCTGTTACTTATGTTTTGATGTAGTAATGTTAAAGTAAGTTCTAACAAAATGGTGCACACATGTTCTTGATAATCAACAAATGACAAAACAAAACATTTACCTTGCCTGAAAATATAGATAAATATGTAGGGTGGGCGGTGGGAGGGTCAAACCAGGGGTCAAACACTTGTCACCAGTCCAAAACAAATATTTTGTCATCTGTGAAACTAGGAAACAGAAGACTAAAATGCTTTGGTCTCCTAAACATTCAATCTGCACCCTTAGACATCACCAGTACCTGCCATTTTCTTTGCTGAACATACATTGGTGGAAAATAAGTATTTGGTCAATAACAAGTTTCTCAATACTTTGTTATATACCCTTTGTTGGCAATGACACAGGTCAAACGTTTTCTGTAAGTCTTCACAAGGTTTTCACACACTGTTGCTGGTATTTTGGCCCATTCTTCCATGCAGATCTCCTCTAGAGCAGTGATGTTTTGGGGCTGTCGCTGGGCAACACGGACTTTCAACTCCCTCCAAAGATTTTCTATGGGGTTGAGATCTGGAGACTGGCTAGGCCACTCCAGGACCTTGAAATGCTTCTTACGAAGCCACTCCTTTGTTGCCCGGGCGGTGTGTTTGGGATCATTGTCATGCTGAAAGACCCAGCCACGTTTCATCTTCAATGCCCTTGCTGATGGAAGGAGGTTTTCACTCAAAATCTCACGATACATGGCCCCATTCATTCTTTCCTTTACACGGATCAGTCGTCCTGGTCCCTTTGCAGAAAAACAGCCCCAAAGCATGATGTTTCCACCTCCATGCTTCACAGTAGGTATGGTGTTCTTTGGATGCAACTCAGCATTCTTTGTCCTCCAAACACGACGAGTTTAGTTTTTACCAAAAAGTTATATTTTGGTTTCATCTGACCATATGACATTCTCCCAATCCACTCTAGAAAACTTCAGACGGGCCTGGACATGTACTGGCTTAAGCAGGGGGACACGTCTGGTACTGCAGGATTTGAGTCCCTGGCGGCGTAGTGTGTTACTGATGGTAGGCTTTGTTACTTTGGTCCCAGCTCCCTGCAGGTCATTCACTAGGGCCCCCCCGTGTGGTTCTGGGATTTTTGCTCACCGTTCTTGTGATCATTTTGACCCCACGGGGTGAGATCTTGCGTGGAGCCCCAGATCAAGGGAGATTATCAGTGGTCTTGTATGTCTTCCATTTCCTAATAATTGCTCCCACAGTTGATTTCTTCAAACCAAGCTGCTTACCTATTGCAGATTCAGTCTTCCCAGTCTGGTGCAGGTCTACAATTTTGTTTCTGGTGTCCTTTGACAGCTCTTTGGTCTTGGCCATAGTGGAGTTTGGAGTGTGACTGTTTGAGGTTGTGGACAGGTGTCTTTTATACTGATAACAAGTTCAAACAGGTGCCATTAATACAGGTAACGAGTGGAGGACAGAGGAGCCTCTTAAAGAAGAAGTTACAGGTCTGTGAGAGCCAGAAATCTTTCTTGTTTGTAGGTGACCAAATACTTATTTTCCACCATAATTTGCAAATAAATTCATTAAAAATCCTACAATGTGATTTTCTGGAAATAAATGTCTCAATTTGTCTGTCATAGTTGACGTGTACCTATGATGAAAATTACAGGCCTCTCTCATCTTTTTAAGTGGGAGAACTTGCACAATTGGTGGCTGACTAAATACTTTTTTTCCCCACTGTAAGCTGATTTCAAGGCGAGAACTGACACTTCCTTTCTATTTGAGCAGCAGACCTCAACTCAAACACACTCCTATTCATTCCTTTAGTCTCAAAGTTTGACACATGACAAATCTGGAGCCAGACAAATTATTCCATATACAGTAACTTATTTTTATACTGGAATTCAGAGGCCACGAAACAACTGAGGTCAGCAATGACATCAATACCTCATCACCTGCGTTGACATTTTCTACAGAATGAATGGGCAGCAATAGGCCTAGCGGTTAGAGCGTTGGTCCAGTAACCGAAAGATAGCTGGTTCAAATCCCAGAGCCAAATAGGTGTCAAATCTGTTGATGTGCCCTTGAGCAAGGCACTTAACCCTAATTGCTCCTGTAAGTCGCTCTGGAAAATAACGTCTGCTAAATTACTAAAATGTAAAATGTAATGAATAAGAACCAAACCATAACAGGGCTCTTCCATCAGAAAACCCTGCTGCAGCTGTCATGCTTCACTTAACTTGCAAATGACTAGTGTGTAGACATAGCCTATAGCGGGGTTACTGAACTCTTACCCTACGAGGTCCGGAGCCTGCTGGCTTTCTGTTATACCTGATAGTTAATTGCACACACCTGGTGTCCCAGGTCTAAATCAGTCCCTCATTGCACACACCTGGTGTCCCAGGTCTAAATCTGTCCCTCATTAGAGGGGAACAATGAAAAAATGCAGTGGCACTGGCTTCGAGGTCCAGAGTTGAGTTCTAGGGGCCTATAGCTTCTCATGGAGCACAAGAAAGGTTCAAAAGTAGTCACGGAAAACCAAGGGATCTACAAACACAGCATCTTGTAGGTTAGTGCTAGCAGAGTAAGGAATCCTTGGCGGACTCAATTAATTCACTAAACTTGGGTCTTCTGAGGAATGGCAATCATGTACTTCCTCCTCAAATTGTATTTCTCCGTTGCCATGTCACAGGATACACCTTAAAGGCTACAGTGGAACAGCAGGCAAAATTAGTAGCCTTGGTCAACCAGGAAGTGATTTCAGCACAAAAGATGCAGACAATGACAGATGTGTTTGCAAATGCTCACAACTGACAACAGGAGGTAAGGAACAGGTTCATTTGCACCAGCCTTTATTAAGATCAATTATTTCCTCCATTTTCACATTAACAGCCGTGCAACCCCACCCCCCCAACAAGCGTTTGGCACTACCCCCCCAGAAAAAAAAGTTAAAAAGACATCTTGCCTTTTCTTTGTCGCAGGGTCAAGGCTCTCGAGCAAAACTAGCTCTGAATTAATCACTGATCAGCTCATTTGGGAATTCAGCCCCTGCAACAGCTGACATTAATAGTCTGGGAACTAAGGATATTTCCCCTCCCCCTCTCTCTCAGAGCTCAGAATAGAGGTCCTCCTCCATGCCTCTGATATGTAGACTGCTTTGGGGCTAGACTTGGACTTGTTCCGTGTATCGGGGTCTGCCTACTCTACATGTAAGCTGCTCTCCAAATGAGGTCCCCTCCTGAGGTCTCGCATAGAGGTTTCCCTCCACTTCAGGGAATTGTTGGGGATAACCAGCTGCATATGAACAGAAATAGGACTAAGATGACACAGGGGGGAATGAGCTGCACAACTTGCAGTCCATGTGATATAACAATCCAGACTTTCCCAATGAACTCAATGAAACCGAGGGTATGAAACTGTGGGAGTTTATCGTTGTGATAATACAAAACGTCAGAAGCACAGCTACTCATTGGGCTTGTTGTCTTACAGACAATGCACATCATGAAAAACCTCAGACTGACAATCTCTTGTTTTCTGCTTTTCTAGGCTGGTGGTTTGACGCCTGCGGCCCCTCTAACTTGAACGGAATATTTTTCCAGCAGGGCCAGAACTCTAATCGATTCAATGGAATCAAATGGTACTACTGGAAAGGCTCAGGTTACTCACTGAAGTCCACCACAATGATGATCAGACCAGTAGACTTCTGAAGCTGTCCCAGAGACATGCCTCTGACAGACGGACATAGAAAGGAGACCATTGTCACGCTGGGAAACTACAGACAAGACAAACGAAAAAGACCAAATAGACCGAAGTACTCCATAACAGCAACCTCACCACTTCCAAGCGTTCCACAAGGAAAGGAACAAATTAATTTGCTCCAACAAGTCAGCAAAAGTTTACTGTTTTGTACAAAATTGACAAGTGAAAATGAGTAGAAAAGTCTATGAACTATGTACTTTCAGAAATAGGCTTTGGACTGCATTATCAACCGGGACAAGGCAGTCAAAGGATGAAACAGGTATTTATAGCCAACTGGAACTGTGGTAGAGATAACAGTATTGTTTTCTATAACAAGCAATACCAGGGGAAATGTCAGTGTGTAACACAATGCAAGGTTGACAAAGTACATTTTGTAATAATGATATTTAACCCCATTGTTTGTTACAATGACTTTGAAAATAACGGTTACATTTTATTTTACATTACAAATCTAAAAATAGGCCTAATACTAAAAGCAAAGAAAACTAGGGTACAAATACTTTCACATATGAACATAACATATCAATGTGCAAAGGCCATCAGTAATGAATCTACTGCTTTTCTTTCTTACAGAGGTTGTACATACTTACATGACTTAATTTAAATGTATAGATGGTTCACAAAATGTATTAAAATCAATGTGATAACTTTGATCGGTATGTTACTCAAAACATCATCAATGTCAGTTAACCTAATTATGCACTGGTGTGAAATAATCTATTGCAAGTGTGTTGAACTTTTTCCATGATTACACAATCGATTGAGTAATTCGACTTCCACATCCTTTGCCTGACTTAGGCTACATGCTCTGTCGTGATTCTAATCTGTACAAGGAGCATATCTGCTTATATTTATCAATCTAATTTAATTGTGTTACTGTAGAAAATGTGATTTATGGTCGTAATAACTTATTTATGTAATACACTTTACCCATGCTTCTGTGAACATTTGGGACCAAAACTTTATTTTCACTTAATTCTTCTAAGCGACTGGAGTTATGAGTAGGATTAGTCTACTTGGGAATTTTTCTATGTGGAGTACAATGTCTTATGTCAGATCCTGTCACTCCTGACGCTCTTCCCTCAACCGACGGCCGTCGCGCAATCTGATGTGAAACAATGATGTGGAGTATGGTTAATGGTTTTGTCAGGAATGCAAAGAAATAGACTTTAGAACTTCATTCCAATTCTCTTGAAACTACAAGCTACAGATCTTATGTCTTCATTCTGCTTTAACACAAAACATTAAAAATGTGTTTTAATGTCTGATGTGTCACGCCTCTGTTTAAAAATGCCTTCAACTTTCAATTTAGTTAGATTCTCTGACAATATCTGGCTTTTGCAGGAAGCTACAGTTGAACTCGGAAGTTTACATACACTTAGGTTGGAGTCATTAAAACTCATTTTTCAACCACTCCACAAATTTCTTGTTAAACTATAGTTTTGGCAAGTCGGTTAGGACATCTACTTTGTGCATGACACAAGTAATTTTTCCAACAATTGTTTACAGACAGATTATTTCACTTACAGTTCACTGTATCACAATTCCAGTGGGTCAGAAGTTTACATACACTAAGTTGACTGTGCCTTTAAACAGCTTGGAAAATGCCAGAAAATGTCATGGCTTTAGAAGCTTCTGATAGGCTAATTGACATCATTTGAGTCAATTGGAGGTGTACCTGTGGACGTATTTCAAGGCCTACCTTCAAACTCAGTGCCTCTGCTTGACATCATGGGAAAATCAAAAGAAATCAGCCAAGACCTCAGAAAAAACATTGTAGACCTCCACAAGTCTGGTTCATCCTTGGGAGCAATTTCCAAACGCATGAAGGTACCACGTTCATCTGTACAAACAATAGTACGGAAGTATAAACACCATGGGACCATGCAGCCATCATACCGCTCAGGAAGGAGACGCGTTCTGTCTCCTAGAGATGAACGTACTTTGGTGCGAAAAGTGCAAATCAATCCCAGAACAACAGCAAAGGACCTTGTGAAGATGCTGGAGGAAACAGGTACAAAAGTATCTATATCCACAGTAAAACGAGTCCTATATCGACATAACCTGAAAGGTCGCTCAGCAAGGAAGAAGCCACTGCTCCAAAACCGCCATAAAAAAGCATGACTAAGGTTTGCAACTGCACATGGGGACAAAGATCGTACTTTTTGGAGAAATGTCCTCTGGTCTGATGAAACAAAAATAGAACTGTTTGGCCATAATGACCATTGTTATGTTTGGAGGAAAAAGGGGGTGCTTGCAAGCTGAAGAACACCATCCCAACCGTGAAGCATGGGGGTGGCAGCATCATGCTGTGGGGGTGCTTTGCAGCAGGAGGGACTGGTGCGCTTCACAAAATAGATGGCATCATGAGGAAGGAAAATTATGTGGAAATATTGAAGCAACATCTCAAGATATCAGTCAGGAAGTTAAAGCTTGGTCGCAAATGGGTCTTCCAAATGGACACTAACCCCAAGCATACTTCCACATTTGTGGCAAAATGGCTTAAGGACAACAAAGTCAAGGTATTGGAGTGGACATCACAAATCCCTGACCTCAATACTATAGAAAATATGTGGGCAGAACTGAAAAAGTGTGTGCGAGCAAGGAGGCCTACAAACCTGACTCAGTTACACCAGCTCTGTCAGGAGGAATGGGCCAAAATTCACCCAACTTATTGTGGGAAGCTTGTGGAAGGCTACCCGAAACGTTTGACCCAAGTTAAACAATTTAAAGGCAATGCTACCAAATACTAATTGAGTGTTTGTAAACTCCTGACCCACTGGGAATGTGATGAAATAAATAAAAGCTTAAATAAATCATTCTCTCTACTATTATTCTGACATTTCACATTCTTAAAATAAAGTGGAGATCCTAACTGACCTAAGACAGGGAATTGTTACTAGGATTAAATGTCAGGAATTGTGGAAAACAGAGTTTAAATGTATTTGGCTAAGGTGTATGTAAACTTCCGACTTCAACTGTATTTACCTCAGCACTATCCACTACTGCACAAGACAGAGAAATCAGCACAGATTGAGTGTGTCAGGTAAAAATGCTGAATGGCCCCCTTCAAATTAAATGGTCTGGCTCATCAAGATCCTTCAGGGAGTGTGGTTTTGGCCACCACAACAGAACTGTGTGTGATTTCAAGAGGAAATGTGATGAGACATATTCTATAGCAAAACACCCCTTCCCCTTCACAGATGCAGGCCAAAGATTAATGAATAGAGGAGGACAGGAAGAGCAACATCCACATCTGACACAGGATGCTGGAGTAAAAAACAACCGCTTTGAAAATTAATTAATGGCAATAAAATTAGCAGGTGTCCTACCCACCTCCTGTTTGGAATTCCAGCTTTTAGAGACAGTTGTAGTATATGATAGTCAAAAAAGATAGTAAACTGACCAAGCCATTTCATTATAAAAGCATATTTTTAACCAATTTGACCCCAAGGGCTATGTTTGAATAAGAACAGTATACAATATTAGTAGAATCTTCAGTTACTTACAGGTGCTGCTGGAAACCGATCTGAAAGTTCATATGGTTATTCTGGAATACACTGTCGTTGCTCCAAACACCACAAAATCGGTTTAGGGGAATATTACCAGCAGACACGGCCGATGCCCAGGAGAATATTGAGGGTCCGCCGGTGGCCCACCGACACCACGTGGGTTGTGTTCTCACACACCTGGTCCACCACTGGGAACCCACCCAGAGCTCTGACCACCTGGGTCACTGTCTGCTGCTGTCTGAAGAACCAGAGGAGAAAAGAGGAAAACCTTTCCAAATACCTAGGTTAGTAGGTTGAGAAGGCAAAGTATCGTCAAGAAGTTCAACAAGACATTATCAATATTAATCTGTCCAACATCCAAAACGTGGCTGTAACAAATACAGTTGGATCTACTTACTCAGTGGGCATGCTTGTCATAACTAATGTCCTTAGAGTCCGGATTGAAAAAACAACCACGTAAACAAATTATACGCACTTTAGAGTACATTAGCACTTTACATTAGTTATGAGTTCAATACAAAGTGAGTTCAATACAAAGTGCACACCTAAATAATGACTAAGGGATAATAGCAGCGATAAAGGCTATCAGTTTTCAATAGTTTGCTTATTGCTTCCACGAGAAAACACCACATGCCGGATATCTGCATAATTTGATGTGTGAAGAGGAAATGAAACCCAAGGCCATGAACAGTGAAAAACAGGTTGGAGAGCACCGCCGGCATTGAAACGGAATTGTAGGTTAGCCTGGTTCTGGACCATCCGTCTCACATACAGACACAGTAGTACCTTCACCCCCACGCAGCAGGCAATCAGCACTGAACACCTGAGCGCCAGTTAGAGACAGGGCGAACAGGCTCTTTCCCGTCAGGAACCGCTCTCCAGTCCCCCAGCAGGAAGTCTGGGGTGAAGGCATCCTGAGCAGAAGGCATCCTGACCAGTACACAGCCCCATACACGACTGCTTTACAGGCATAACAACGTGTCCGTGACATCAATGTGGCCAGGTGTGATAAAAAGGTTGCTCGTTGCGTATTAGTAACGCCGGGGTTGGAAACAGTCAGCATACGGCAGGGGTTGAGAAAGTTTAACAGGCCTTTTGTTGAGAAGGTAACCCAGTATATCGACTGAGCTGAGGATTGCTTGACATTTCATCTGAGGGCTGTTATGACAAAGAAATAAACAGTGTGTTAGCAAACCACAATAAATTTACCCTGCCCAACCCCGCTTTAGACATGTCCTTGTATTTCATTTGAAGGTTTAACAAGAACACCTTGATCCTCCGTGACAACAGAACCCTTTTAAATCTGCCATACCCCAAATAAAACACACCCAAAACCCCTATACAAATTGACATAAAAGGATTCATTGGTTCAAAAAAGGTTTTCAGCTTTCTTTAGGAAAGCATGGCATGGTTTAGGTCATCCTCCATCGCAAAGGATTGTCCTTAGCTCAGTGCTGAAATGAGTTATTCACTGATCTTAAAGATGGACATCAACCATCATCACTGTGATGGAAGCTGATGATATGGGATGGAAAAGAATGCTGCTGTTGATAATACCAAAAGAAAGGTGTTCATCAGGGGGGAAACAATGTTTTCAGTAGCAATGCAAGAGACTGCTGACACTGATCTGGGAATGTTTTTCAGACATCAAACAAGGTTAAAAGCCTAAAGCACTATTATTCATTTTTCACTCCTTCGCCAAGAAACAAACAAGGAATTTCAACAGTTAAATTTTTTGGAGGTTCCTCAAAGGGGATTTTTGGCTTCACTTATGCAATGTTCTGGCAGCAGTGCAAGAGGGCAGGCGTTGAACAAAGAGTCCGCACTAAATAAACCTAAGACAAAGAGTTGGTGTGAACTGTTGCACCAGGCTCCATTTCAATGCACCTCGCACAAATGAAGGAAATTATTTTGGGTATGGACGAGGTCCCGTTGATGGCCGATCTATGCAAACTGAAATTACTCAGGCTCTATCCATACAGTCAACTTCCATAGGCCCTTGTCCTAATCTATCTAGGGTCAGGGGGGGCTGGAATGGCTCATTTTAACTGAAAAGCACCCGAGGGTACAAAAGATCAGATTACCGATTGAACATTTGACTTCATTTGCAACAGCCGTGCATAGAAAACATAAACAATCACACGGTTAGGCTACATGCGGTGAATAAAGTGCTTATGACATCATGCTTCCTGAAGTTCTTTAAGAGCACATACACAATGCCATTTTATAAAGCCAAGTACTCAAGATAAAAATCAACTCATTTCTACACACAAATAAATGCTCAATGATACACATACAGGACAACTCCCCTTACTGCTAAGGGTACAAAGCTCACGTCAGATGACATGCTTCATCAAAACGTTTCACTAAACATGATTTTTGCCTTAGTAAACTACTCTACAAAACCATAGATTATCTAAGTTTGATAATGCTGATAGTGTCAGAAGAACAAAAATATAAAAGTGGTTTATGTCATGACTGTTGTACTTGCACATGACTTCGTTCCACTCTTGGTGAATGGTAAGACTACCTTTGTCCAGATGCTGAGGGGGTTGAAGCTAAATCCAAACAGTTCACTCCATAACATCTTATAATGAGTGCTCCCAGGACTTTTGAACAAGGTCCCCCTTTGGAGATTTTTGCATTTTTTAACACCTGTAACTGCCATTTGCTGCAACATAGCGCAAAAAAAAAAGGCCTTATATGATAAACAAAAAACTATATTTCGTTAAAAAAAATACATTCCACAAGGTGGCGCAGTACCTCTTACAAGCTTACATTTTTTGGGGAGAACCCTCACTCCTATTACATGGGCTCTTCTGTGAAGGTTGAAACCTCACACAGAAAACCCATACCATCTTCCACAGTTGTAAAACAAGGGGCCAATTCTCCAGACCCTGATAAGTACCCTAATTCCTGAATATATATATTTTTCTTCTAATTTTGGAGTAGATTGAACTTGACAGTGTTATATTCAAATCACTCTATTAAATGTAAACTAAAAGTGGATTAACTATACAATCTCGCTCATGTAACGATGAAAATAATATGATGCATTCCGCAATACAGTTCACATGAGAATTCAAACAAGATTTCTCCATAGTGTTAAAAGCTGAAGTTTTGTTCAGGTTGAGCGAACACAGAAGACCGTGTCAGGTGCATTTTCACAGGAGAGGATGTTTTCCTACCAACATGGAGGTAACACACAGAGAGCCCCTGTGGCAGCAGCTTCAAAGACCATCAGGACTACTCATTCACCCACTGAACACAGTTTCTGAGCAGCTGTGTTCAAAAGGAATGGAACGCAAAGGCAACAAATATGCCACTGTTCCTCCAGTTTGGTTTCACCAAGAGATCATAGAGGACACGTTGACCAAGTGTAAGTCTTATTCAATTCACAAACTGTCAGGTTAAGTCAATATCAACAACAAAAAAATGACGTCGTTAAAAATGCTTATTGTATGTTCCAATGCTGAGCTATAGAAATAAAGAGTCACATGATAAACCAGTTTCCAGTCATTTATTGGGTAAACCAATGCTGGGCTATAACAATTACAGCCAACACCACAACAGCAACTTAGATGATACGTTTGGTTACTTGGTATTCTTCTCCATGCTCTTGCCAACCATATTGACTAAGGCAAGCAAGCTTGCTTAAATTGTCAGAAATTGTGTCTGTGACACCAGCTGCTGCAGCATACACAGTTACTCTGCCTACAACTTTAAATGTTGAAACGTTACAAAACACAGAGGTGAAAAACATTTTTCCTGCTGAATGCTGATTCACTTGTGTTTTTGTGTAATGACAGTATCAGGAGCACAAATTGTCAGTAAGGTGCTTCTAGAAAGAAAGGTTAACATTTGTTTATTAGAAAATGTATCACCATATCAGTATTAAAACAGTTAATTTAATCTCGTTTACCCATCATTTCAGGGGATCCCTCAATAGGCTATCCTAAAACTTCAATTCACAGTTTGATTAACTTACATGGCCATACATTTTCAATATAAAAGTAAATGTTTTTCATCCTTTGCATCACTGAAATACTGATCACGGTAATAATTATGATATGGTTAGTAAGTGCCATTCTGTTGCTGTAATAAAATTGTATCACATTTTTGGACACAGTTTATAATTCACATACTTTTGAAACGTGGGCTACTTTTCACTTGTTCGTCTTTGTGCCGAGGTAAGAGATACGAACTGTTTTGCTTATCTAGTGCTCTGTTGGCCGCTGCCAGACTTGGTTTTGAAAGGTGTGTGGGATCTATTGATGCTCTCTGATGGTCAGGGGCACTAGTCAGTTCATCAGTGGAGTCTTTAGGCACTCTAGAGAATGGCAATGTGCTTTGCCTATTTCTTCTAGTCTGAGTTTGTTTTGTATTATTGTCCTCTGAGGATGGACATCCCTTTGAATCCTGGTGTGGATGCACGTGTTGATTCAACATGCTGTTTACACTGCTGGTTTCTCTTACACCGGGCACCCCATGTGTTCTCTTTTTGACACTGGCCGACTAAGACCCTGTGGTTTCACTCTTGCCCCTCTTCCTCTTCCCAGGGCTAGGCTGAGGCTCCAGTTCAAAGGGGATCTGAACCTTGGACTCTGAGGGCAAGCTGGGTAAAAGACGGCTTCGTTGTCTCCCAGGGTTGTTAGCTGGAGAGAAGAAGTCCACAAATACCCCATCATCATCATCATCCGCACAGGAGGAGGCACGGAAGCCTTTTGAGACAGTGCAAGATCTTGCTAAGGCAGGAAGTGAGGATTTTCTACATTCGCTCACTTTTGATTTCAGTGTGGTAATCTTTAGGGACGTTTGATGAGGCACATTGGGTTTTTCTGGTAACATTTTTGAAGAACGGCGACTAGAAATCTCCAGATTAGCAGTTAGCTTACTTTCTGGAAGGGACTGTGGTGTTCTGCTTTTTCTGACAGGTGGTGTGACTTTTGACATATTAATTCTGCTGGATGATCGCCCATTTGTCCCCAGTAGAAAACTGTCAAATGTAAACACTGATTGCACACTCTTGCTACACTCCGGGCGGTCATCCAGGCATGGACTCTCTAAGGAGATGTGCTTTTTGATGACATCATGTTTGATTGAGGTCCTCTTAGGATTTTTTTCTTGTTTACTCCCTTTAGCCGGTGAATTGGGTAAAGGACTTTGAACCAATGTCTTTTGTCTGGGCAAATCACTGCAAGATGACTTCCAAGGTTTCTGAAAGTGTTTCTTGTGCTGTGGTTCACTGGTGGCTTCCTGTTGCTTCTCTCCATCGGTCTTATTTGAGCCAAAAGACGCATTAAGATCCTCATCCGATTCTTCATCTGCGGGGGAAAGATATGCCATTATGAGAATAACAAAAGATACTGATAAACTTCTAGCATGATAAAATGTACGTTAATTGACACTATCAACACATCTTATGTACTTACCTAGGTGTTGCAAGAAAGAGCGTGACGGTGTACTCCCAAGAGAAGGCTTAAACTCAGGCGATAACCTAGATTGTCCCATCTGTGAAGCTGAGAGAAAGATTTAACTTGAGTCTGCAAATATTTCTCAGCTCAATAGTTTCCAACTCTGGCCCATGTTTTGCAGATGCTACACACACTATACACATCAAACAATTGGCCATGCACATAAAACATACCTGTCGGGGAGAGGTTCTCCCTCGTTTCCCTCATTTCTTTCAGGCGCTGTGCCATGGAGTCAGACCTTTTCATAGAAGGACTGTAAACTATTCCGTTCTCTTCGTCGATAATGTAAGGGGACACATCTGTTACTACACAGAAATATATTTACATATGAAATCACAGCCACACATAAAAAAAAGAAAATAATATATTTATTAATATTATTAAATTAATAATACGATATATTATGAATTAATAGAATAGATTTGGAATAGAATGTATGACATGAGGAGAGATTTCTTACTAAGAGGTGATTTTGGTACTAGGTCTTTGATCATCTTGTCCAGTTTTTTCTTCATGCGCCTGTCATTCTCAGGGGTCCTCTCAGGGGTGTCTCTTGGCTGCATACAACGATGCTATATAAAATAAAATACACAACATTAATTTTGATAAGGAAAAACTTCAATAAAAATACTCCTCATAGCCTAATTATTCATGTTTTTTGGGAGGGAAAAAAAAGTCCTTGCTCAACAATATAAATCAACTTTTTAAAGAAATAAGGTAAATATGCAGTAATGGTTGAATTGCAGAGAGCTAAGTAATGTCTTGACAGGATAAACAAAGAGAAGTTATGTACTGTGAATCCTTTAATCTAACAGGGAATTTTACATTTGCTTACCACCCTTTTCTTGAGTGCTGAATTGACTTCATCATTTAATGCCGGACACAACTCTTCATCAACATGTTCACCATCATCTTTACATCTGCATTTAATAAACAAACATGAGTGACAGCATAACATGGGGGCAGCAGGTAGCCTAGCGGTTAAAAGCATTGGGCCCCGAGCTGACTGGCATTTAACACAAATTTTTGTTTTTACACTGCTGCTACTCGCTGTTTATCATCTATGCATAATCACTTTACCCCTACCTACATGTACAGTTTACCTCGACTAACCTTTACCCCTGCACTTTGACTCGGTACCGGTACCCCCTGTATATAGCCTCATTATTGTTATTTTATTGTGTAACTTTTTTTAATAGATTTTTTTATTACTTTATTTAGTAAATATTACTGACCACGCACGGTAAGGTCTACACCTGTTGTATTCGGCGCATGTGACACATAAAATTTGATTTGATTTGCTCATGTAAGTCGCTCTGGATAAGAGTGTCTGCTAAATGACTAAAATGTAAAATGTATACTTAACAAAAATATAAACGCAACATGTAAAGCAACATGGGCAGTTTTGTCACAACAATGCCACAGATGTTTTGAGGGAGCGTGCAGTTGGCATGCTGACTGCAGGAATGTCCACCAGAGCTATTGCCAGATAATTGAATGTTAATTACTCTACCATAAGTTGCCTCCAACGTTGTTTTAGAGAATTTGGCAGTACGTCCAACCGGCCTCACAAACGCAGACCACATGTAACCACGCCAGCTCAGGATCTCCACATCCGGCTTCTTCACCTGTGGGATCGTCTGAGACCAACCACCCGGACAGCTGATGAAACTGAGGAATATTTATGTCTGTAATAAAGCCCTTTTGTCGGGAAAAACTGATTGGCTGGGCCTGGCTCCCAAGTGGGTGGGCCTACGCCCTCCCAGGCCCACCCATGGTTGGGCCCCTGCACAGTCATGCGAAATCTATAGATTAGGGCCTAATGAATTTATTTCAATTGACTGATTTCCTTATATAAACTGTAATTGAGTAAAATCGTTGAAATTGTTGCATGTTGCGTTTATATTTTTGTTCAGTATAAATAACAGAGCTCACAGCTATTTTATTTGGTCAGTCAGTGACGCCTTGTGGCTGATGTAAGAATTGCAAAAACAACAAAATGGTCACCGACTTGTCATCACACAGACCAATAGATATTGACGACACATCGTTGTCATTGCTACGATGTTGCACTTTAAGGCCAAAAAGCGTTTACACTGTAGTCCCGTGTAGCTCAGTTGGTAGAGCATGGTGCTTGCAACGCCAGGGTTGTGGGTTCGATTCCCACAGGGGACCAGTATATAAATATATGCACTCACTACTGTGAGTCGCTCTGGATAAGAGCGTCTGCTAAGTGAAAAAAATGTAAATGAAGCTTGAGGTTTACCTGGCCACCCAGAGGACAGACACAAGTCTCACACCAGTCTTCTTGGCTTTATTCCAGGTGGCTTGATGGCCATTTTTAAAGACTACGTGTGTGACTTGTTTATTGAAGGTTTTAGATACCTGGAATGATACAGGTAAATATCACAATGTGAAATGTATACATAGTAATAACCTTTCAAACTACTTAAAGGAAAATACCACTCAAAAACTATATGTTGGTGTTTGTTTCATTAGTCCACCGTTGATACAGTCCCCAAAATGTTTTGCATGTCAGCAGTCAAGATAGAGAACTTTCGAAACAGAATGTGTCACATTATGATATGTTTTGCATCATAATACCAAAAGATAGTGGATTTGAGTGGATTTTTTCCTTTAAGAATGGTAGTTTTAGTTTTAAGAACCCCACAGGATGTCATCAAAAACAAACTTGTGTAGTTAGTTCGCCATTAGCTCGCGAAAACCCTTCTCCGTACATAGGGTTTTCAGCGGTTACATTCGCCCACGGTTGGCTCCAAGTGAACTACAATTCCGACGCTGTTTTAACATTTAGACAGGTCAATAATCATCACTTTCAAACCGTTTTTTTTTCTTTCTAAACATATGCTGATATGCTCCTTATCTTTCATATCAGAGAGAAGGAATCTTACAAATAAAAAAGATAGACTTACTGTAGCAGTTTTGCACAGATCCACAAGCTGTGTGTACCTCCAGTTGACGAACTACACTTCCTCCCTAGTTACACTTACACACAGGTGTTCGGAGCACACTAGATAGCTATTTAGCACAGGTGGCCGCCTATGTCTAAACACACGCTGTAACAGAGATATATGGCCATGTGGGAACACTAACCCTATAAAGATGTGTAGTAATTTAACATATTTTTTCCTCCTTCTCGCCGATATGAAAGATACATTCCTTAGGTTTCCAAAAACGTACCCCAAGCGATGCGTTTTAACATTCAGAACGAGCGTCTGGGATCTTAACAGAACTCCTCCGACCAGAAGATACTATTGACAATAGGTGCTAATGCAGTTAGCATCTATGAAAGGGTTAGTTAGCCATATATAAAAGGGTAACTCACCTCAGCTCCCATATCCTGCAGCTGCTGGATGAATGATTTCGAGTAATTCTCTGTTTTACTCGATGACCACACGTCAACGTAGGCAACAACATCTAGGGAAAAGATCAAACCCCACCTCCATACTTGATTCAAAGACAAATGAGAAAATACAAGAAAAAGCTGTAGCTATCCAAACCATGAAGTTAGTTTACACATCATTTACCTTTCAGAATAGCAGGAGAGTTAGGCCTACTGTTTGTGGTCATTAGAGTCTCTTACTGAAGGATTTCCCTACAATCGGAGAAAGAGAAGTAACCCAGTTAAATTTGAGTAAGGAAAGGGCAGTCAGTTAGCTAGTGCAATGGAGGGGGGAAACGTGCATCTCTTAAGCAACATAAACCATATTTGATGACAAAAAGCTACAAATCAAATTGTATTTGTCACATGCACCGAATACAACTTGCGTAGAATTTACAGTGAAATGCTTGCTTACGAGCCCGTCCCAACAATGCAGATTAAAAATAAATAGTGACACAAGAGGAATAAAATAAAATACACAAGAGTGAGGCTATATACAGGGAGTACCAGTACAAGATCAATGTGCAGAGGTATGAGGTAGATATGTACATGAAGGCAGGGTAAAGTGACTAGGCTTCAGGATAGATAATAATAAGAGTAAAATAAAGAATAGGGCAGCAGCAGCAAATGAGTGTAAAAGTGTGTGTGTTGTGTCGGTCTGCGTGTGCATATGTAGTGTAAGTGAATGTGTGTGGTGTCGGTCTGCGTGTGCATATGTAGTGTAAGTGAATGTGTGTGGTAGTGTCAATGTAGTGTATGCGCTGATAGTTCGGGTACCATTAATAAGGTGCAACATGTAACTTTTTGGGGGACCTGACCACATAGAAGTGTGTTATAGATCTGTAATTCTCATTGAAAGCAAGTATAAGAAGCAGTAGATCTGTTCTATGTACATAATTTTTATGCTTCCCGTTCTTAAGTTTCCTTTTTGCGTCTTTTACTTTCGGTTTTCTACACCAGCTTCAAACAGCTGAAAATACAATATTTTACAATATAGTTGCTTCTTTTGTCACATAAACTGAAATTAGGCGAACAAATAGAATTTTAGCAATCAGGAAATGGCGGAGCGAATTCTGCATAGTGCATCTTTAATTGACTATGTAGCAGTCTGGCTATTTAACAGTCTCATTATGGCTTGGGGTTAGAAACTGTCTTGGAGCCTGTTGGTCCGAGAGCCGATGTTCCGTTTCCGTTTGCCGGACGGTAGCTACACCCCCATGCAAACTCATAACTATCTAGGTTAGCTAGGTAACTAACTAGAACTCCAAGGTGTATTTCTATTACAGCTAGTAAATTCACAAAACATTGAGTCCGAAGACATCTAGCAAAGTAACTAACTTGTGAATACAGATCGTAAAAGCTTTAATTAGCGTCTATGAAAGGGTTAGTTAGCCATATATAAAGCTTTAATTTCCCTGCAAGCTGTGAAGATAGCTAGCTACTTGCTATCGAGTAAGCAGTGCTAACGTTTACTTGTTAGCTAGAACATTTCGACTGAATTATGACCATTTCAAACAGATTAGGTACTGTAATATTGCTACTAATAGATATTTTAAAGCTTGTGGTATAAGAAAAAAATAACTTCTCTCTACTTTCAGTCGGGCACTGGACAAATCCTTGCAAAATGTTGGCTTTCCGCGCGTGTATTTTTTATGACACAAGGCATGCTGGGAAATAGATGACGTCGACCTGTCATTGGTTTGTCAGAAATATACAACTCACATCATGCATATCAATGTATTTCAAATCAAATTTTATTTGTCACATGCGCCGAATACAACAGTGGAATGCTTACTTACAAGCCCTTAACCAACAATGCAGTTAAGAAAAATAAGTGTTAAGTAAAAAATAGTTAAGTAAAAAAAAAAAAAATAATAATATTTGAGAGCAGCAGTAAAATAACAGTAGCGAGGCTATATACAGGGGGTACCAGTACAGAGTCAATGTGGAGCATGGCGTCTTCAGCGAAAAGACGAGCAGTTGGAAAGGGATGATAGTGAGGATAACAGCTCGGATGAGGGATCGGAAGACGATGGTGATTCAGGAGAGGAGGACAGCGGATCAGAAGAGGAGAGCAATGAAGAGGTCAAGACCGAGGATAGAATAGACGCCGGAAGGGAAAGGAGGGGGAAATGGAGTCCTTAGAGAAGGCAAGAAACAGATATAGGTTTGGAGAAATGCAGTATTATCATAAGGAGACGTATACTTGGATGAATGAGGAGGAATGGAGGGAAAAAGAGAGGCAGAGGAGGTCTAAGAGAGAGGGAGGAAGATTGTGAGTTTGAGTCAGTTAAAAATGGCGGGAAAAAGGGAGAAGGTTTGGTAAAGAAGAATGGTAGGAAATGTAAGCAAAGTGAGCTGAAGACAGGAGTAGAAATGGAAGTGAATGAGGGTGATGTATCAGAGGTGGAAGGTGTGGTGAAGTACTCAGAGCCTGAGGATTGCACAGCGGGTCAGGATAAAGATGAGTCTGACAGTATTTTTATTTTATTTTATTTCACCTTAATTTAACCAGGTAAGCCAGTTGACAACAAGTTCTCATTTACAACTGCGACCTGGCCAAGATAAAGCAAAGCAGTGCGATAAAAACAACAACACAGAGTTACATATGGGGTAAAACAAAACATAAAGTCAAAAATACAACAGAAAATATATATACAGTGTGTGCAAATGTAGCAAGTTATGGAGGTAAGGCAATAAATAGGCTATAGTGCAAAATAATTATAATTAGTATTAACATTGGAATGATAGATGTGCAAGAGATGATGTGCAAATAGAGATACTGGGGTGCAAATGAGCAAAATAAATAACAATATGGGGATGAGGTAGTTTGGTGGACTAATTTCAGATGGGCTGTGTACAGGTGCAGTGATTGGTAAGGTGCTCTGACTACTGATGCTTAAAGTTAGTGAGGGAGATAAGAGTCTCCAGCTTCAGAGATTTTTGCAATTCGTTCCAGTCATTGGCAGCAGAGAACTGGAAGGAATGGCGGCCAAAGGAGGTGTTGGCTTTGGGGATGACCAGTGAGATATACCTGCTGGGGCGCATACTACGGGTGGGTGTTGCTATGGTGAAAATACAAAAAACAAAAAACAGGCTATTTACATGGACACACAAGAGAACACGACCGCACTGCTACGCTACCTTGGACCTGCTCAGTAGGAGTGAAGTTTGTGGAAAAAATTGATCCTTGCCTTTTGGCTGATCCAATTGTGGTTTCAAGATGGGTGAAAAGAGCGTTGGGTAAAGTGGAATCGGTGAGGGCAACCAGAAATGGTCTAGTGATAATTGTTTGTGTTTCTGTTGGGCAGAGGGAGAAGGCGCTCAGAGTTAAACAAATGGGGGAAAGAATTGTGAATTGTTTCGCTCTTAAGAAAAGGGCGCCATTGAGAGGAGTGATTACTGGAGTAGCAGTGAATGTAAAAGGTGACCAACTGAAGGAGATGATTCCCGGTGTGTGTGATGCTCGTCGTTTGGTGCGACGTAAACAGGGTGGCGAGAGTGGGGAAACAGAAGAGTCATTGTCTGTTCTTTTGAGTTTTGAAGTTGAGTCTTTGCCTGAGAAAGTGAGGTTAGGATATATAAGTTATCCAGTGCGAGCATATGTGCCGAATACCTTAAGATGTTACAGGTGTCAAACTTATGGGCATGTGGCAGCAGTGTGTAGGAGGGAGATTCCAAGGTGTGAGAAGTGTGCAGAAGGGCATGAGACAAAGGAGTCTGAAGCATTGGGAAAGTGGTGGTGTGTGCTAATTGTAGGGGTGGCCATGGGGCTGGGGATCAGACATGTCCAGTGCGAGAGAAGCAGGTTAAGGTATCCAGGGTAAGAGTAAAGAAGAAGTTGTCATATGCGGAGGCAGTGAAGAAAGTAGAGGAAGATGGGTCAAGGGGGAGGGATCCTGAGAGAAATGGTGTGAGTAGTAGTGATGTACCAGTACAGAGGGATAAACCAAAAAGTGATATATGGTTCAGCAAGATTGGATTTTTAGCGTTTATAGCAATGGTTATTAATTGTACTGCAGGGATGGAACGCAAATCGAAGAAAATTGAGGTGGTGGTGGCAGCTGCAGAGAGATATTTGGGTGTGTGAGACTTGACAGCAGAAGAGTTACAGGGAGTGTTAAGTGGTGATGTCCCATCATTTCAGGTTGAGGGCATGAGGTAGGAGTGAGTGTATTTAAACAGTGGAGAAGGGTGGGGTTAATTATTAGTTATTGTGTTGAAGGTGTGAGTGTGAGTGTTAGATGGTAGGATATTTCTTTGCTTTGGTTTATTATATTTTTCAAGGAAAGATAAGGGAGTTGTACTCCAGTCTAGTAGGTGGCGGTAATGCAACAAATTGGATGCCAACCACCGTTAAACCTCATTGAAGAAGAAGAAGAAGAGTCAATGTGCCGAGGCACAGGTTAGTCGAGGTAATTGAGGTAATATGTACATGTAGGTAGAGTTAAAGTGACTATGCATAGATAATAAACAGAGAGTGACTGCAGCGTAAAAGAGGGGGTGGTGGGACAATGCAAATAGTCCGGGTAGCCATTTGATTAGCTTATGGCTTGGGGGTAGAAGCTGTTAAGAAGCCTTTTGGACCTAGACTTGGCGCTCCGGTTTCGCTTGCTGTGCGGTAGCAGAGAGAACAGTCTATGACTAGGGTGGCTGGAGTCTTTGACAATTTTTAGGGCCTTCCTCTGACACCGCCTGGTATAGAGGTCCTGGATGGCAGGAAGCTTGGCCTGATCATTGATCATACTGACCTTAAGTATTTGTATTTTGTTTTTTTTTGCACCTCAGTCACTGAAAAGGGAGGGGGAAAGGGTAGGCTAGGCTCAGTTAATCTGATTTTGTTAATCTAAATGCAAATCATTCATCTCAGTGATGATTATTGCATGCTGACTAACCAATCGCAGTGAAATGAGATATAATCTAGTCATGATCAATTTCATATTTAATTCACGTAAATGTAGTAGATTGGCTTGATTGGTTGGCTAGCATGCAAAACTTGAAATTAGCCTACACATCGTTCACTTTTGGGAAAACTGGTCCAGCCACTTGGGACCTAGCTATCGTTAGTTCAAATAATGCCAAATGATGTACTAATATAAAAGTGCAATTGTAAACTATAAAATATAAACCCACCATAGTGATGTCGGTGAAGAAGTTAAGAATGAGGAGGTCCCAGGCGGCGGATTCACGGTTGAATGTGGACGCAGATCAGACAGTTTGAAACTCACGCCCCTCGTGACGTTTGGCAACGCCCACCGCGTGAAAATGCCTGTAATCCTAAATTTCTGGTATGATAAATTATGGTCATACATCATATAGATTACTAGATTTTTTATTAGATGTTTTTAGGCTTTTAACAAGATGATGATAGATCACTTATGAGAACAAGATAAGCTTTTGAAGCCATAGCCTACCCCTCTAGATATAGTCTCCTCTCCCCATTCGATCTTTCACTTATCTGTCCTTCCCAGGCATAGATTTCTAGGCATATTTGATAAAACTGTGAGTAACACAAGAGTGACTGACACATATTATATGGGTACCATGGTGCTGAATAAAATCATTTGCCATAAAGCTGCTGACTACCAAGGCCCTTCAGAATTAAGAACAGGCCTGCATGTAAAATGTTGTTCAAAATGTATTTTGTTGGCAAATCTCAAAAGCATAGACTACCATGAGAGGCTGGATGATGGGGTTGATTGTCCTAAATTATCCATGCAGAACTGGTCATCTGTAGAGTTCGTACTGCTTGGTGACCTAAACTGGGATATGCTTAACACCCCGGCCGTCCTACAATCTAAACTAGATGCCCTCAATCTCACACAAATTATCAAGGAACCTACCAGGTACAACCCTAAATCCGTAAACATGGGCATCCTCATAGATATCATCCTGACTAATTTACCCTCTAAATACACCTCCGCTGTCTTCAACCAGGATCTCAGCGATCACTGCCTCATTGCCTGTGTCCGTAATGGGTCCGCGGTCAAACGACCACCCCTCATCACTGTCAAACGCTCCCTAAAACGCTTCAGCGAGCAGGCCTTTCTAAATGACCTGGCCCAGGTATCCTGGATGGATATTGACCTCATTCCGTCAGTAGAGGATGCCTGGATGTTCTTCAAAAGTGCTTTCCTCTCCATCTAAAATAAGCATGCCCCATTCAAAAAATTCAGAACTAAGAACAGATATAGCCCCTGGTTCAGCCCAGACTTGACTGCCCTTGACCAGCACAAAAACATCTTGTGGCGTACTGCATTAGCATCGAACAGCCCCCGCGATATGCAACTTTTCAGGGAAGTCAGGAACCAATATACACAAGCAGTTAGGAAAGCAAAGGCTAACTTTTTCGAACAGAAATGTGCATCCTGTAGCACTAACTCCAAAAAGTCCATGGAGAATAAGAGCACCTCCTCCCAGCTACCCACTGCACTGAGGCTAGGAAACACTGTCACCACCGATAAATCTACGATAATCGAGAATTTCAATAAGCATTTTTCTACGGCTGGCCATGCTTTCCACCTGGCTACCCCTACCCCAGCCACCAGCTCTGCACCCTCCCCGGCAACTTGCCCATGCACCCCCCCCCCCCCCCGCTTCTCCTTCACCTAAATTCAGATAGCTGATGTCCTGAAAGAGCTGCTAAATCTGG